CTCCACAACTCAAGCCGCTGCTTTCAATTATATTTCATAACGCGCCGGGCGTTTGGCGCCGCGCGGAGAGGACGAATGGGATTGATACGGGAGGAGGCGTCCGATCTTATTTTTTTTTCTTTTATGCACAGAGGGGTCTTTTAGTCCACTTTAGTCCGGGGCAATAATGAATTGGCCAATGATCCCAATCTCTAAAACATTCCATCCTATTTCCGCAGTGATTTGTAACGCGATCACATGACGAACATTAGCGGCAGAGTCTCTGAAGCATTCCGAGTGTGACATTAGACAAAAGTATGTAATCCGGCCAATAGCATTACAATTCATTGGGGGCTGTTACTGACATATTGAGAGCAATCTGTGCCAAATAACATGCCATTACATTGAGAATCACATCTAAAACACATGATGAGCCACTCCCGCATATTGTCCTACGCGGACACCGTGAGCACATATAAATTACATTCATAACCGCACCTATTAATTCTAATATCTTTCCAGTTCCCTTTAATATACCGTCCCATAAAATTAAAAGAGCGGCACAAAGGTGACTGGGCCACAAAATCCGCAAGCCGAATGAGCAAGATGGTAAAACGCAATATCCCGCAAACACTCCAGCGCGTCGCGTGGAACGCACTTCACCTCTTTTGAACCGAACGCCCTTTTTAAAGTTTTGAATGACTTCCAGGTGCTGGTGAGGTAACACCCTCAGCCACTGCCCTGCGTCAGCGTTTAAATTTTGCTTACGCAGGGGAGAGACGTGCATGGCGAAACATATTTTTGAACAACTTCAAAAGCCATCAAGAACGTCCGCTGCGAGCGTTGTTGTGTAATAAATAAACCACAAGGCCGTTTCACGTGCGCATTAAAGTCGCTGGATTTGTTTTGGGTGCACAGTAAGAAGTTGCCAGCCTTAAAATACGACGAGGCATCTGGCATCACATAAAGCAATCTGTTGTTATTATTGCGAGTGAAATTGCTAGTCATCATTTGGTAACACCTTTCCAGTGTTCACTTGTCATTAGCTGTACTACATTTAGTGATATCTCTCAACGGAACCCAATCCATACGGCGACCGCCGATTCACCGGGGGCCTCCAGCCCCGAGACCTGGAACCAGTCACCGGCAGATGGAATTAACGTCCCCTTGTACATTAAGCAGTCCAGCTCCTTAACCTCCTTCTGCTCCTATCTTAAAGCTCCACCTTTTCTCTATCGCCCATTATCTTCCTCTGTCCTGCCCTCGCCACCCCCTCCACTCCTTCCCGTCCCTCCTCTACCCTTTCGTGATCCCTAAGTACCCCTCTATCGCTGTAACTCATTTCTCAACCTTTGTACACAACCATTCAAATCATTTCTATTCTGCCACAGTTTTGTAAGCTATGTGGAGCGCCTTCAGGGAAGGCCTTCAGGGAACGCGCTCTATAAATGTAGATTAGAAGTAGAATGTTCGAGATCCATGCTTGAGCCTGAGCCAATATTGCAACAGACTTAAAACAGTGGCGTTCCAAAGAGCTTGCTAAATGTGATCAGCATGAAATCCTGATGGACTGGACTAATAATAAATGGACTGAATAAATGTTCAGACTTACTATGTAAAAAATATATAATACAGGCTTAATGCTTCCAGTGTAAGGGATTACAAATTACTGTAATTCATTGAGATTAGAGGAATTGAGGATTTGGTGATCATTGCACCGTTAATCCACCACGGGATAAAGACCTCCCCACATCATGTTGATCATGGGGGTTCTTTGACCATACTTCACCTAGCACTGGTCAGTGAAGGTGGGAGAATGTGTTAAAAACTGCGTCAATACTCCATGCCCCGTGATTATTATTCTTCACTAGCTTTACTACCCGGCTTCGCCCGGGACTTGGATTATTGTCTAGGATTCATTTAATATTCCCTTATTTCACTGAAAAACCCTGACAAAAATTGATGCTTCCAAGAAAGAAAAAAGCTGAAACAAATCAATTTAACTTAATCGGATGTTTTTCACTGAAGGAATTCAACCTTAACCCACGTAAGGCCGATTTTGGCAGCTCGGGAAGGGAATGACGTGGCGAGCTGAAAAGCGTCGCGTTCCCGTAGAAATTCCAGACAGCATCAGCTGTGCAAATTTCATGACGTCAGAGCTCAGCGTTCGAGAGTTGTTGCTGCTTCGCACAAACACAGATGTATTTTCTGCTTTATATTTAAGAGCGAGCTCAAAATAGTCGCGTTGACTTAGAAACTCGCGAGACAGCTATGCAGCACAATTGTGCGGGATACACGGCCTACGCGGAGGGTGGGGGGGGAATGCGTGACGTCAGCAGGCATACTGTGTAACGCGACCGCATGCGGGTGACATCACAGATGTGACGTCAGCGCTCACTTGCCGTGCAAAATATATCCATTATTGCCCCCCCCCCCCCCCCCAAATACAAAAGTCTATTTTTATACTTTTTGCATTGTGTACAGTCTGGAAGCTACCCACATGCCAAATTTCAAGTTTGTTGCATGTCGGGAAGTATGCTAAACATTTCCCTTTTATAAAAAAAAATATCTTATTTGTATACTTGGAAGGGCCTTTTCAGCGTAATGCACAGCAAACCAGAGGCTTTTGTTAACTCACTCCCTCTGGTGACAAAATCACGAAACGCACCACGCAGGCGCGATCCAAACCCACATTCCTCTGCAGCATAGAGCACTCCACATACATGTGTGCATATACATACATGATGTGTGCATCTACATACATGATGTGTGCATATACATACATGATGTGTGCATCTACATACATGGTGTGTGCATATACATACATGATGTGTGCATATACATACATGATGTGTGCATCTACATACATGATGTGTGCATCTACATACATGATGTGTGCATATACATACATGATGTGTGCATCTACATACATGGTGTGTGCATATACATACATGATGTGTGCATATACATACATGATGTGTGCATCTACATACATGATGTGTGCATCTACGTACATGGTGTGTGCATATACATACATGATGTGTGCATCTACATACATGATGTGTGCATCTACATACATGTGTGCATATACATATATGATGTGTGCATATACATACATGATGTGTGCATATACATACATGATGTGTGCATCTACATACATGTGTGCATATACATACATGATGTGTGCATCTACATACATGTGTGCATCTACGTACATGGTGTGTGCATATACATACATGATGTGTGCATCTACATACATGATGTGTGCATCTACATACATGTGTGCATATACATACATGGTTTGTGCATATACATACATGATGTGTGCATCTACATACATGATGCATGTATCTACATACATGTGTGGAAATGCATACATGATGTGCGCATATACATACATGATGTGTGCATATACATACATGTGTGCATATACATACATGCTGTGTGCAACTCCATATATGTGTTCATATACATACATGTGTGCATATACATATGTGTGCATCTACATACATGATGTGTGCATCTACATGGCACAGGCTCTTTGATGAGTCCACTTCTGGTTGTGGACCTCCCCAAACCATGCGTGCATTAGGGGTTATTTAACCATATTTCTCAATTTAGTCTGTACCGGTTGGTGAAGGCAGGGAGCGCAGGTGTTGGAGCATAGTACAGCACAACGATTGATCTTGCCGCACTGCCATGTGCTGACGACGTGGTCCTGCAGCAGCCTACGGCTCCTGCTTTATGCACGGTGGTCACCCCTCAAAGCATTATCCAGACTCAAGCCTGTTCAGCTGCCAAGCTGTGAGGATATCGGGTGCATTCCTGGTGATTTGGTCACAAGTGACTCCGCTCCACACAGCACACATTCATATTGACCAGAACCAACTGCGCTCTTTATCAAAACCCGCCAACACCGCTGCACTGTTTGCGTCTGATTTACAATCACTGGCGGAGACACTTGGTGGGATGTGACCAGCTTTTCCATCATTCACATATCACGTTGAAAATTGGTCCGTGACGTAAATGGTTTCAGAGCGCTGACCCTAATACATCGGCAGTACGTTAGGCTTGGACGTGCGCTATCATACGTGTGTTATATACATCGGGAGGTGGCCCTGCCCAGCGGTAGCGCATCCGCCGCTTGCCGCAGAGGTTTCAGGGTTCAAATCCAGCGGCCACCCTGCATAATACTACGGGTATAATCCTCCGTGAAAAAAAAAATACGTGCCACCCACTACACAGTGAACGTTACAGATCGCGTGACGTCATTCGCCAAGAGTGGGCCATTGTGTGCCGGCGCAATGGTCCACTTTTTGCAAACATTTGAAAAATTACCCACAAATGATTCAGTTGGAATACACATAGAAATCATCGCCCTCCTACTGCGAAAAACTTGGCAGGACACCTCCTGTGAAATTCGGCTCGGCCAGCTCTCCAGTAATAATACACACACTGCCATACAAATACAATTTTGTGTTTATCTGCAGTGCATGATTCAGCGGAACTCTTACTATTCAGAGGAAAGCAGATGAACAAATTTACACCTGCGCTGAAGTACGTTCTACGGGCTGCCAAGGAAACTATGCGCTGGCTTTGAAATACCCACACTTGAATTCAAAGTGCTCATTTCTATCATCTCTCAATAACTCACAAAGCTGTTTATTACATTTTCAACCTGGGCAGCTGATCTTGTCTGCGGTGATACAACTAATGATTATAGCATTGACTTGTCGTTGCATCACAGTTCCTGAAAGCGTAATTCTGGAATGCCCACAGGATAAATCTGAAAATTATAACACTAGAGCAACATAATACTTGAGCGTTACTCTGCTGTACAATGATTGTTTCGGGAATGGGGGTGCTTTCCAGATATGGTGCAAAAGGCGCAGTACAAATTAAAGCGATGGTGATGATGATGACGACGGTGGTGGTGGTGGTGGTGATGATAGTCATCTCCACAAGTGCCCATAAAAATGCTGCACGCACATCGGCAGCTGCCTCTTTCACCATGAACCCACCTCCTCGGCCATCCTTATCAGGGATGGGAGGCAGAGGCAGAGAGATGGGCCCTCTGTGGAGGGGCGGGCGGCCAGAAAGGGGCTCGGGAATTCCCCTCTTCAGAAGCCTCCCGGGAAGAAGCTGAAACGAGACGGACCAAGGGACGCAACATAAGAGCCATCAATTACCCGTCACAACGCTCCCGAACAAAATATATATTTTTTGGTTGCCGTTATATTTCATTCTCTCCAGTGTCGTATCACTTGCATAACCTCGCTTTCGCGACCTTTTGCCGGCGTCCGTTCGCGAAGAACCCGAGGAATTTATTCCGCACGCTGGTGGCGTTATTTTCAAGCGCCGATGCGACGAGGGCGAAAATGTGCCGAGCCCAGCAACGTCGGGAAGCCGCGTGGCAGAGGTCAGACAGACCGGGAGCCCACGGAAGAAAAATCGGTCAGTAGATACGCGGCGCCGAAGATGTGATTTATGGTGGGACACGCGTCGCGGTGCCTCTGCCATAACTCCGCGTTATTGTTCTTGCCAGCAAGTCCCAACTCAGGAAACTGAACGCACCAGTGCCCCCTGCTTGGCTGTAGCTGCAAGCGCTGTGACGCTTGTATTCGTACATAAGCCATGCTCGCGACCCAGAGATCATTGCGTGCTTCGCAAAGTGAAATATTTACGTAGAACATAACAGCTTTCGTTTTGTACACATGTACAAATTGCGTTATTGCGTTGTCTTCACTGCTTCTTTTACCACTAAAGATGAACGGGACCCTGTCATGAACAGAGAGCGCTCTTGCCATTAATAAATCTGACTCTGATGATGAAACCATAAATGTCATATAATTGGTTCAGAGTTTCCGCATTTAAACAAATTCTACTGAATCAGAGGCCAATCGGGTGAAAGCCTTATTTAAAATATATATCGTATAAAATGCCTCATGGATAAAAAAAAAAACATAAAGATGGGAGAACCCACAATTAGAGAACAAGGCAATGACATCATATTGACTATAAAACTATAGAGGCATGGGCAGCACACATCACTGGAAGCGGTGATGGCCGGTGGTCAAGACGAACAACGGAGTGGAAGTCAAAGGAGAAAACGCTCCCGAGAGTCCATCCACCGTGGAGATGGAGCGATGGAATCCGCTCGTGTATAAGGAGGAGCAATATGGATCGTTGCATCGCAAGACCGTGAGAGAGGTGGCAAATAGCCTTCACCCAGCTCTGTGGACAGATCGTGGCCAATGATGATGAACACTTCACAGCAGCGCTTAAAGAGCTTTCATACATTTGCATGCACATTAGTCATGCACATTACATTCACTGCATACTGTAGGCTGCATTACCTGCTAACTTTACCAGAAACTCGTGCCGAAGAAAAATTTAAGAGCCACAGTCAGGCTGCGGCATATCATGACATGACTGCTCCGCACCGCCGATTTGAAAAACTGCACATTGTCAAAAAGAAGCATTTCATCTCGGAAGAAAAACTGCCACGAAGTGGAAATTTAGAAAGTGTCTGCCATGTTCCCTGGGGTTTGTGTTTACGGATAGCCTGCTGCCACAAAACACACCATTAATCATTCTCGTGGATCCACTGACAAACAGTGTAGGGGCGTATCTCCCCTTGACTTTTCGGGACGAGCGCTGGGCGCGGGCAGATGGATGTTGCTATCAGGACGGGCAGCCAAACAAGACAGGACAGATGTCTGCGCTAACAGGGCCTAGCTTGCCAGGAGGAGGAGAGGAGGAAAAAAAAAACTGCCGGGTGAAGCCGAGGAAATAAAGTGAAAACTAGATTCGAAGCTTTCGTGACTGCTGCCAGGTGGGGTGTTGCTGTTGTGTTGTCCGGCTCTCTGTGTCGTGTTGCATTGTGTTTCTAAGTTTACGATGTTGTTGTTTTCTCATTCATTCTCACCTGATGACGGTTGCTTGCGTTGCAATCGAAACGTCGTATTATATTATTGTTTGATTTTCTACGCGACTTTACCAAAATCAAGTGAGCCATTGGCAGCACGAAAGTAAAGTTGCGTCAACACCGCGAGACGCCGAATCGTTTCTGGGTGCGGCAATGGCACGATGTGTATCCCGCAATACAAGATCCACGATTATGGTGTGGTCCGTTTTTGCTAAAATATCCCTTCATGGTAATTACGGTGGCTCACTTAAGATTTCTTAAATATTTAACTTCCTGACAAGATATTTAATTAATTGAAAGATTTAAATGTAATAATACGTTGTAAAGACAATAACTGTTACCCGTTAAATTAGTGCTTTGTAAAACATCTTGCAAATTAATTGATGGTGAGGTGGTTGTAGGAAGTGATCATTTTCTGCCTGCACGTGCATTATAAGCGACAGAGATTGTAAAGTTGCAGCGATTAGACGGCTCATGGCAGACGTATGTTGAGTGAACCACAGTTTAATAACATTTAATCAATCTTTATTCGTACTCGGGGTACAGCAAAGCACGAAATCAAGTCGATAAAAATGTAAAATACAATTATAGTACAAAGTTAAGGGAGGATGATATTATGAATTAAGATGTCCACAGCAATGAATAACATTCACGCTATAACTTTATTTGGGCTCTGAATGCATTCGTGACCTCCGTCGAACACGAAGCCAAAAACCCCCCAGCGAGATTTTCCACTCCAAAGTCGCCATCTGACAGGGACCAGGTGGAAGGAGGGCAATTTAAACAACAACTGGTGGCAAAGTCAAAGGCAAATATTCCCTGCATAGCCTTAGCAGACTTTTTGGGGCAAGTGCTGTCAGCGAGCACCTATGAAGACCAGCGTGGCACATGAGGGGGTGGGTAGGCAGATCCCACGCCCGGCTGTGCTTCTAAGGAGCAATGTTTACACATTGCACCAGGTACTAATTTGACGCTAAGTCGACCTAGGGGAGGCCCAAGACTGATTCAGAGAATCGTCAATGGTGTTGGCCGTGAGCAAGAATGGAACGCGGGTCACTGGGTTCGTAGTGCAGCGTGCTAACTGCAACACTGCCGTTCCCTTCAAAGTCTGAATTGAAAACTCTTTTTTTTCACTGATTTTAGTTTTTTGTCCTTACCCCGCCCCTACGATTAGCACGGTTGGCTATATGCAATGCGAAAGAACTTCAACACACAACGCCATGCACGCAGGCACACAACGCAAAAAAAGAAAGTTAAAACATTGACGCATCGCGGTGACCGTCAAATCGCCGTACTCTGCCGTCAACGGTGGCACCATGGCCACCCCACGGGGATGGAGCGCCGCCTCACCTGAGCCTCGCGCCTCCGCACGGTGGGCAGCTGGATGCCGTACGTGTCCCACAACAGCGGTCTGTTCTGGGGGTTCTCGGGGTCCGACAGAATCCTCGCCTCCATCGCCTGCCGCAGCTGCGTTAGATGAAGAGGAGGACCACGGTAGTTGGGGAGGGGGGGGGTGGAATCGACCGGGTGGGCGAGCGCGAGCGCGACGGGCGACGAGCGGGGCGCAAGTAGGTAAAGTGTGGTCACCACAACTACGCCTCGATATAAGCAACAAAACAGGTGGACTTCTCCACAAATCTGGCTGTCGCCTGATGAAGCTAGTTGTAATTACTGGCGAAACGTCGTACTCAGATTGTAAATGTTTTGGCTTGGCTCTCCAACACACCGGTGTGCTGTACTAGTGACGAATTGGCCACGTTCTGTTTACGTGACAACCCGTACTAGTTGGCTGTGTCGGGTGGTGGCGGATTTTAACGACACATATATTTATGCGATCTAACCCAAAAACCCCTTTATTATGGAAGTAAAGGTTCGCTCACGACAAATGCCGCCCCATGACCAAATCGGCCAAACGCAATCGATCGTTTTTTTTTAAGAATATTAAAATTAAACTATAAAAACTATACCTACTATAATCACCCAGGAATGTCTGTCCTTAACGCTCGTGACGTCACTCCACATCGACCAGCCCCCCTCATTAATATTCACGAGCAGGTGACGTCCTCCAAATGGACCCCCCCCACCCCTCATTAATAATCATGAGTGGGTGACGTCACTGAATATCTCAATATGGAGTACTCCCCCCCCCTCACTAATAATCATGCGCAAGTGACGTCACACCACATCGACCAGCCCCCCTCATTAATAATCATGAGCAGGTGATGTCCTCCAAATGGACACCCCCCCTCATTAATAATCATGAGCAGGTGATGTCACTCAACATGGAGCACCCTCCCCTCTCATTAATAATCATGAGCAGGTGACGTCCTCCAAATGGACACCCCCCCCTCATTAATAATCATGAGCAGGTGACGTCACTCCACATGGAGCACCCTCATTAATAATCATGAGCAGGTGACGTCACTCCACATGGAGCACCCTCATTAATAATCATTATAAGGTGACGTCCTCCAAATGGATACCCCAACCATTCATAATAATTAGCGGCTGACGTCACTCCACATGAGGGGCTGAGTCGCCTCCTCCCCCTTCCTCGGCGTCAACTGACAACCCTCACTACAAAGGCAGAACCCTCACTATGTCACGTGATCTCTGTGACGCTGTCGTTGAGACATCAAAGTAAAAAGGACGTCATGATGAACAAGGGATTATAACCTTAAAATGAAACAGGTCTGTGTCACCGCGCCCTTACAAATTGCACACGCATTAATGCAATTAATAATATCACGTCTCGGTCTGCTTTTCCCTTGCAATATACCCGTCCTTGGACGGGCAAAAGGCTAGTTTTTTATACTTGACTAGGTAAGGCTCACTGAGGTATATACAGCTCTTTTTCAGAAACGACCTGGCCACAAATGATAGCTCAACAAAGTGATTTCTCGCGTGGAAATGTAAAGCAGCCAAATCCTCTTAACGCATCTTGATTCTAAAATATGGAAGGAAACACTGGAGGACGTAGAGAAAAATCCACACGACCATGGGGAGCGAGAGAGAGAGAGATATGCCAACTCCAACAATATACAGGCATCAGGGTCAAGATCGAACCCACAACCTCCTGTATACCAGGAGAGGTAGTTTACATCTCACCACCGCGGCTGATTAGTGCGCTGCACCATCAACAAAGGGCGTCTCAAGAGGTGCTTTTACGTGAAATAAAATTTACGTGAACGACCCGACATTTAAAGTTTACACAATACGAGATATTTAATTTAAAATGGCAAAGCAATGCACATTGCGCAATATAATTTTTTTTAATAATAGCTTATACTTGTAATTAAGACCAATTGGTAACGTGCCCATTCGTGTCAGATCTGGAGAGTGCTTGGTTGGGTGACCACGGTGCATAGTGCAGGTGCTGTAGGCTGCTAGTGCTGCAGGGTAGTGTTGTCGGCAGAGGGCCTCACAGCAAAATCCACTGTTGTGCTGTGCTACGCTCCAGCTTACATGCTCACCAGCCCACACAGGCCAGGGAGGGTGAAGTATGGTCAAGCAACCCCTCACGAGCCGCACGGCGCGTGAGAGGTCCTCATCTAGCAGTGGATTGACAAATTAGCTGTGCACATTTGCGTGAAGGGAGCTAGCAGATGTAACCAGGTGGGGCTCAGCAATGGTCAGAGCACTGAGCCAGTGCCGCTGAAATCCTGGCTTTGAATTCAGTATTCAGCCACCTGTGATTAAACTGGGATCTCACATGTGTAGTGAGTTGATGGTCTTGGCCAGGTCACCAATGAATTAGATAAAATGTCCATCATCGTAAATTTCGTTAGTCACTTGACTTGACTGCCCTGTGAGAATGCGTATGAGATACTTTGTCGCACGGCATGAGGCCGATAGCACGACTGGAATAACATCGGGGGTAAAAAGGTCATGACAAAGAATGTAGCATAAAATATTTTGCAAAGTGGAGAAAGCTCAGATGTAAAAAGCGGGGGTAACACTTCAACACGGCATAATTGAAGAGTGACCTACTCTTCTCTGCTGCCCCTCTGCACTGCGGGTGGGTGTCACTCACGCCACACTTGATCTCTGAGCAACCCACCCATTGGCCCCACCACTAAAGCCCTGCATTGAGAGGTGCGCCACCGAGCCCAGCTGACTGCATGTATGTTGATCCTCTTTCGAACCGTACGAGATGTGGGTGAAGGACAACCAACTAAACACAAAAGCAGTCCGGCAAAAGTGAGTGTTAAATCTGGATTTAAAAGTGCACAGCTCCAGTGGCTTCCCAATAGCTCCGGTGACATCACTCATGACTGTGGGTCATCAAGCAGACCCTTGGCCGAGGTCAGGTGCACGGATCGCGAGGAGCCTTACGCGGACTCCGGGCGAGCTATGTGACTCCAGCGCGCGACCCTCCCGTCCCGTTGATGGCTTCCGTAGAGTCCTCAGGGCCTCGCTCAGGGGGTCGCTGAAAAGGAGGGAGTCAAACAAAACTAAAATTGCACGGCTTTTGGGGGGGGCGGGGGGGGGGGGGGGTGGGGGGGGGTGGCAGGCGGATTTCATCGGCAAGTACAATAAAAATAAGGCCAAAAATGCAAAGCGACCAGCAAGAGCGGGTTGTGAATAAAATGTAACAAAGGCATGTTTCATTACCCGACTCCCTTTCTCGTAGATATGTGGGTACTTTTACGAACGCCATCTCAGCGCAAAGGGGTTTGCATTTTTACGTAAAAAAAATATGTACTTGTTTTTAAACATTCTGTTTTTACTGAGGCGTAGCGGGCCAAAAGAGGAACCGCGGAGATGGAGAGGTTCAAAGCACCTTTGGATGAAAGCCTCGCGTTGCGTGCCCGTCTCGTCGAGGGAAGGCAGCGTGAGCACCTGGCTGTTGAGCGAGTCCAGGCACTCCTCCGCGTAGCACTGAGGGAGGAGGATGTGCCGAAAGTAACCTGTGACCTAGCGAATGGCTTACACGAAATAAAACCCGCGTCGTCGCGACGATCACCGTCGGCTGCGGTCAGCCCGTTGCTGCGTGAAGGCCTCCCCAGGCCGTCCGCAATCTCCCGCGATCCAGCGTCGTAACAATCCACCCGGCGCCTGCGCGCGAGTTTATTTCATCGCTCCATCTCCCCTCAGCGGTCAGCCTCCTTGGGTGCATTCTTCTCTTCGCCTGCCACTCCATCACTGTTCTTGACCATCGGCCATCATCCCGTTTAGCGATGTGTCTCGCCCTAGCCCAAATAGTTTTAATTATGCATTTAACCTGCGTATTTTCTCTCATCCACGTGCTCATCTTTCTTTCAAATTCCAAGCATGCATCTCTCCATCATTTTCAGTTTTTGTTCCATTTTTTGGGCAGAATTACCGTATTTCTGAACCATACGCCGCAGTGAGTAGTATGCAATGATTAAAAACATGTAATAACATACCATACATTTTTAAAACACCTGCTCCATTGTTTACTTAGTGTGAGCAATGAGAACCGTACTGCAGTGGCATATTAAAATATTAAATAAAAACCTGCTCAAATCTTTTAAATAGGTGAAAAATGGTTGAATTGCACAGATATATTAATACTTTATGATTTTTGTTTGTATCCTTATTTACCTGGGAATGCCTCCTTAAATCCCCATGACTTGTTTTAAGAAACTTTCCACTTCTCGTATGTCACCAGTTACTCAAAGAGTAATTTAGTTTAACTTGGAAGGGTTTGTGGTATCCGGAGAAAACCCACACGCACGAGGAGAAAGCAATCAAACTACACACAGGGCAGGTCAAAAACACATGACTCAACAATATTTCCCTAAACATTTAAAAATTGTCATTACCCAAAACGCCGTCTATTACACTTAATACACTTCTGACGAACGTTTTAAGCTGCCAACGCAGCGTGGCAATTTATACTGCGTGTATATTTTCTTTGTATCTGCATACGACACCTGGATCCTTGTCTCCGTCTTCAGGATGGCCGAATCCAGGGCCTGAATGTCGATGACCTCTCCGTCGCCATGGATGCGGATGTGCGTCAGCCCGTCCCTGAGCTTTACCAGGTCCTCCTTCACCTGCACGTATACGTCACGCACGTATACGTCACGTACGTATGTTGGAAGTTCTTTCGCAACGTACGTAGCTAATCGGAGGTGCGGGGGAAGGATAACAAACTAAACCCAGATAGTTTTCAATCTAGATTTCAAAGTGCATAGCTGCAGTGGCTCCCTAATTTCGAAAGGAAGAGCATTCCAGACGGCCGCAGAAGAACATCTGAAAGCAAGCGATGCAGCTCTGTTAGCCACAGGGTTGCAGCACAAATATAACTATCCTAACCATCGAGCGAGTGTGCAGGCGGTGCAATTGCACCGGTGTCCATGGGTTAGAGGGCCTACCAAGTGGCAATGTTCACACATCGCACCAGGTACTCCATTCGAGTCGACATAAAGGAGGCCCAGGACCGGTTCAAATAATCGACACAATGGTGTTGGCCGTGAGCGGGAATCGAACCCGGGTCGCCAGGTTCGTAGCTCAGCGCGCTAACCGCTACACTACCGCTCCTCCTTCACACACACACACCTATACACAGACACGAATATAGATAAAGTTGTGCATTGTTAGGCAGACCATGGAAGAGACTGCATGCACCCAATGTAAGACTGTCGCCGCTAGAGGGAGCACTATGCAGTCATCAAAGCAACGTTCACGTTCTCAGTTTACGAGGCTCCTAAATGTTATTCATTTTACCCGGGGGTATTGATTCACCCAATAATGTAACTAAATCAATAAAACAGACAATAGTATCCTTCGTGCATCTTGTGACCGAGCCGCAAACATGCCCATCTCTGGGAGCGCATCGTTTCACCAGCGTCGATTCAGGGACAAGGGGCCGTCCATAAATGACGTCACGCGATTTTGGACGATTTTTGACCCCCACTCACCACACGGCGTCACAAAAAGTCAGACCACCCCCATAAAATATGACGTCACAAAGCTCTGCCCCCCCCCCCCAAACCATATTTCAATTTTGAAAATAAAACATGCTTCAAATCGCTTGAAACTATTGTCATTGTAGTGCGTATTTAATGTGGCGCTGCACTCTGATGTTGTAGGAGTGTTGTTATAACAATTAGTGTTATGACAATTCTATATTTATTTAAAGTTGCGCCTTTTGATGTGACGTCACATTTCTCAACCCCCCTCCCCGTCACACATCGTCACAAATGTCTGACCCCCCCCCCCCCCCCCTAGGTGCGTGACGTCATTTATGGACGGCCCCCAAGCAAACCCGGGGATCGGTTTCGCGACACGCGGTGTCTCATCAGCGGCGCCGTCGCTGCTTGCTTGAATCAATGCTGGTGACCATCCAGATCCTACAGCCAAAAAGGACGTTGCCTCCCTCTACGAAATGGGGTGGTCCGAATATTGATGGAGGCATCGATAACCCACGAAGGCATCGAATCGCGTCATATAGGCATGATAATATAATCAACCTTTTCGAATCCTACGACATGGGTGTCACGCGAAACCCCCTCCAGCCACTAGATGCCGCTACGTCAATGCGATATAGTGAAAATAATCAATTGTTAAATCCGAATCATTAATCCACCATTTACTATTTTAAATATGCATGCTTTGAGTGTGACTAGCTATACACTTGCGACTTAAATTGGACACGTTCACCGAATGAATTACCGCAGTGTTGTTGAATTGAATACGGTAATGAAAAAATGTTTGACGATATTAAATGGTGTAATGCGATTTGTATTGAATGAGGAGCGGTGGCGCAGTGGTTAGCGCACTGCGCTTCCTGAGTTGAACTTCCAGTGGCGAGTTATGTTCGCAGCGGGCCCAGAACGATAGAATGGTGTCCGATACCCAGGGATTAACTTCTCACTGATTCTTTTCCCGATCGCTGGTAGACACTTAAACATATAAAGTCAACTAGTTTTTTTTTTATTTCACCAGGTAAGGGGCCGTACATAAATGACGTCACGCGATTTTGGACGATTTTTTACCCCCCCCCCCCCCTCGTCACACGGTGTCACAAAAAGTCAGACCCCCCCCCCTCAAATATGACGTCACAAAGCTGTGCTCCCCTCCCCCGAAAATAATTAAATATGCCTCAAATCGCTTTAAACTATTGTCATTGCAGAGCGTATTTAACGTGGCGCTGCACTCTGATGTTGTAGGAGAAAACATTGATTAAAAAAGTATATTTAATTCAGTAGAACGTGTTGTCTATGTTTATTTAAAGTTGCGCATTTTGATGTGACGTCACATTTCTCAACAACCCCCCTCCCCACCTCGTCACACATCGTCACAAATGTCTGACCCCCCCCCCACCCTCTCCACCCCTAGGTGCGTGACGTCATTTATGGACGGCCCCTAAGGCCCACTGAGTCGCGTAGCTGTTTATCAGAAGCGACTTGGTGACAAATGATAGCTCAGCGTGGTGGCTTGCCGCGTGCAACTTTCTAGCAAACCAAATACTCGAAACGCGTGATGTCGAATCTAAATGTGGAGGGGGGGAAAGAAAAAAAACCTGAGGACCCAGGAGAAAAATCCACGCGACCACGGGGGAAAAAAAAAACATGCAAACTCCAAATATATACAGCAGGCGTCAGGGTCGCCTGCTGTGTATACCAGGAGGCGAGGTAGTGAACGCATCACCAAAGTGGCACCCGAAAGACTGCGGTGGTGAACAAGTGACTCGTAGCCACAGCCCATAGCGAGGGATATGGATCAATGTGGCGTGTGGAATTATTGTATGGGTCACCGATCCTGCTGATATTAAAGGACCCCCCTCCCCCCCCACCGTGTTTAGATGCCCTATAGTAGCGATATGAATGTGACTGATTAACAGAGAGCGAATACCGCGTGTATTTATTGACGGTTAATGTTTGAGATTTAATGTCTTTTAAAAGTACAGAATATGTACCGAGTGAACGTGAATGACGAAGAGTGAATGATGAGACGTGACCAATGAATTGTGAATATTGAGTGGTTAATACCCTGTGCACGTATTGATTAAGGCTGGATAATGACAGGACAGTGAGATGATTGATGAGTGAATGAGGAGTACGTGAATAGCGAATATCGCGCTTAATTCGTATGTTGAACTTCTTTAGCACCGTACGTAGCCAACTGTGCTAATGGCAATGCGAATCATGCGGAGTAAATGAGTGAGCAAATTAGCTAATGACGAGTGAATCGTGAACAGTGAATTAACAAAAAAAAGCATCCATGAGCGAACACCCTATGCGCCCAGTTAAAGAGGTGAATGAAAAACGAATGAGTCAATGCAGAGTGAATCAAGAGAAAATTAGGTGAGCGTAATGTGACTGCATCGCGAATTACGGGGTCAATGACGAGCGAATGAAGAGCAGCTTGGAGAATGAAAAGCGAATGAATCGCGGATAGAGGGTCAATGACGAGTGAGCGAATAGTGAATGACGAGGAGCGACTACCTTGAGGAGGATTCCCCCGACTCGCTGCGCCTCCCCGTGCCCCACCAACCCTGACATCGCCGCTCGGTCCGCCGCGGGGCACCGCGATCCCGGATCGAACCCCCTAACCCCCTCTTCCTCGAGACAAATAGCCTCACCAAAAACAACAACAACAACAACAACAACGACCACCAGCAATAAACAACCCCCCCCCCCCCCCCAAGGGCAGTCCGTGGACACTTTAAGAGCTCTCAGATCGCAGTCTCTCGGTTGCGTTCAGTCGCCGAGGTAACGACTCCGAGCGCATTTTTAGGGCCGTTCGAACATCCGAGTTGTCGGGGGGGGGGGGGGGGAGTTTGTGTGGACGCCTCGGGGTGACGCTAGCGTCGGGATGAGTTCGAGCACAAAACGTGGACGTTTAATGACAGGGCGAGGCGAAGTCGCGGTATTTTAATGGGAGGATGTGATTTATTTTCGTGTCTGTGTGTGTTTTATGTTCGTGGCCGTTTGTCTTTGTGTGAGTTACCGCGTTGCTAATGGACACCCCCCCCCCCTCTGCGAGACGAGTTGGTACGGTCCGGAATAGGTTAGTTACAAGGAGTGTTGGCTAAATCATAATCCTTAAACGCGTGTTTAAGTATGTGGAACGCGTTATTATTCTAATCGTTCCGCTTAATTACTTGGATACGGTTATGCCGTGCTATGTACGAATGTTGAACTTCTTTCGCACCGTACGTAGTCAGCCGTGCTCATCGGAACAACAAACTCAACGCAAACAGCAGTTCTTTAAATTAATGAGGGTTGGAGCGGTGGGGTAGTGGTTAGCGCACTGCGCTAATCTCGCACGGTCCACTTGTATTCCCGACCGCGGCTAACATCAGTGGCGAGTGACAACTGAACTGGTCATGGACCTCTCTCGGACCGCCAGAATTCCACCTTTAACAACCCGCACTGATTATCGTGGTTGAGAGAAGGTGAACTCAATCCTCACGGTCTTGCAAAGGCGTGGTTAGGCGGCGGCCGTCATCCAGCAGTGGACAAGTGTCTCAAACGCTTTCTCATCGCCAGGGCATTTAAGGCAACGGTTTGATTCACCAGGTGGGGTCTTCAAGGAAATATCTGAACCGGTTTTTGTTGTTGTTGCTGCTGCCTAAAAACCGAAACGGCGTGGGGAGGCCCTTCATCCAGCAGTGGATTGGCACAGGCGATGCAATTGTTGTTGTACATCTGTGAAGGATCCTCGTAACGGGGCAGCACCGCCCCCTGCAGTCCGTCGTGGGTGAGTAAGAAGTTAGATGAAGCTCCCACGATTAGCGCAACCGCGCTGCGAATCCGGCCACCCGAGTTGGGATTCCCACCCACGGCTACCATCGGCGTGGCAAAGTGACATCTGCGCTGGTTTTGAGCACCCCCCCCCCCCAACCCCCTTGCCCATGGCAATTTCGCACCGACCGGCGTGGTGAAGTATGGTCAAGCCAACTCACATGGCCAAAACACGGCGTGGGGGAGGGGGCCTTCTGTCAACCCACACGGTCTATACGCCGTATTATTCTTGTACAGGGACAATTGAGTTTTCAGGTCTATACTGCGTACAGCCGTTTCAATACGGGAAAAAAATGTCTATTTATTTGTGTTTCTCCCTTGTGATGGGGGGCTTTGTAGAATGAACGTTCAGATGTTGAGATTTATAAGGGCACGAGGTGACCAATGAGGTCTGAATTGGTCTGTAATAAGGTAGAGCACTGATAAAGGAGTTGACATGGATGCCTTCATCCAGCAGCGGATTGACCAAGGGGCTGCACGTACTACCTTGTGTTTCACTGACCATGACAGGCAGAACACGCAACGCGTAATACAACAATTCACGCGCGGCAGTACTGTATCCATTACCCAATGCGCCATAAATTGCCGTCTGGCATTGAGTCAATACCCTAATTGCATTTGTGCGTAAATAAATAAAGAAGCAACGCTGGCTTCCACTGTGATTATAAATTTAATACAAACTCCCTTGATGGAAATGCAACGCCGAATGGCACTGGGGCACGGCGTGCGATGTTTCGCGTGGAACGAAAAAAAAACGGTGACAATCCAATTTCTTTGCTCAACGTGAGGTCCGGACCCATCTAGAGTCTACACCAGGAGAGAGACAGAGAGAGTGGGGGGAGGAGGGGGGGTGTTTACACAGCGATGTCACTCACATATAAAGAGCAGAACACGCGGCAAAATTACGTGTATTTATTGAGGGAGTTGTGGCGTTGCACCGAGAACCACGAACGTTGATGATGAACGCGTGAGATTCGTTTTCAAAACGGCTCTCCTATGTGTTCGAGTTGTCACCGCGTGCTGTGTTGTTCGACGTGACGCTGGAGAATCTCGCAGCGAAACGTCGCACAACCCTGACGAACGACACGCGGTTCAACCCGTAAAACACGCAAAACAAATCCATTGTACCGGTAATGTTACAACATCCTTCGGCCGCATCGCTTGGATTGCGCGCCCGACCTCCGGAAGTTAAGCCAGGTTGAGACTGGATCATGGTTGGATCGGTGAGCATCATACCTAATAACAGGCGTGGGCAGCAGAGGGCAGTGAAGGGAAACACTTTATATACTGGACTATGGCTACAATTGTCTGTGCTGGCCATAGGGCTGAACTATGGTCAAAACAAACAACCAATCCGCTTGCACAAGACGTCTCACGAAAAACTTCGACTTTTGAATGGCCCTTTTAATGTTTACATGATAGGTGGCGAATTTTCCCCACACACACTGCGATAATGAATTTGTGTTTGCTGCATGACCGTCAACCCGATATGTGTATGACATTTGTAAGTGTGAAGTGAACCAATATAGTCTTTAATCTGTAGCGAAATTAAGTGGCAAATCATGCCGAATTTAATGGGAGGTTTGTGTGTGCAATCATCAGTGACTTGTCTACACCAGAGATCTCGGTCTGAATTTAAAACGTAGGCTTTCGCGACCAATATTATCCATAATAGAGGTTTTCGAGTTAGATCGCGCAAATATATAAATGTGTCGTAAAACCCGCCACCACCCGACACAGCCATTTAGTAAGGTTTGTTTACGTAAACAAAACATGCCAATTCTCTATTAGTTCAGCACATTGGTGTGTTTGGAGAGTAAACCTACATTTACAATTCGAAATACATTAACCCCCCCTGCCCCCCAAATCTGGTTTTCGCACCTGATTTGCTCAGAAGTGACATCACATTTATGCCTCTATTTAAGACCGAAACAGGAGGATTTCTCCACAACTCTGGCCGTCACCTGATGTTGCTGGTTGTAATTACCGGCAACAACACGCCGTACTCGAATTAATTATGTTGTGCGTTTACTCACCAACACATCGGTGTGCTGAACTAGTCACGAATTGGCACGTTTTGTTTACGTGACAAACCTTGTTACTAATTGGCTGTGCCGGGTGGTGGCGGGTTGAACGACACATTCATATTTACGCGATCTAACCCAAAAAAACGTATCGGTTTGAATTACAGGCGGCTGTAATTAGCCTCTGAGGAACACAGCCACAAGTTATACAGCAGAGTTGTATCACTAGACAACAGCAGTACTATCATCCGGTACTGTGGTCGTGTGTGGGTCATACATTTTCAAGACGTCTTGTCAGCGTGGAAGAGTAGGCCAAATACCCTGTACAAGGGTTATCTAGAGCTCCTTTTACTATGCTGCCCGTCGTACTGTACTTCTATGCTCTCATGTATATACTCCCCGCCTGCACGAAACTTCCACTATCGTGGTGAAGTATGGTCAAAAGGGCTGCTGTAGGGGCCGTCCATGAATGACGTCACGCACCTAGGGGGGGGGGGGGGGTCAGACATTTGTGACGATGTGTGACGAGGGGGGGTGTTTGAGAAATGTGACGTCACATCAAAATGCGCAACTTTAAATAACAATTCTATATTTAATGTGTATAACAACACATGAAATACGCACTACAATGACAATAATTTAAAGCGATTGAAGCATGTTTTATTTTCAAACTGGAAATGTTTTTTTGGGGGGGGCAGAGCTTTGTGACGTCACATTTGAGTGGGGGGGGTCTGACTTTCTGTGACGCCGTGTGACGAGGGGGGGGGGGGTAAAAAATCGTCAAAAATCGCGTGACGTCATTTATGGAAGGCCCCGTACATGTGGCATATAGCCCTCTGGTACCTGCCGTAGGAATGTGGAAAGCTGCACATTTCACCAATGGTTCGGGACAAACAAGAGAGGTGCAGTATGGTAGAGAGGTGAGTATGGTAGTCACAGAGCGCAGACTTTTATGTTAACTTGAACGCAATCGTCAACAACTCAAACGTATCATAGGCGACGTTTCGGGCAATTGCCCTTTTTCGTAATCCCATAACAGAAGGGGAATTATATTCTTGGGTCTTTCGGTAAAGTCACGTAGAAAGGTTCAAAGAAAATATATTTTTTTAAACTACAACGTTTCCATCGCAACACAAGCAATCTTTATCAGGAGTAGTTTTTTGTTTGTTATTTATTTACCGAAAGACCCAGGAATATGAATTCCTGCAGTCACGAAAGCTTTAAGTCAAGAAGGGGCATTGCCTGAAACATCACCTATAATATATTTTTCCTTCTAAGGCCGTCCACACACAGTGGGATTGAGATTGTATTAGTACAGTAGAACCCCTATTACCGACCACCCCTGTTAACGACTAATCTGCTTCACGGCGGGCCTCCATAGAGCCCAATGTGTTCGCTTACCGACCATTCCCCTGTTAACGACGGGCTTACGATGAGCACGCGTCCGACAATTCCATCCAATCGGCGAGCTCCAAAGTGGTCTGACCAGGCCTCGGCCAATCAGCGCCGTCCATTCATGAGCGTTGAGGCATTGTTTTCATTCGATGCTGTCGGAACGAATTAAGTCTTTAACGTGTACTTCCTACACTCGCTTAACGAACAGATCACTTAACGACCGGTTTCGTGGAACCAATTACCCTCGTTAAGAGGGGTAAAGGTACCTACGGTATTTGTGCTTTTGTACCATTGCCAACGCAGCGTCACCGAGTAATTATGTTAAACGTTTAGACGTTAAGCCAGTGAAAAGTTCATTAAAAAAGGACATTCCAGTAAAGAGACGTTGAACGGGGTGGGGAGTCCGCGTGGCAAGCATTTCTAACCTTTGCTCCAAACGGGTTTTGTGTTTTTTTTCAAAAGTAGAGGTATCGAGACAATGTGTACCTTGCACCATCAGGGGGCAGAATCTCACCGTTGTATTCTTTTTTACTTAACGCTTTGCCAACTCATTGAAAGCATTTTGGCTTCGTTCTGCCGTCCGTAACCAGGAGGGCAAACACTATGCAACCTTGTAAAGACGATCTAGTAGTATACGGTCGAATTGAACAAAGAGGAATTGCCGAACACTCGGAGACACACTCCAAAGCAAAGACAAGACATGTGTATATGCAAATATACTAGCGCGTTTTGTCCTGACAGCTACCCGCCGGCTTCCAATACTGCGAATTAAAAAGACATACATTTTCACGTTGAGAAAGCGTTACGTAATCTATGCGTATGCCCGATTTTCTACCAAATCTGATGGGGTTTTTTTTTTGTAACGTTGAACACGCCATTGTCCACCCTGCTGGAAAAGTGGACTTTAAAAACCAAGTCGCATAATTCTCATTGGTTCGGTTATTGTATGCCAATGTAAAAAAGAAACACGAAATACAGATTTGGAAATTATGCGCATTTCAATTGAAACCAGTTCGGCGCAGTGCAGCAAAATGTGTAATTGTTAGTCTGGCCATACCCTGCTGATGAAACTCAGAAAAATCTAAACTGGCCAAAGGGTTTGTCTGCTTAAACACGTGACGTTGATAAACATTGGTCTATTTTATTTATTTAATGGTAAACCATACCCGTATATTAATACCAGAGTATACATTTCATATTACAGCCCTTTGTCAATCCACTGCTGGATAAAGGTCTCCCGATACCGTGTCAGTCATGGAGATTGTTTGACCATACGTTGGCCAACGTGGGTTCATAAAGTGGTGGTCGGGGCAGGTCCGGTTTTCAGATATCACTCGCTACTTATGTTAGCTTGGGCGGAGAATCGGCCTCTGGTCGCCAGATTACTAGTGCAGTGCAATAACCTCTGGACGCCCCTGTTGTAAACATCCACAGTTATGATGACAATGATCATAATTATTATCTGTATATTGTCTTTGCTTATCACAGTCTCACAGAGGCGTAATTTTAACCCAGATCACCTCCCTCCCCCTCCCAAAATCCAAACCACACACATCCACGGGCCCTCTCCAAGTTGCATCAGGGGGGCACCGCTCTCTGTAACGCCGAACGAACGCAGCAGCACTCAGCGAGTGAATGAGCGAATGAATGGGCGCCTTCATCTGAAGCAGATTGCATTAGGTCCATGTACAACATCCCTTTTGTGAGCCACAGTCAGCCCATAAACATTACTACAACGATGCACGCAGGGACGACAGACACCATGTTTTTGCCTGCAATGCCATGTGCCTCCGGAGTGCACGCGTCGATTGCACACGATGCTCCTTGCTTAGACCATCATGCATGGGTTGTGCATACATTTACGAACGTCTGTATCTTTCCGCATGAAAACAAAACATTTTTTGCGCAGTGCATCAGCCGATGGCGGCCTTCTGGACCGACGATTTATAAAAGGGTGGCTTTTTTTTAATCGGGCAAGGTTTAGAGCGGTTTTGACCTTCTGGTCTTCCATAATCACCCAAAAACCTCTATTATGGATGATATTGGTCGCGAAAGCTTACGTGTTAAACTGACCTTCAGGTCTTATCAGTAAAGTCAGGCCTTTTAAACTACTTATTTTAGTCTATCAACCTTCCATAATATTTATTAACAGCATTGGTTTAAGCAGCCAAAGCTTTTTGGATCCATTTTCAATTATTTTTTGGGGGGGGTGGGGAGGGCACCACCAGCAGAATGGCAATTGCTGAATTTTGTCAAAACATCACACTCCAATTATTAACGTATATGGTAAAAAAATAGCACCTCCGATTAGCACGGGTGGCTCGGTACGGTGCGAAATAAGTTCAACATACACATTGACAAACATTCATAAACAGTACAATTGCGTGATTACCTTATATTTCTGATAACACCTCCCAATACGACAACACACGTCAGATGCCATAGGCGGTGGGCTAAGCAGTATGACTAGGAGATTGGTCACTAATATTTTCACGATCAAGGGGTTGCAACCTCTGACCAACACCGTCATTAACCGTCCACGGCCACACGAGGCCTACCGCTTCGAAAAAGGGCCCGCAAGCGATATTCGTCCGTCACTGCAATCATATTTGCCGCATTACATATCAAAAGTACACCAACGCTCGGACCTCGGCATTGGTATTCATCTCCTAAACATGTTGCTGCCGTACGCAAGCATCTAATATAATTGGGTACTACAGAGGGCGGTTGGTGGAGGGGGGGGGGGAATTTTTCGATCTGTCGACGCTGTCATTTTAGCATGCTTGGGTCACCTGTAAAAATTGAGCCCTATTTTTTTTGTGTGATAACGCTTAGGTGTGTGTGTGTTAAATGGTATTTGAAAGTCATACTCGGTCCCTCATTAAGCAAAAGGTTATACCTCTCACCCGCCACGCGTCACACTCCGATATACACAAACACGACGATCATACACGGCTGTTCATAACAAACGGCGGGCAAACCCGCGTTCACTGTCGGCGCTGTGTGTGTGTGTATGCTATTTGGAGTCAATTTCAAAAGCACGTGCACTTTGACAGCGACCCCCCCCCCCCCCACGTTGTGCGGCCGCCGTTTGGGGGTGGCGGCTTATAAGGCGCTGGACGTTACCGAGCACGAATGTTTGTGGGGTGGGGTTTGTTCTTTTTGAGGAAGTATATCGTACTGTATAGCCTCATGTGCAAAGCGTACGGACGCTGCCTGGTTTTCAATCGCACGGGAGAGAGAGAGAGGGATAGAGAGAGAGCGAGAGCACGTGGGTGACAGGGAGACACACATGCATGCATGCATTTTAAATCACCCAAGCCATTATACAAAGCGTCCGTTCAGCATCGGCACGGTTCGGGTTTCACCTATAAATACACAGGCACACACGCTCACACACACACACGCGCTCGCTAACCATACGCGGACCACAACATCCTCGTCCGTCTCTCCGTCTAGGGCTGCTCGAGAGGCCAGGCCAGGCAGGAATGGTTGTGAGAAGAGAGGAGACGCACACACCTTCCGCACAGCCAGCACGCACACGCGTGTTGCGTAGGAGACACGCGCGCGGGGCGCTGCTGACAGGGAGGTCCGCGTCAGGTTTGTAACAGGGGGTGGGTTGCGCTTTGAGTACACACACACACCACCCCCACACACCCCGTACACACCCCCACAGAGAGCTATCTTCTTGCTCGTGAACGGTTGACAAGGCGTACAATCTTCTAGCGACAAAGCGCATAAAGACGCAGAGAGACGACGACGACGCAACGTGAACGGAGCAAGAGACACGCAGCGAGAGAAGTCGACACGGGAATACGCGCGCGCGTTGGTTGTGGTTGGAGGAGGCGGCTTAAGGGCATCACGATTTCTACAACAACGAGCACACCACCACTACCACCACCACCACCGAGATCATGCCTGCCAAGAAGAAGCCGGCCAACCTCACCATCAACCCAGGTGTGGTGGAAGCTCCACCGGTCATCAACAACGAGTGAGTTGTAGTGCGAGAGAGAGAGAGGGGGGGCCTTGTGTGGTGTTGGTGTTTGTGCCGCGTGGCGGTGTAATGTCATTATAAGCGCACTGCGCTACGGGCTGCTTCATTCAAGGGTCAGAGCCCGTTCGGCCACCTGAGTCCGCGTCGCCGCCACTTCCAACGTCAGTGGCGAGTGATGTCTCAACCGAGCCTGGAGAGACTCAGTGTGAACGCATTCACTTGGTGTCGTGGGTACAAAAACGGAACAGACGTCAGCGCCCCCCCCCCCTCTCTCTCCAAACGCCCACGTCGTTCGTGGTACCGGTTTTAATAGGTGCTCGCTAACAGCACCTGAAGCTATACGGGGGATCTTTGTCTTTGCGTGTGTGTGTGTGGGGAAGGGGGAGCGGTGGTGTTGCGGTTAGAGCGCTGTGCTACGAACCCGGCGACCAGAATTCGATTTCCGCCCACGGGCACCAACACCAGCAAAGTGAAGATTATCTGAACATGGTCCTGGGTCTCCCCTAGGTCGACTCAGCCTCAAATGAGTACCTGGTGCGGTGTGTAGTAAACATCGCCACTGTGTGTGTGGGGGGAGACAAAGGCGGTCGGGCGTGGTGTGTTAGCCACCCCAACCCTCGTCAGGTGTCGTGCCCACGACCTTCATAGGTGCTACTCGAGTCTACATGGGGGGGTGGTGGTGGTGGGATCTCTGCCTTTTGTGTGTAAACTGCCGCGTAAATGCACACGGAGGGAGAGGCTATGGGGATGGAACGCTGGGGATGCAGCCCCCCCCCCGGTGTTTGAGGACGCAGCCAGAGCCCCGGCTCTTGATGGTGTTTACAGTGGGGACAAGTGCGACAAGAGGGTAAACACCACAATATGGCTTGGGTTTTTTTTGTTATTCCATCGGTTTGTCCTCCAACTCGTCCGCCGTAGGCGTGTCGCACCTGCGTTGTTTGTGCATGCGTGGTGGCGCGCTTTTTTTGGAGGTAGATGGGCGGGGGTGGTGGATCGCGTGGAGATTTCGCGAGAGTTTTGGTGGACGCTCCCCAAAACCACGAGATTCCGTTGCAAGTGAATGATGAATTTATTGCATCTATCTGTGCGGGGTTAGGTCTGTTTTCTCGGGTGCTTTGGTTGATTTTTCTCCCGCATGAAATAAAACACCCATGAATAGAATTGGCCAACGGTGCCCAAAGTGGTACCCTTCTGAAAATTTACATTGAGGCTCAGCAAGGCTATCCTGGATAAACAAAGGACGTTGTTGTTGTTACAGTCCTTAAGTCGTCGCGTATGAGCGTATCGATGGCTTGACATCATCGCAAAGGTGTGGAAATTTCAGTAAAAAAAGAGTACGCGATTTGGGTTTTCTTTAAAACAAAAATAAGCACCAGTTTTAAGGGAAGGCAACAGAGCCCCCGTGCTGTGTCTAGACTGGCCGCCGCCATGGGAATGTCAAGTTGCATTATCTCGATACCGACTCGGATGAGTTAGGCTACATAATACCTACTCTAATACCTACTGTAATATCTACTGTATATGCAGATCTGTGCGCACGTGTCACTGCACACCACTCCGGCGAGATGCGCTCTTGCATGTTTACAAGACGCCTATTAATAGCACAAAGCCAGTGGGTTGCAGGGGAGACACTTGGAGCGCCACAATGCAACGGCGTGCAGCTTGGTGCAAGGCACTAAAGCCTCGTGCTGGTAAAGGGCCCTGCTGCCGTTTGCTATGCGTGCTACTGATGCAGATGCGTGCTACTGATGCAGATGCTGCTGCTGCCAGTGCTGATGCTGCGTCTCTCCAACTCTCCTCCAATTTTGGATCAATTTGTAGGATCACACTCACCGTCTCTTCCAAGATCCTACATGGACTCGCAACTGCCAGTCTCCCTTCACTTGCAATGTCTCACTCGACTTCCCACACACTCCCTGTTCCAGCGACAAAGGCTTTCTTTCTGTCGAAGTCTGAAATTAACCCTTTGCCCAGTGAGGGATTTGTCACTATCCGCCGCTTGCCCTCATGTTCTGGAATCTCCCTCCCCACCCCCAGCAATCCGTGCTGTCGAATCCCTGCCCCTGTTCAAGTCGAGGCAGATTCAGGTTTACATAAATAAAAAAAAATCCTTACATCTCTCCACATACATTTATTTTCTCTGCATGTCATCAGCCTCTTGCCCTTCTCGACCGATGTAGCATGTGAACAATCAATTTGGACTAGGTTTCGACCTTCTGGGTCTCATGAGTAGGCTTGTTAAACAATACTGGGTTGTCAGCCTCGTTTGTCCCTTTTCGTTAAGTTTGGGCTCAAACGTTGCCATTATTTCCTCTGCCTATTAAAACATAGAAAACATATATCTTCACTGTATCTGTGCGGGTGCCATATGAATCCACGTCGTATTGTGTGTAATTCTTCAAAGTCAAAATAAAGAAGGAGACGTCTCGTTCTTTATTTTGACCGTGAAGAAAATTGACCATGAGCAGGACCCGTCCGCTAGAAGGGATTGGTGGCCAGTGGGCGAGAATAACGACTGAGTGGCAGTCGGAAGAGGGAACGCTCTCAAGAGGATGTCCACAGAGGAGAAGGGGAAACGAGATCAGCTCGTGCTCCGGTACTCGGAGTATTTGCTGAATCGTAGGGCCGTAAGGGATGTATTGCATGCACGTTGAACCTCTTTTCGCACCGTACGTAGCCAACCGTGCTAATCGGAGGTGCGGCGAAGGACACCACGGCAAGGGCTTGAGCAGTCCTTCATCTAGCAGTGGATCGATAGTGGCTGATTGTGGTCGCGTATTGTAATTGTATCATCCTCGCTTCACCCCCCCCCCCCCCCCCGCTACCCCCACCAGGGGCCTGAGGCCAGAGGGCCCTCCCGCTGCGGCGCACGGGGACTCGGAGGTCGACCGTGAGCAGCAGAAGCGCCTGGACGCCTTCTTGCACGACAAGCAGAAGGTGGGCGAGCTCAAGGATGACGACTTCCAGAAGCTGAGCGAGCTCGGCGCCGGGAACGGCGGCGTGGTCAACAAGGTGCTGCACAGGCCCTCCGGCATCATCATGGCGCGCAAGGTGAGGCCCAAACTCGTGGACACGTTGTCATGTTTTGTGCGGACATTCAAACGTACTCAGGGCCGAGTTATCATTTAGGGGCGAATCGGCTGCAGCCCGCAACTTCCACGTTGAAGGGACTGGGAACGGTTGGCTACGTACGGTGCGAAAGAAGTTCAACGTACTTACAGTGATATGTATTGTTTACAATCCGCTCCCAAAGAGGTTGCTGCTTGATTCAAGGGTCGGAGCAATGAGCTGGGAATTGAACTCGGATCGATGGGTTCATTGCATCTATTAATCTGGCTGCTCTGCATCCACCAATCTGGCCTGGATTGGAACATCAATATCGGGAGCCCTGCCTCTCAACCAACTGAGTTACAATTCTGATAGCGTGGAAGGGTGACCCCTGAAAACCTCGCTCGACAGTACCATAAAAAGGATGTTGCAGACCTGAAGCAAAATGCCAGTTGAGACCCCTCCTGAGGCCCTTTCGCATCTCGAGGCCCGAGACAAACTAGCCCACCTGTCCTCCCCCGCCCCCTCCTCCACTACCCACCCCCTCCTCTCTGCGGCCCAGCCACTCCTCAACCGTGTATGCCATGGCTGGACGCCAGCCAAATTGACTGCACGTTGCCACTTTATTTCAGTGCCAGCACAGCGGGGATTCTAATGCATTTTACTTTCGGGAAAACAGCCACCCGCTGGCACGTTTGAGTTTTACGCCGTGAAAATCATTGCTGTGCCTAATCATTTTGGGAATCGGAGCATTGTGTGTACGAGTCCTCACCGTAAGCTGGTCACGCTTCCGTGTGTTTGATTGTTTAAATATTTGCTTTTGATTTTTATCCCAGTCATATTCCAATTGAGCTGTCGTCATCACGTCGTGAGACGAAGACGTCTCTAATTCGAAATTGTGCAGCTAGCATTGTGTGTGTGTGTGTCAAAGGATGGAGCCACTTCTCAAGTCACGTCCATAGGCATCATTATCCACACTAAGGGGCACAACTTTTTAATGGCCTGAAAGTATTGATCATGGCATGTCAACCTCACGGAAATGTTTCATTCTCAGAGCTGTAACGGTTTAAATCAAGCGACAAAACAAAATGTTACGTTGAGTTTTGTACGTGCAGTCATTGGTGGTCAGGCTGAGACCATCAACTCATTTCATTTTAGAAGCCGGTTCGCACACTTGACCCATATTTGAACCCAGGATGTCTCCACTCCAGTTCTCGAAACCCCGCCATGGTTCACCTTTTTGCTCTTGGCAGTCTTTTATATTAATTTGCAAATTAAGCCACTCTGCGCACTGCACGCGCCTGATGGTTGGTAACCGTGGAAAACTGCGCCGTGTGTTTCGAGTACTGGAGTGGAGGACGACTAATGGATTATATTCGACTGTAATAGTCACTCCGCTGGCACATTTCTAGTTTTTGCATACTTCATCTTCAGAAGTGGTTGTAATGACACCGCCACCATCGTCGGTTAATTTAATTTCACACAATGGCACGTGTACTCCTGTGAGATGGGAGTGAATCATTGCATGCCCATCACTTACATAGGAACCGAGATTGAATTATATTGTTGGGTAAAAAACTAATACTGTTGGTGGAGCAGTGGTGCACTGAGCCATGAACCTGTTGGATCCGAGTTCGTTATAATTGAACAGGCGCTGGGCCATCTCCAACCCTTCACCAACCGTGCGATGAAGTATGGGGAAACCTTCATCCAGCAGTGGATGAACAAAGGGCTATATATGTATAATATTGTACAGCACCATTTTGCCTTAGCTTTGTCCATCTGGCTGGCTTTAACATTGTGTAATAACAACTCTTGTAAAGATGATCTAATGTGAATGAAATATTTATATAACGTCACGTTGTTTTTGGGGACATACTCTTATTAGTGGCCAAATCGACCATATGAAGGGTTGTCAGCGCCCTCCACGGTGGGGGGCTATTCGAGCCCCATTGTGTCTCATCACGGCCTAAGGACGTGCTCCTTCCTGCGCGCCTGGCACAATCGCTACCGTTATTACCACAAATTAAGACCTTTGGAGGACGGATAGACCATCGGATGCACGCACGTTGGAAAGCGTCACTGAATTTCGCGAACGTTCACGTTTTGTCCTGCTCGTTTAAATCCTCAGTTGATCCACCTGGAGATCAAGCCGGCGATCCGCACGCAGATCCTGCGCGAGCTGCAGGTGCTGCACAAGTGCAACTCGCCGTACATCGTGGGCTTCTACGGCGCATTTTATATCGACGGCGAGATCAGCATTTGCATGGAGAACATGGTGGGTTTTGATGGGCGCGTGGGTGCGTGGATGCGTGGGTGCGTGGGTGCGTGGTTGCGTGTGCGTGCACGCGATGGGCCTGCTTTGCTCAATCCAAACCCTGGCGTCTCTTCGCAGCTTGCGGCAACCCCGGGGAAATTTATCGTCGATCGCAAAAAAAAAACAACTGCCGTCCTGCTGCTGAGATTGCCTCCTTGATCCTCATTTATTTAGTCGAGTGGACTGCCGCAAACACAGCGCTTGCAGCACAGCCTGAAGGATATTGTGTCCTTGTGTGCCCTCCTTTGCTAGGGGTGGAACGATTTGCTATTCACCATCTGTCCCCATCTCTCCACCCAGAGATTCGATTAAATGTTTCAGTTCAGCGTTCGCGATTCAAATTGAACAATGGATCTTTTTGTTTTTTACTTCGTGAAATGGAGCGGCATCTATTGGCCGCAGGGGTGACATACCATGACATACAACGTGTGTACATGTACAGCCCATTTGTCAATCCACTGCTGGATGAGGGCCTCCCTATGCCATATGGATCGTGGGGTTTATTTGACCGTATTTTACCTCACTGCTCCAGTGTGAGTTCGTGAAGGTGGAGCGCAAAGATGTGCGAGCATGGAAGTACAGTACAACTATGCATTTTTCTACAAGAATAAACTACCAGTCATTACACGTGGGATGTAATGCTCTTATAAAGAGCTGAGAGATGGACAATAGTTGGTGCATGATCCATTTTTGGAACAGGCAGAAGTAATAATATCTGTGTCAGTATCGGGGTCAGAGAGCTGGACATTAACAAGGCAACTCGAAAGTAATTATCCGTCGAATACACAGATGCATGCGGAGGAAACTGGGAATTCTATGGTAGGATTGGGCAAGCAACTTGGCCGTTTGCAACAGAACGCGGCAATAAATTGTCCATGCAATCAGGAAGTGGAGGTTGTGATTGGTGGGGCACTCGTGCAGGATGGAGGAGGGCAGTTTGCCGAGACAGCCACTGGAGTGGCACCCAGAGGGGTTGGCAGCCAAGGGGAAGACCGAAGGTCAGATGGGCGGATACTGGAGGAACGGTCCTTGGAGATCAGATGTCGTCTGTGGACCAACTGGGAGGTCTACTTAAATAAAGCAAGTGATGGCGAAGACCTAATTAGCTTAAATTTGAGTGCCACCCTGAGTATGTATGTTGTACTTCTTTCGCACTGTACTAGAGCTACCTTTCATTAACGGTGGGGGGGGGGGGGGGGTATTGGTCCACAAATGTCCCCCCCCCCCAAATATAATCGCCTTTGATTCTATATCGGTGGCGTGGGTGGGCGTAGAGTATTGCGGAGATCAGTAGAAAATGTTGGGTTGAACAACCGCCTGGCAGCACTGCAACCCACCCTGGGCTCGCGTTGGCCACACAGGCGTCTGCCAGACATCGCAGCAGCTCCCACGAAAGAGCTCGAACATCGCAGCAGCCGCCCCGTGGAGTGCGTGGGAAGGATTGGCAGCTCTGCAATCGTCAGATCTTCTGTTTGAGATACGAGTGCTTTTTTTCTTCTTTTTTTTCAATTTTCACAATCGGGCCGGGGCGTAGGTGGAAATGTGGGTGGATGGGAGTGGTGTCTGTAGTGGCGCATCTGCCAGTCATCTCAGCCAGTCAACCCCGTGGCTGTCCCGCGACCTCCCGTCAGCGAGCATTCGACACTTCACGTGGCCTCAAAGTGCACCTGGCCTGGCACAGGCGCCGTTGTGACGTCATGGACACTTAGTGGCAAATGGCGGCCGTTGTTGTCGGTAGTGGTGTCTTGGCGTGTTGTTTCTGCATATTACAGTTTTGCTTATTCTGTTACTTCGAAGACAAAAGTCCCGGTTTCGCATAGGCTCGGCTGCTCAGATTTACTTTCTTCCTGGACTCCCGGGAGTCTCTTTCACGGTCACATCCACTGCCCGTATATTGCACGGTCACATAGTCACTTTAAGATCTTTTCTTGTTCATGTTTTTGTTTGTTGCGTTTGCACCCGATTCAAGAGCCGAATGGCTCACAGGGCTATACCAAATAAATGAAACTATGAAACTATGAACGTACGTCACCGACTTACGCTCGGGCTTTTGTACGTATATACGTACGTCACAGACTTTCGATTGAGCACCGGAAGCACACGCCTGCTTTTTCCTTATCACCGACTGGCACGCTGTCCTTCCCCGACGCGTGCCACGGGGTTCTCCTGGGTTTCGGGCCCAACGCGTTGCGTTTTGCCCGGGGGTGTGTGCGAGCGTGTGCGGCGGGTGGGACGAGCGCGGTGACTGGTTGGGCAAGCCGTGCCTTCGCCATACCGCGTTTTGCCGAGCTCCCCCGTGTTTGGTCGTTTTCGTTTTGACAAAAGTATTTTGTGCGCGTGAAGAAGGCTAAGGGCTTCAACAAAATATTGCGCGCCTGTGCGCGTGTGTGTCCGTAACGCACACTGCGCACACGAACCCGGCGACCCCCGGGTTTGATTCCCGCTCACGGCCAACGTCAGTGACGATTATTTGAACCGGTCCTGGGCCTCCCCTAGGTCGACTCAGCCTCAAATGAGTGCCTGGTGTGGTGTGTAGTAAACATCGCCACGGGGGAGACAAACGGTGGCTGGACGAGTGCTGGCCACCCACCCCCTTTGTGTGCTGTGCCGGCCTTCAAAGGTGCAGCTCGCTAGCAGCGCTTCCCCCAGTGGTCTGTTAAGGCTACACGGGGGACCTTTGTCCTTGTTTAGAAGGCCAAGCTCCTCCTGCCTTCTGTGAATTTCGACCATTTTACAATGCCTAAGAGTCATGGGTCACAAAGCAAAGAAAGCACTGGTCCTGTCCACCCACCACCCCACTTCACCAACCCGCGCTGACAAGCACAATGAAGTATTTGGTCAAACAACCACCATGTCCGGCATGGTGCGAGGAGGCCTTCATCCAGCAGTGGATTGACAAAGAGCTCCACATCATTCTTATTATTTACAGGACGCTATTTATCATACAACAATGTTTCCACGTATGCTATGTGCTCAGCTCTCGTACACCTCTCTCGGTGTTGTTTAGTTCACGCCATGTACAGCCCTTTGTCAATCCACTGCTGGATGAGGGCTCCCTTACACCGCCTGGGCCACGCAGGTTATTTGACCATACTTCACCACACAGTCGAGTACGGGTTGGTAAAGGCGTGGCGGGAGCCTAGATATCGAAGCATGAATTTTCCGCGCTGGCTTTTGTACGTACTAATGTTGAACTTCTTTCGCGCCGTACGTAGCCAACCGTACGAATCGGAGGTACGGGGGAAGGACACCAAACTGCCCACAATGTAGCACCACAACGTATAACACGTGTTATGCATGGTGGTCGCACACCCACGCACTCTTTAGGCCAAAATCTAACAAGATATGACAAGATCGGTAATTTTTTCCGAGTGATTTGATAATAGGCACTGATCACGGCGATCGACGTACACACATGGTGCGTGTTTTGTAATCACTAGTTTGCGTTCCATATATTAAACATTATAATATAATGGTTTGCTTGCCAAGTCTGCCCCCAGTAGCGTGGGTGTTCTCCACTGAATTATAATCTACACTAGGGCACATGTGTCAGGAGTGGCATTTCTTACATTATCCCAATGTCATTGAAGTTATTTTGCACATTGAATGTCAATGTGTACCTAACCCTGTTATTGACTGTTGTCTGTAAAACACATTCCTAGAATTACAAAGGTCAGCTGCATTGTAACCTGCCAGAAAATGGCCATTGATTAATCCTCACAGCACTTAACAGTGATCTAACGTGCACTCCAGTGCGACAATTTGTGCCATTGAATCTATACTGTACAGCAATAATGAAGCTAATCATTTACGCAGGAGGGTTTAAGGTTTAACCCCGGGCGTGAGAACTCAAGAAATACCAGGATTGTCTCATTTGCAAGAGTCACAGGGGTCACCGAAATAGCCTCACCGAGTCTTCAAAACTCTGTGGTGAGACATCTCAGACCGTGCAAAATCTCGCTAACGACCGCCCCAATCGGATCATCACACAGCGGCGCTCTCTGAAACACATCCGCGAGACTACTCCTGAAGCAGTCGAATGGATGTCTGATCTCGACATCAATTTATCTGTTGCAGTCCCCAAAAATGCTATACATACGAAATGAATTTCGATTTAAAGCTTTCATGACTGCAGGGATTCATCTTCTGGGTTCTTTTGGTAAAGTCACGTAGAAATGGGAATAAAATAATAATAACAGAATAAAATTCTCATGACGTTTCGGCCACAACACAAGTAGCCTTCCTCAGGTGAAGAAACAGGACTGTCCGGAAGACAGCGCTTGAGTGAACACTGCCAAGCATGGACAGCGTCTTTTAAGCTGTGTGGGAGGAACAGAGCGCCTTGACAAAGGAGTTTACATATAAATTAGCATGTAACTGGGGGATTAGCATGATGTTGGTGTGAGGGATCAGCACCACAAAGGGCGACGAGCTATGTTCAGACGGACGAGGGGAGGGGGGAGAGGAGTTTACATATAAATTAGCATGTAACTGGGGGACTAGCATAATGTTGGTGTGAGGGACTAGCAGCAGTTTACATATCAACAGTAAATTAGCATGTAACTGGGGGATTAGCATGATGTTAGTATGAGGGATTAACACCACGGAGAACGACGAGCTATGTTCAGACGGACGAGTCCATCTATGTTCGGAATGGCTGAGGGGGGGGGGGGGGAAGAGGAGGAAACAGCCACGGTGCACTGCTCTGTCCTGTGTTGCGTTATAACTATGCTATAAACTGGACTAGCATAAAATACAATATTATACCTTCCAATCTAAACTACATTGTATAATATCGTATTCATAGACAAATCCCACCCTTGAATTATACAATGCGTTACTATACACTACCCTATACTTTAGACTATAAAATATTAGACTTGTAGTATTACACTATGTATTATTCTATTAACCCTACTGTATACCACACTGCTGTATATTCACTATACAATTACGGTACTATATATTGCCTTATGAATTATGTTAAACATTACACTGTTATACTATTTATTATAATACAACATGCTATAAACTATACTATTGACCGTCGTGTGATAGGTACTAATAGGCAGTGCCAGCGAATGGACTGCGGTCTGAAAGTCACCGTAAAATACAATCAATCAAGAACCAAAATGGTTTATAACGTCTTTCCAATGATTACTAAGCCAGAATCCATCTTCTCGGTTGAAATTGTCTCTGTGTTTGTATATGTGGATAGCCTCATGAACGAATCTCTCATGGTAGCCGGATGGCTTGCAGAGAACCTCCGTCTTGGAGAAGTCAATGTCATGTTGGCCCACTGAATTATAACAGTGATCTGCCACGGCTGAGGTGTTCGTCCTACCGTGTTTCAAGTCTGCTTTATGTTCACGGATGCGGTCCGAAATATGTCGTTTGGTTTCCCCAATGTAGCTGCTACCACAGAGGCACTTTAGTTTGTAAACGCCCGGGTACTGTATGTCTGGAACCACATCTTTTACAGATGGAACCAGATCACGGATTTTATGTACTGTGTTGAATCGGACCTGGATCTTGTATTTTTTCAGGATTTTGGAGATATTTTTTGTGACCCCCGCAATGTAGGGTAAGGTGATGGTTTTGAATGGCTCCTCAAGAGGATCCTTCTTCATGGTTGGAGTGATGGCTTTGCGGATTGTGTAGTCGGAGTAACCATTAGCCTTAAGAGCTTGGTGTACGTGCTTGAGTTCACTAGCAATGTGTTCCTGGTCGGAAATGCACTGGGCTCTATGGTATAGAGTCTTGATGAGGGAATTCTTCGGGGATGGATGGTGGTGGGAATCCGGTTTTAAGTAAGCATCCGTATGGGTAGCTTTCCTTTAGACAGAGTGGCTCATTGAACCATCAGGTTTCCTTTTTAATTAGGACATCCAAAAATGGTAGCTTGCCATCTTTTTCGACTTCCATGGTAAATCTTATGGCTGGGTGTATGGAATTGATGTGGTCGAGGAATTGGTCTAGAGCAGGCCGGCCATGTGGCCAGATGACAAAAGTGTCATCCATGTACCTCTTCCATAAGGTCGGGCATAGAGTGGCAGTCTGGATGGCGTCAGTCTCAAATTTTTCCATGAAAACGTTGGCAACGTTTATACTAACATCATACTAACATCATGCTAATCCCCCAGTTACATGCTAATTTACTGTTGATATGTAAACTGCTGCTAATCCCTCACACCAACATTATGCTAGTCCCCCAGTTACATGCTAATTTATATGTAAACTCCTCTCCCCCCTCCCCTCGTCCGTCTGAACATAGCTCGTCGCTCTCCGTGGTGCTAATCCCTCACACCAACATCATGCTAATCCCCAAGTTACATGCTAATTTATATGTTAACTCCTTTGTCAAGGCGCTCTGTTCCTCCCACACAGCTTAAAAGACGCTGTCCATGCTTGGCAGTGTTCACTCAAGCGCCGTCTTCCGGACAGTCCTGTTTCTTCACCTGAGGAAGGCTACTTGTGTTGTGGCCGAAACGTCGTGAGAATTTTATTTTGTTATTATTTTAGTATTTTATTCCCATTCTACGTGACTTTACCAAAAGAACCCAGAAGATATACGAAAGAAGGTGGAGAGTCCTGCACTGGGAGGTTTGGCCAATTTAATTTCACACATGTTCGGCAGGTGGAATGAGAAACGAGAACAAATGCATATTAGAAAGGGAAATACTAAAAAACTTCCATTACATTACTGCAATCTCCTGGACACCCGCAACCTGATCCTTTAACACCTGATATACGAAAGCGCTAACTAGGTCAGAAGTCCTGCTTAGTTTGTGAGCTGACCAGATCGGGTGAATTCTGGGTGATTTCATATACGATACGGTAGAAGCGAAATCCATTGTCTGTGCTCCCCATGTTTACCAAACATACACTGACCAGCGTGAAATATGGTTAACTAACCCCCCAGGACCCACACACAGCGTGGAACGTTGACAAAAGTAACTGTGCGTACTTATCCCAATGAAACTGACAACAATAAGCCACGTGTGCAATATCCGCTGTACCGAACCATCCTCGAGACCGTCGTCATCGTTTGATGAGCGTGATGCGAAGGCCACCCGAGCTTCGTTTTGGAACGATACGAACTACACTTACGCCGTAGGCTTTTGTTGTTGTTGTTGTTCTGGTCGTGCCGCGGTGTTGTTTGGAAACGACGTCCGACGTTTCGCGCGCCGCGCGCCTGCGGGGCCTGTAGCGTATGTTGTTATAAAGGGGATGCACGTAAAAAAAAAACACACGTAAATATTAAAGCTCACATTTTTTTTACTTGCACAGTAAAGTAATTGTATTTTTTCATTTGCTATACAGCCAGATAATACGACAAATCGCTAACCTTAAACACCCAGTCGTTCATAAAAGTTGAAGGCGGTATCGTACAATAGTAATAGAGCAAGTGCAGAATCACTAAACCTGCATTTGATAACTTGAATGCGTTTAGCGCGGGGCCCTTGAAAGTGCGGGGCCCGTAGCTGCTACATATGTAGTAGCTACTTTTGCTACTACGATAATCCGGTACTGCTTGCTGATCTCGTCAAGGAGCAGAGACTGTCACATCAAGCGATCTCCGGCCATCCTCGCAGCGGATTCTTTTGTCTAACCAGATAACAAAGACGGCCGCTGCATCGCGCGATTTCAGATGCGCTTCTGCGGCCGTCTGGAGCGTTCTTCTACCTTCCGACATTAGGAAGCAACTGGGAGCTGTGCGCTCTTAAATCTACATTGAAAACTCATTTCTTTAGAACTGCTTTTTGTGCTGAAGTTTGTTATCCTTCCCCACACGGCCGAGTCAGCACGGTTGGCTACGTGCGGTGCGAAAGAAGTTCAACGTGCAAGTAGTACACACGTACAAATCATTATCAGCAACAACAAAACTCAGTGGAGCTGCGCGGCCGGGGCAGGAGAGGTGTGAGTTTGCAGGCCGAAACAGGGGCCAGGAATCCTGGGAATGTTCCCTTGGGGGTGGTGGTGGTGGCGGCGGCGCTGATCCTGATGCTCACTGCTCGCTGCTTGCTGCTGCTGTCGGCCGTGCAAGCACGAAGCTCCCAAACCGGTTGCTCCGTTCTTTTTGGCGGCGGAGAAATCCCTGCGTCGCCCGGCAGCAATCGCTGTATACAGTGTGTCCTTGAAATAATGTGGGCGGGTGGAGTGTTTTGGCTTCGCTGCTCACGGGGTTTCATGATTGAGGGATGGACTTTGGGGGGGCGAGGGCGTGGGGGGGGGGACGACCAACCCCCCCCCCCACAAGAAAAAATAATTGGGGGAATTTCGTAAAATAAATTGCACTGCTGAAGTCAAAACATTTAACACCCTTTAACACCCTCCCAATCTGTAATACGAATCGGATTGGCCCTGTCTGGCAATAAAAAAAAGGTGTTAAGATGTTCAAACACCAATAGATACATTTCGCAGGGCATCAAGCCTGCATTAGCCCACGCGTACTTGTGGCGACACAGATAATACATGCATTGTCCTTGAAACTGATTGGCCTCCACCAGAGGCAGCCTTCTCTTAACGTCTCAAAACCTGTTTTATCGCTCGGAAAGGGCAAAACATACAGTACTCTTATTTTTGATACTGGCAACAAACAAAAAAAGTCCCATCGATATCCTTCCATCTGGTCTGTGGATGTATAAAACGGCGCACTTGTATGGAATTTAACACGTTTGTGGTGGTGGTGGTGCTGGCTGTTGTTTGCCTACGCAGGATGGTGGCTCGTTGGATTTGGTCTTAAAGAAGGCTCGCAGAATCCCAGAAAAGATCCTGGGCAAAGTCAGCATCGCCGTGAGTTCAATCAGACATTCTGTTCGCTTGAGTCGTCACCTGCACGCAGCAATCATTGAGTGGAATTTTCCAGCGCTGAAATGTTTTTTTTTTAGGGTTAGATCGCGTAAATATATAAATGTGTCGTTAAACCCGCCACCACCCGACACAGCCAATTGGTGAGATTTGTCACGTAAACAGAACATGCCAATTCGTTACTAGTACAGCACACATTTACAATCTGCTGAGTACGACGTTTTGCCAGTAATTACAACTAGCTTCATCAGGCAAATCTGTTTACGTGACAAACCTTGCTAATTGGCTGTGTCGGGTGGTGGCGGGTTTAACGACACATTTATATATTTACGCGATCTAACCCATAAAACCTGTATTGTGGATGGTCGCGAAAGCCTCCGTGTTAAACTGGCGCCTACGTTGGACGACTCCATTATGGTGGAGCGGATGGGAGGAGAGGTCATCTCACGCTGCTATTCTGCCACCGCTTTTGAATGACTGGAAAATGCACCTTTTGTCCAAAATAAAATGACACGAGGTGAATGTGTGTCGCTTTTTGAAGGTGATTCGAGGGCTGGCTTACCTCCGCGAAAAACATCAGATTATGCACAGAGGTACGTCGGCGCTTGGATGACGCGCCTGAGACGCTCTCGCGCTGCAATTTGTATTCACGGTTAACACAGAGAAGTGGTCCCCACATTTTTACGTTTCATAGCCTGCACGCGTTGTTAACTTGACAAGAGACACAAAATTCCACTGTCGTGTTGAGCATAAATCTGCTCGAAAGATTTGCATTACGCTTGGCCTTGGTTCGTACCTTTCATTTCGATTAATTCCGTGAAAACTTCTCACGTATTTATTTGCTTGCTTTATCTTTTCAGAAAGTGTCTGCATTTCACAGAGAAACGGCACTTCCCCACTTTGCTATTTAAACCGGATGGGAGATTGTCCTGGAGTACAGCTTGTGGTGCCGTTGTACTGTACCGACCCATTGCCCAATAGCCCCACCGTGGCGTTTAACGTTACTCATTGCCAACCCCCGGTAAAATGCCGAAGACGCGGCTACGTTTCGACACTCATGTCAGGGGTGAATCTTTTTTGAAATGCTGTTACAACCAATTTCACGCTCATCCGTGGCCTGCGCCCTCGTCGCATGCGTTCATCGCCGACGACAGCAATGGCCTGGCAAGGGGGCGAACAGTGGCGCAGCGGTTAGCACATTACAAACTAAGCTGGCGGACTTGGTTCAAGTGAGACCTGAACTGGTCCTGAACACTCCTCCGTGTCCTTTGCCCCCTCAGCAGACCGCAGTGACCAGCGCAGTAACACGTGGCCAAGCGCAGCCCCTGTGTGTGAGACAGTGCGGGAAGGGCCTTCATCCAGCAGTGGACTGGCAAATGGCTGCAATTTTGTTTTTTGCTCTGAGCAGGAGTATGAATTAAATCCGTGGGCACGAACTTCTCCTTCAACACATTGAATGGGAATAACCGCATGCGCGTGAAATTCAATTTGCCAAGTGAAATACATCAAAACAATCAAAGTAATCATGAAATAGCTTTAGAGAGAGATGAATGATCGGCGATATGAGAATATAAATTCGCAGTTGTGGGGAGCTCAAATTCACATGCCGTTGCGCGTCTGATCCCACGTGCATCTGACCCCTCGCGCGTCCAACCCCTGGCGTCTCTGACCCCTCACGCCTGACCCCTGGCTGTCTGACTTCTCGTGCACCTGACCCCTGGTGCCTGACCCCTGGCTGTCTGACCCCTGGCTGTCTGACCCCTGGCGCGTCTGACCCCTGGCGCACCTGACCCCTGGTGCCTGACCCCTGGTGCCTGACCCCTGGTGTCTGACCCCTGGCTGTCTGACCCCTGGCTGTCTGACCCCTGGCGCGTCCGACCCCTCGCACAGACGTGAAGCCGTCGAACATCCTGGTGAACTCGCGCGGGGAGATCAAGCTGTGCGACTTCGGCGTGAGCGGCCAGCTCATCGACTCCATGGCCAACTCGTTTGTGGGGACGCGATCGTACATGTCGGTGCGACATCGCTCACCGCTCTCGGTCGCTCACCGGCGTCGCTCATCCACACGCCCGCCTGGCCACGCCCGGCCGCCCACCCACCCACCCACGTTACATTCCTGCTTGTCGTTCATTTACCCAAGCTTGGGATATGCAAACGTTCGTGTGTTGTTGTGGACCCATTGTATACCTGCATTTCTCCTTTTGTCAATCCAATGCCGGTGGAAGGCCTCCGTATGTCTCTCGGTCGTGTGGATTTTCTCGGTCGTCTGACCATACTTTACCGCACTGGTGAGTGCGAGTTGGTGAAGGAGCAGAGCCATAGATATTTGGGTACTGGTACAGTAGAGTACAACAAGGGCTTTAGCTGTACTGCCCTCTGCTGACAGCTCACGCAACGCCGTGGAGCATTACGGATAATACAGTTAATAAATTCGACCTCTGTGCGTCTCTCCAAAGCACCTTAGAGAATTCTCGTAGAATTGACCGCACTAAGGTAACTCTTCGAATATTCAGAGGGTCAGCGTTATTGTGCACGGCTCATTTGTAACTGAAGCAACGAGTCAGTGAGACTCCTCACCTGAATCGACTCTCGCTTGGTTTAAATAAAAGCTGCAATCAAGTAGAAGCACACCAGGCATCCCTGGTGGGAGCAGGCTCAATTCCTCACCGCCCGGGGCCCACCCTCGCCTCCCCCGCATGACCAACGGAACCCTTCTAGGTGTGGCGTGCCTCGTGTAGGAATGAATTGGGGCCGTCACAATCGCACAAGTGACTGGAATAAATGGTCTCTTTCTCTCACGCTTATTTAAATGTTACCAGTTAAGGCCCACTGAGCTATATAGCTCTTTTTCAGAAGCGACCTGGCCACAAATGATAACTCAACGAAGCAGCTTATCGCGTGCGCATTCATAGCAGCCAAATACCTGCTTCTAAATGTGCAGGGAAAAACCGGATGACCCGGGCGAAAAATGCACGCAAGCGTCAGCGTCGGGATCAACCCCCTGCACGTCGGGCGATGTGGTTAACATCTCGCCGCTCGATCTTCCTGCGCTCCCCCTCCCCCCGCCCGCATGCAGCCCGAGCGCCTGCAGGGCACTAACTACTCGGTGCAGTCGGACGTGTGGAGCATGGGCCTCTCGCTCGTGGAAATGGCCATCGGCCGCTTCCCCATCCCGCCGCCCGAGCCCCGTGAGCTGGAGGCCATCTTTGGCAAGGCGGTCGCGGACGGCGCCGGGGGATCGTCGGCCCCCAGACCCAGACCCCCGGGCCGCCCCATCAGCTGTGAGTGGCGGCGGCGCTGCAACGGAGTTCGGTGCGCGGTGCCGACCGTCGCTGAATTTCTCGCCGAGGAATTTATTTTCTTGGGTCGCTGGTGGTCTGGATGGAGTGGTTGGCACGTGACTAGTAGCCGCAGAGTTGTGACGGATGTGGTGTGCCAGGCGTGGAAGTATTTTCCGGGTCACTGACCCACACAGATCGGGCTAAAATTTAACCCTGGGTCTTGAGTTGATGAAACTGCCTTATGCCAATGTTTCCCCGCGCTGTCTCCACCCGACCCCCATTCCACCCTAATACGGTCTTACTTATTGAATTTATGTCAAGCGTCTTGAGATGCGATTGAATTGACGTGCTATATAAAAGCAAAAATATATTATCGTCGGACTTTGAGGCCATGAGTCCAGGAATGCGGTCTACATGACGGAGGAGTGTGTAACCAGTGCAGCGTCTGATTTTGGGGGCCCCAGCTCAATGAATTGTATTGTTGGGGTTTTTTTTATGTCCACAGGCAATTGCTCCCCCGCTCTCCACACCTCCCCCGCTGCTCAGCAATTTATCTATAGCGGCCTTCCTCCAAATCTGTACACGGCCGCCCCATACTTGGGGCACCACGATCGCCAGATGTTAACTACCTCGCCTGGTATACATGGGGTCGTGGGTTCAATCCCGACCTTGACGATGCCTCTATATTTGGAGTGTGCATGCTCTCCCCGTGGATTCTTCTCCGGGTCCTCCGGTTTTTCCCTCCACATTTAGAAAGCATGCGTTTGGAGTAGTTGGCTGCTATAAATGTACACGTGGTAATCCACTTCGTTGGGCTATCATTTGTGGCCAGGTCGCTTCTGAGAAAAAGCTATATGAAATTAAAAAAATTTGAAAAAATAAATAGTCTAATAAACAGCACCTTCCCCACTCACTCAATGCAAAGCTCAAATCCACATCTGTTCATTCCAATAGGCGAAAACTGTAAATTATTCATCATCACCATTCCACTGCGAGATGAAGCCCTCCCCAAGCTGTCACTATCGGTCACGAGCTTGCGATGCGACAAATCAGGTAGCGCCTAGTGGACACATGGTGAACGCAGAGGTGGATGGCTGCCACTCAACCGTACGTCTCAACCGCCAGCGGCCATCCCTTCTTGTGGAGCGGCTACAAATACAAACCATCGCAAACGTGAAAAATAAGAACAAAAGAATATCATTTTGAACGTTACATGACCGGGTATGAACCCATTGGGACATCAATTTTTTATTTTACAAGGCAGACCTAGGCTTCATAAAAAAAAAGTGACAGCAGAATAGTGTAATGCACACCTAACATGCACAGCTAAGACAGGTCGACAGGGCAGCCTAGAGGTTCCTTGAGGCCCTGGGCTTGAGGCCCGGGGAAAGATGCCGCGTTATTCATTAGTGACAAGACACAGGCCCATTGTGGGGCCCTTTTGTGATTTCCGGGGCAAATTGCCCCCCCCCCCCACTACCACCTACCCTCCACCCTGGCCCCCCTCCCCTCTGCAGGGCTTCACAGTATATGTGTCGTAACATGTTTGTCGTAATGTTACGTTATGTGTCGTAACGTGTACTATAAACAAAAGCATACGATGCAGCTGACTATCACCAAATGTGACTTTCAGCTTTTGGTGGAGGAGGAGGAGCACCGATGGCAATTTTTGAACTTCTGGACTACATCGTAAATGAGGTGAGTTCCTTGCGTGCGCGGTGTGTTAATCAATAATATACATCCATCTCACAGAGGTGAACATTGATAACTGTATGCATCAACATGGTCAGTTACAATGCAACGGCGATGCAGCTCGTCGTTGGTGGACTTCAAGATGTCGTCGTCGTTGTTGTTGTTGATTGCAGCCTCCTCCCAAGCTGCCCCCGGGCATCTTCAGCCAGGAATTCCAGGACTTTGTCAATAAAACGTGGGTGCTCCTCTCTACACGCACGCAAAGACAAAATACCTCCGCTTTGGCTTTATAGTCTCTTGGGGCTATAAGCTGTTAGCGAGCAGCTAAATAGGAGGGCTGTGGGGTCAGCGCCACTCTAAGCTTCCTTTGTCTTTTGCGCTGTTGGCGACCGCACCACAGCACCGGGTACAGGAAGAGTCAACAAAGGTTGAGGCACAGGCGAGATTGAGACGCGCGCAACGGCCCTTTTGTCAATCCACTGCTGGACGAGGGCCTCCCCACACCCGGCAGGCCGTGGGGGGTTATTTCAAAACATGCTTCACCACGCAGGGCAGTGCGGGTTGGTGAAGGCGGGGAGCATACACAATGGGAGTATAGACGCACAATACAATGGGTAACATCGTACTGGGAGCATAGACGTGGAAGTATAGTACAGTACAACAATGGATTTGCACTGCTGCCCAGAATGCATCCATACCGCAGCCTAAACCAAAACGGAAAGTCTGAGACTTTTCCATCAAATGCAGAACGCGTGTTTGTTACATAATGAAATATAACCGTAGATTAAAGATAATATCTTCTGCATGTGATTAAAAATATCTATGTTTTTTTCTTTTAGTTTGATAAAGAATCCTGCTGAACGCGCCGACCTCAAGACTCTAATGGTAAAATCACTTTCACACACCGCAGCGTCCTGCAGCGAAACGCACGCGTGCGCCTTGCACATTCGAACACTTGACCGGCGATCGCACACGCACGGACGGGACTTAACACTTGCAGAATATTTTCCGGGTAGCCGGCAGACTGGAGTAAGCACGTGGCCAAGTAGCCAAGCCACAGCTATAAGTGAGTGGTGCTCCTCTATACAGGATGTGGTGTACCGGAGCCGGGGTGCAGAATTATTTTCCAAGTAGCCGACCCGGGAGAGACCAAATGGGGCGGACTTAACACGAGCCCTGATCCTGCCCCTGCCACACTGGCCCACAAGTTTGCACTCGGTATCAACAACCCGAATCGGGTTCACGTACTCTTTGCCGCTTGCCACCCCCCCCCCCCCCCCGCGTTGTAGGTTCTCAACCTCGTTTTGAAGCGCATTTAGAAATGCCACAGTTTGCAAAGGTGGGCCCTTTCTAAAAACCCAGTGGCATAGCAGAGTAGGCATGGGTCCTGGTGCAAGGAATTAAATGAGTCCACTTTTCCTCCTCTTTGTGGCCTGGCGTTCGGACTCCTTTAGCCCACACCTCTGGTGAACACAGTTGGCTACGCACGGTGCAAAATAAGCCTCAACATACGCACATACAGCCCATGGACGCCAGCGCAGTTGCGCCGCCTGTATACCCGATAGCTATGCCGCTGTGTCTACTGCGACTGCATAAGCAATTTGTGGCAATTGATTAACAGGCTTCGACATAGCGGTTGACTGTGTTTCAACAGCGTGAGACCCCGCTGGGACACCGAGCATCTCTTGAAAGGAAGCTGTGACCTGGGTCAAGTGACAGCAACACGTTGCTCTTTAGACCTAAACTGAAGCCGTCAACCCATCACGGTTTACCCCATATTCTTGTACAGGGAAATTGAGTTTTCAGGTCCATACGGCGAACAGCCGTTTCAATACGGGCAAAAATATACGGATATTTGTTTGTGTTTCTCCCTTGTGATGGGACTTTGTAGAATGAACGTTGAGATGTATAAGGCCACGGGGTGACCAATAAGGTGTCTGAATTGGACTGTAATAAGGTAGGGCACTGATAAGGGGTTGAAAGGTTTGCTAAACACACATGCGCAACTTAATTTTCTCATAGGAAATTGCAACACATTGCCAAAAGCAAAGCAAAAACAAACAAGACAACACCGGTGATTCCGAACAAGGGTGCAACTTGCAAACATTGTTTTAAAACACGACAATTTAAATGAGCCACACTGGATCGCGGTTCAAAGTCTAGGCCGCTGTGGAGGTACAGCAGTGCCCTCTCTCGGGCCCACGTGGTATTGTAATTATATATTCAACACCACAAGTGCTATGTTGAGTGACAAAATGGGGCCCGATGCAATTGCACTTGCCTGCACACTCGATAGCTGAGCCCCAGGTCTTTCATTTCAGCCGGGTCTGTCTGGGTCAGCGACTCAAGAAAACATTTCCGCACCCAGCACGCCACATCCAGTATTCCTCGAAAGCTGTGGACGTGGCCAATAGTCAACGTGCCCACTCCAGTTTTACCAGCAACACGGGAAATATGAAGTGAGAAATTAAGCCACGGCTCTCGTGGGTCATATTTACCCACGGTGCTGTGCATTGTTGAGAAAATTAACGGAGAGCTGCCCTCATTCCGTGTCTCCCCAGGCTCACCCGTTCATCCGTGGAGCGGAGGCGGAGGAGGTGGATTTTGCCGGCTGGTTGTGCAGCACCATCGGCCTCCAGCCACCCGCCACCCCCACACAGCCCGCCACTCAGTAAAGACCTCGGCAGAGACTCGAGGACCTAGATCCATGAGAACATCGAGATATATACGGAGTAGACAGAGACCCCAATTGTCGCAGACTCATAAGACACAAACAAGACTCGCGGGACACAGAGGCAGACAGCCGTGGAAACGGAGGCCCGCAGACACATGTCCACGCGCCGCACAATCATCCTACCAAATGGTGCACACTCAAGGTCAAGAGGTCATCATGACCGAGGCACACCATGACAAAAGAAATGTACGATGCAGAGTTGTGAGATAATAACCGAGAGCTAGTGTTCCGCAAAAAACGTGAAAATGGTTAAGTTCAGCAACAGTAGCCACAAATTTATCTTTAAGACGGTGGCGACATCAAAGGGGTGGACGGGGTGGCTCAGAGGCCCTAGCGCCAGCTGCTGCCTGCGATTAAACTGGGTTCTTGAGTGCTGCGCTTTGATAGCCTCAGCCTGGTCACCAATAGCTGCACACAAAAAAAAGCCATTGCGTAATAATTTGTTTCCGCACTTAATTTGCCAACATTTTTGCTCTGAAAATTCAGTTTGACTGCCATCAGACAAACAGTGGTAGTGGGTGGGAAAGTGTCACCCTCTACTTATGCGGACCCGGCGTCACTCGAAGGGATCGTAGCGGTAGTTCTGTCACATCCGCTTCCATGGGCTGTTCTCCTACATGGACAGTTGGGCTGTCCTGCACGAGATCGGTACGGATACTCCGTCTCATGATATGACACCAAAAGCAGTTGGAATTAAATTAGGTAAAAATACGAAAAAATTTAATATGGTGGCTACATCAAGCTGTTTATGGTACATGCGGTCTAGCGGAGCATGAGGCTTCGTGTTATTGCCTATGTTTAGTCTTTTGTGTAACGTGCTTAATATTTTGTCTTGGGTTCCATGTTTCCCAGATGGTTGTTATCAGCAGACAGGGCTGAAATATTGGATGGGTGAAGATTATGAATGTAACACGATGCAGCGTCGATTAAAATGTATTCTTATGCTCTCAATGCAATGAAAATCAACTCTAATTATACCTGATAATCGACTATCTACGTTGGTGTAAATCACATTGTTACAATTGGGCTGCTGGAGCTAACAACGGCACAAACGAGACAGTTACAAAGTATAATACAAGTGAGACGTTAAAACAAAAACCAAAAAATGGTGAATAGAATCATAACAGTTCGTGACGCTTCATTCCTGAGTCGTTGGAGGGTGGAATCGTCTCGTGAACATATCCACAAGCGTACACACACACATTGGGGCGGAGTGGTGGAACAGCGGTTAGTGCGCTGAACTTTGAACTCGGCAACATGAATTAGAATTCCGGCCCCGACTAACCTTTCTAACCATTGCAGCGAATGGCAGCGAAAATGGTCTTGGCTCTTGCCACTTCACCAACCCACACAACCAGGGTTAGTGTGGCCAAGCAAATCCCACGACTGACACGGCATGGGGGGTGGTAAAAGCCTTCGTCCAGCAGTGAAGGGGCAATGGTGGTGGGAATCGCAGACACCGCCAGGGGAACGAGTTGAAACGGCCAGATTCAAATGCGTTGTGCAACTTGCGCCGATTGCGACAGACCACGCGACGCTCACCTCGTCTCTTGCCACTTCGAAACTTGGCCACAAAGATAAAGTATAAAATGGGTTTAACGGAACAGACTGTCGGGGTTTACTTGGTGACCACCGATATTGAAAGTTTGGTTTAGGACTTTTAAGACTGGCGACCTCTGGGTGGGATCACCCAGTGGGTAGCTTTAACACCCAGAACAAGGGGCACAAGACCAGGAACTAAATGGTCAATTAGAATCACGAAATGGCCTCTTTATGGTTCAATACAAACGCTCACTAGAGCACGAAACTACACCTCATCCCTAAACAGTACCTTAAAAGATATGCATAAGGCAGTGTTGATGTATTGGGTTTAACTGTGCACCACTGCATTCCCAAAATGTATTTTTATCGAGACGAGATACATTGCCACATTCGCAACTTCACCACTGGCCAAAAACCTCAGAGCCGAGTAGGCTTTCGCGTTTGCCGACTCTGCACGCACTCCGTGCAGTCCACATCACAAAAAACCCATCCCGTGCGCGTCGCTAAATGTCTGCCGACGCCATCACAGCAAATCCACTCCATTTCGAGGGTCTCACGTTTCGTACCAAGACGGCCATTCAGCCCCACGTGCATTGGGGGCTTTCGCAGATACTTGCGGTTGTAACTTGTGGACACGTGCGAGATGGAACATTGTCTGCACGTTGTGCTTCGGCTCCTTTTAGCAGCCAACTACTGCTGTAACGCGTCTTAAAATGTCCTGCGGATGTTCTCGGGTCAAATGGGATTTAAAGGCAAAGTCATCCACTGTGATGGTAGACATTTATGGTTGCACGATTTAAAAAAGTTTGTGTGTGAGGAAAGTCGCCAAAGTGGTTTGAAAATAAGGCCGAAGATAATTTCCTGCTGCTTGCCATTCGTGGTCAGTGCAAATCCTAAAGACCGTTAGTTTCCTTAATGTGCAACAGGCCAAATATGAAAACAAAGTAGCTGCAAAACTGCTATAGCTGTACACACATTACCACGATTGCAGAACGAGTTAAATTACATTTCGAAACTGGCAGTGTCCAGTTTAACGTTACAGGTCCCTTTAATTTACATGCCATTTAAGGTTCAACAGGGCAGCCAATGGAGGCGTTACAGGCTTATAACAGCCATGGGTTGTGCAGGCGTTGGGAAACCACAAACTCCCTATATGTTGCAAGGGCCTATCGAGTCTAATACGGGAAAATGACGGCTTTAATCAGCGCAAGCACCCTTTAACAGGCACCTCCCTAGGATGCTGTTTTTGCTGATCATGTGTCCTATTGTTTCCCCAAAGGGGGGGGGGGGTTAGAACTGCCATGTTGTGTGACCAAGTCTCGTCACTTGTTTTGTATGACATGCAAAGTGAAAGCTTTCTGTTGTGTCAAGTGTACCACCGTTGTAATGCTGAAAAATGTCTACTTAAAAAAAATTACACAACCACCGCGTGTGATACTCAGATTTTTATTGTCAACTTTGCAAGTCAAGCTGTTCTTGAGCGTAACAGCAAATGCAAAAATTCAACGGAAAATAAGTAGCTTTCACAACAAAATATTACAAACGGCTACCGAGCTGCGCCGTTTGCACACACCAAAGGCCAAGTCTTCTTCCATCTCCTGTACAGCGACATAACGGGAGGGGGGCGCTTCAGTCGCCCGTCAGCCTCTTGGCTACTTGGGTGGCAGGGTCCTCTTTCAACCTGGTGTGAAACAACACGAGACCATCACTTTTCAACAAGAGACTTCAAGTGGATTCACAAGGTACGTGTCATCCATATTAAAAGACCCAGAACATTATGCAATCCCATGGAAGAGATAATGCTCGCATTTACGGATGCACGTGTAGATTTTAAGACGAGCACATTTGGGATTTAGTTTCGATTTGGTACCGTAGTTCACCTCCAAATGCATGCAATGTAGAGGAATGAGATCGCGATTCCCCCCCCCCCCCCCCCCAAAATCGGATTTCACTTAAGATTGCAAAATGTGTCCGAGCTTTTAATAGCCAGAGATCAGTAAGACTCAATTTGTTTTCATTATAATCAACAACACGGAATATCATCAGTTCAATGGCTTTCGGAATACAAGAGCATGGAAAACGCGCGCGTGTAAAACGTCTCCACTTACAGAGTTTAGGTTCTCGAAATCCATGTTCCAATGAGCAGTCCCCGCATGAACTGAAAGAAACAAAAGACCTGTTTAAGCTCAGCGGGGTCAATAAAAAAATGTATCTTAGCATACAGCATGTAAGACGTCTCAATTTGCGCTGTTACACCCATTGTACATTGCGTCGGGGTGTCATGTTTTGCATCTGGAGAAATCAGCCTGTTCAGCCTCAACACGTAAAATCAGAACGGCAAGTGAACATTTATTGTGTCTCATCACGTTCTCCAGACAACAGTTTCAAAACACACACACGACATGCACCTTTAGGCTCGTGAAAAAAATAAAACCGTAGCTCACCTTGGGGGCTATCGCCATGCGAGGCCCAGCCACACCAGCTCCAGGTTACATTCACTTCTTGGTGTGTCAGTATAAGGTGTGGCTCGGTGCAGCACTCCCGCGTTTCAATAATTAGTTGCACCAGGCACCTCTCCCAAGGACTCGTGATCACCATGACCCTGATAACGCAGTGCGAGAATGTGGTTAGCATGTGCACATTGGGACAATATTTCACCTTGGATGATTGCTAGAGATCGACTGTACACAATCAAATCTCAAACCCAATCCATTGCAATTAAAACTGAATATCATATTCAACTTGAATAGCCAATAAGCACGAGTCTGCATCTGGAGAAATCAGCCTGTTCAGCCTCAACACGTTAAATCAGAACGGCAAGTGAACATTTATTTTGTCTCATCACGTTCTCCAGATACATACGACTGCGCTTCAGGACGTGCGCCTCTCGGCCACTCCATCTTGTTACCGAAACACCGTTTAAACATTGGTGCGAGCCCATGGAGAGAACTCTTGCATCGCCACGTAAATCAGTCACGGTGCAGCTGCACGCCATTGCACACAATGGCGCCAGATTACTTTAAAATCATCCAACTGGTGAGCGAACCAAAGATCTTGACCACGTGGACGGTTTGTTTACGCCGATTGTGCGCAAACGTGCGAGGAAATTACTGCTGTACATTTTAGCATAATTATTTTTCAAATTATCACTCAACTGCATCGCTGCAGTTTTTCACCTTGGATTAGTTTGCTATCGACTGTGCAAATCCAAATGGCACCCACCCCCCAAATTGTAAAGCGTCTTAAAACCTTTTACAGCCAGAAAATTAGCAAGACTTTGTTTTCATAACGTGAACAGATGATCAGTTGACACGCGCTTCTCAGCAACTTACAGTTGGGCCATCCTAGAAGACCATCCCCCCCATTGAGCAGTCACGGCACAGGAGGATTCTCATCTGCAGCCCTTGTAAGATGGCAGCATTTGGGTGTTCAGCACAACGAGTAATGCACTGGGAAGAGAAACACCCATTTGTTAAGCTCAAGAGCAATAAAACCCCCTCTCACCCAGCAAAACATGAAATGCAGTTGGTGTCAGTATGCGGCGTTTGCATCTGGAGAAATCAGCCTGTTCAGCCTCAACACGTAAAATCAGAACGGCAAGTGAACATTTATTGTGTCTCATCACGTTCTCCAGACACCAGTTTCAAAACACACGACGTGCACCTTTAGGCTCAAAAAAATAAAACCGTAGCTCACCTTGGGGGCTATCGCCATGCGAGGCCCAGCCACAGCAGCTCCAGGTTACATTCATTTCTTGGTGTCGGTCAGTATAAGTGTGGCCCGGTACAGCACTCCCGTGTTTTAATAATTAGCTGCACCAGGCACCTCTCCCAAGGACTCGTGATCACCACGACCCTGATAACGCAGTGAAAATGTTGTTAGCATGTGCACATTGGGACAATATTTCACCTTGGATGATTGCTAGAGATCGACTGTACACAATCCAATCTCAAACCCCATCCATTACAATTAAAACTGAATATCATATTCAACTTGAATAGCCAATAAGCATGAGTCTGCATCTGGAGAAATCAGCCTGTTCAGCCTCAACACGTTAAATCAGAACGGCAAGTGAACATTTATTTTGTCTCATCACATTCTCCAAATGCGTACGACCCACCCCACCCTTCAGACCACCTTCTAGGCCAATCCATCTGAATGACTAACACTGCACAATTTTGGTTGTCATTCCATGGAGGCCAATCGATTTCATCAATAGACACACCCACCGGTGGCGATGCAGTTGCAGGACGTCGAATCTCAATTGCGTGAGATTCTAGTGTTTTTAAATCGATCGTGAATGCAATCCAATATTCATCCAATCGGTGGGCGAGCAAAAAGATCGCATGACTAGACAGTTCATAAAAATGTGTCCGTGCACACGACGTACATGAACGCGCCAATGTTTGCAAAAATGTGTCCTGCATTGCTGCTGTATTTCAGCTTGGGATTGATCAAGTGCAATCAACTGCATTTAAGAGGGGAATTCCAATCTCAACACCATTCAGGTCACCAAAATTATCTAAGCCTTGAATATACCGAGAAAACTCATTTATTTACATAAAATCAACACCACAAAATGTTATCAGTTCAACAAATGCACTTCACCTCAACTTGCAGAGTGGAGCTGCTGGAGGAAGACGACATCCCATTGAGCGGTCTCAGCACACCCTTGCAGAATTCCGTTTGAGCGCTCAGAAGGTAATGCACTGTAAGAGACAAAACGCCAATTTGTTAGCCAATGCACAATCACTCGTCACGTAAAGCGTGAAATTGCGGCGTCATTATGAGATTGCTTCAGGTGTCATGGTTGCATCTGGAGAAATCAGCCTGTTCAGCCTCAACACGTTAAATCAGAACGGCAAGTGAACATTTATTTTGTCTCATCACGTTCTCCAGATGCCCGTACTTCAAACGCCGATGCGCATCACAAAGGCTCATGAAAAACACACGAACGCTGCTCACCTTCGGGGTTTATAGCCAAGGTGCGGCCACACCAGTTTCAGATTGTTCTACTTGTTAGCGTTGGTCAGCATACATGAGTCGCCATCAACGGCTTCACCAGGGCACCACCTCCAAGGATTTCCTCATGACCTGATCAATGCCAGCGACTAGGCCATGCATGGCAGGTCCGGGATACATTTCACTTCATATTGTCGGTCGGGTCTACGTGTCCTCGAAGCCACTCGCCAACTCATCCCTTTCAATATCGGTGGGCACAGGAGCACGTTTTGGGCCCTTGTTATCACCATGACCTGCTGGAAGACCAGAAAGTTTTTTCTTCCATAAGTAGTCTCGTATCAAGATTAAAATTATAACGTTCTGCTTAGAATTCTTAGGTCGAGGAACAGGCCACAAACGTTAAGCTGGAAAATTCCACATGCATGGCATGAAAATTAGAAATGCGAGCTAACAAAACTTAACTCAGGAAGTTACTTCACTCTTAATAAAAAAACTAATTCTGAGAGTACTTTATTAAACCCCAGCAGGAACAAACACGAGCCAACATCTTATCTTTGTCATGACTCCAGAAATTTTAGCCTTATCAAATTTGGTTACCGTCTGATAAATCAAGACTCTCACCAGCAAGAGGCAGTTTCGCACCGCATTCGCCCACGGGATGGTCGCTCACCCTCCCCCGCTTGGCCAACATCCTTGTTGGCACCCACGTTGTCTTTCAGCACATCTGTAAGTTTGTACAGTCAAGGATTCTTTCCACAATTCGCAACTGGCGACGCACACCCACAACCATAACTACCCCCTCCCGCCAAGCACTCGCCTTGCTCAGTGGTTCGTTTTCAGCATCCGTGTGCGCTGGCTTACGACGGCAGGCTACCGCCACCAGACGCACAGTAAGTCGCAAATTACAGCATCATGGCAAGGCGGTGGTGCGCGAATGTGGGACTCCAAATTTTATTCTTTCAGTGGTGCAGCTATTTGTGTGCAGGCAGAGTTCAACCGTACCACAATGTGCAACAAAAAAAAGTTGGGACTTTTTGTATTTTGTTGGTCTTCCTCTGGACCGCCGATTAACATGGCTGGCTACATACGGTGTAAAGGAAGTTCAACATGCGTACAGGCTACATTGTAGAGATGCGGAAAATCGATAAGAGCCCCCACATTTAAATCCCTGCGCCAGAGGCCCATGACAAATATCCCACGCTGCTGGAACTTTCACTCGGCTCCCCCGAAAAACCCCAGAGCTGCAAAGGTGGGTGGTGATAACGAAAGGATACGTGGTTGATGGCACTCCGCCTGGACTGGCGAGTGGTGCTGCCGCTCGCCAGAGGGACACATGGCTGGTCTGGTGACCTGCAACCGACAAACACGTGGGGTCACGTCAAAATGTAATTGCAGTAAACCCAAAGCAATAACTCCGCAGTTTTAATAGTTGGAGAATCAGGACTTCGTTGTTATCAGGGTGCATCAGCAACACGGACCGAAGTAGGAATCTCATCACGTCTCCAACGCGCAGTGTACACTACACCACTGATACGATTTACTTACAACATATTTCGGTTACTTTTCAGCGTTTCTTCAACGTGCCTTTTTAACTTCCGCCTCCCTATACCCCACCCCCAAAACGATGGAGATCAAATCCTGCCATTCATCAGTAGCTGCCATAAACGTTTGCAGTCAAGGGAGTGCAAACTATTTAAGTCAACTACACTTTGAGGCAGGGATTACCGTATACCCACAGCCTTGATATTAAATTCTAAAAACATCTCCCGAATTCCACTGCAACCACCAACCCCTAGGGCTTAAAATGCGTCCTCTACCGGTATAGTGGTCCCATTAAGCAGCACGCCACAAACCCGGGTTTGAACCCTCCCCTCTCTGCTGGAAATTGTATTCGTTGCAATAAAAATCTTCAGCCCTTCCCCTTCAAACCACCGCTTAGGATCAAGGCTCTCACGCGATGTGTCAGTCATGGGGGGGGGGTGTTGCTTGACCAAATACTTCACCCCGGTCAGTTCGCGTTGGTTAAGTGCCCAGGAATCGGTTCAGCCATCACCCGGCCACCAATTTGTAAGTGGCCAGAAATCGATTTCTAGTAACCGGGTTCGTCGTGGAATGCGCTAACCACTGCGCCACCTATCAAACCCCAACAGCGTCTTAACGCTATACTGTGCTCCCACAAATGTTTTAGTAACGTTTATTTTTAGTAACGTTTATTTTTAGTAACATTTCCACTTTGCAAGGACTTGGAATTAAACTTGTTTAATTAGAATACAATGCAAGGTAGTAACGTACAAGTTCCGACGTGGGTCAATTGTAAACATTTTATATTAATACTGCATCTCAATAAAAAACTATTGTATATTCGCCAAGTCTACATTTTTTTTAACCGAGTTGACCACACTAAAATAACGCGATTCAGACATAGCAATAGTTAATGTAACCTCAGCAACTACAATAGGCTTGATGTTTTACAAGACGCACATTTTAGTTGCCTTGTTCAATATTAATTTATACCAAGCATTCCACCGCCCGTCTTATTGTAGTCAAAGTCATTTTTGACGTAAAACCCGATTACTTCATCAGGCTAGAATGTAACGATTTGACATTCGTGAGGCCTTTCAGTTGGCCCTCATTTCCCAGACGGTGGCCTATCCTTAAAAAATCCAAACTTGGCATTTTTAACTAGCGATTAAACGCAACCCATTCACGTTAATTACCAATCGATTATTAAACGTTTTTTTTTCGGCAACGCACTTCACCAGAACTGCGACAGGCTAAACACGGAGGCCCTTCACGTGGAACTCCAGGTTAGCGACCCATCGTGGGCGTTTGCCGCGATCCCGAATTCGCCATTTCAACACGAAAAGCCGGGCCCAAAAGGTTCACTCAAGTTTTTTGGAAATCCTTAAACGCTAACGGGGCCCCCCCCAAGTAAGCTCACCAAACCCTCGGGATCCCCACGTGTTTTAAACCCACCTACGTTCACGCAAAAACTTTACTTCGGTCACAATCAACAACCCAAGCGGGCTTTGTGGGGCACGAAACGTCGGCGCCCAGGGTACAGCGTTTTGGCCAAAGGAACGTAAAAGTATCTCCGGGTGAGTCGCTCCCAAACGACCGATGATGGGAGCGGATCGGCTGCATCGCATTTGCGGTGGCGGATTCGGAGGGGGGAGGGAGGGTGCCCTTCATCCAGCAGTGGTTAGACTACGTCTGTTGGTTGGCAAGGCCCACACCACCCCCTACACCACTACGCCTGACTTGCACGCGCGCGGGCCACGTGCTCGACACAAATATGCCGTAAAAGGAGCCTCGCACCGATTTTAATTGGGAGGTTAAAAACAAAACACCGCCCCCACTCTTACTAAACATCGCACGTCATTGTTGTTGCTTAGTAGCATTACAACAACAAAAAAGTTACGATGGCACGTTTCCAAGTTGTCATGATTTGATCGTCGCTGAGGAAGACGCCTTACCAACAACGGAGGTCCACCACGAAAAAAAGAGACCGCTGAGCTCGAGGCGTCCCCCTTATATAGCCCGAGAAAACCTTCCGCGGAGGGGGGGGGAGGGAGAAGTGATCCGCCCACGGCGCGCGCGAAAAATAATCTGCACCACCTTCTTCAGACCAAACGGAATTCCCACGGACGTTTAGGGGATTGTGGCCCCAAAGGGGAACAGATCGCAAAGAATACGACGCACCTCGAGTGATGTTTGTTACGCGCGCGCATACAAACAAACACGGTATCGCAGTTTTCGTCGAGGAATTATTTTCGGTCGGCGGAGTGTTACGGGTTGCGCTTCGGCGGTTAACCACGTGGTGTCGCGACGAGGCGGAGCTTGGAAAGATCGTCGTTGTCCTTGACCTATCCACTGCTGGATGAAGGCGTCAAATTCACCGGTCTCGTCCTTTTTTGTTTTTGCCGACGCAGCAATCCCGTCTCGCTCCTGCACGACTTATATTGTTGCTCCGTCTCCAGACCAGCCACAGATCTGGCTGTCCGCCTGATGACGCCGCTTTGTAATTACTGACGAAACGTCGTACTCAAGATTGTAAATGTTATGGATGCACTCACCAACAACACCGCTGTGCTGTACTAGTAACGAATTGGCACGTTCTGTTTACGTGACAAATCTTACTAATTGGCTGTGTCGGGTGGTGGCGGATTTAACGACACATGTTTTATTTAGGGGCCGTCCATAAATGACGTCACGCGATTTTTAAGCCCCCCCCATCGTCACACGGCGTCACATAAAGTCAGACCCCCCTAAAAAATGACGTCACAAAGCTCTGCCCCCCCCCCCAAAATAAAACATACTTCAAATCGCTTTAAACTATTGCCATTGTAGTGCGTTTTTAATGTGGCGCTGCACTCTGATGTAGGAGAAAACATTTATCAAAAAGTATATTTAATTAAGTAGAACGTGTCTATAAAGTTGCGCATTTTGATGTGACGTCACATTTCTCAACCCCCCCCCCCCCAGGTGCGTGACGCCATTTATGGACGGCCCCTTAAACGATCTAACCCAAAAAAACTATACTATGGATATTGGTCGCGAAAGCCTACGTATTATAAACTTATTTCATTTTCTGACAATGTCCACGCCTGTTGTTTATCACGTGCACCCTTCATATACATCCCGTGCGTACCGCTCTACTGCGTCAGTCAAGATATATTTTCATGGGAATGTGGAATTCCCGCTTTTGCTCTGGGCCTCCAAAGGAGACGGACCACCCACTGCTACTTTGAAGTCACTTGGACTCACAACGTTGACTCAGCTCTCAGCTATTATAATATTTATAATAGCTGAGAGCTATAACAAAAAAGGAGTCTTCTGACCAAACCTCGCTGTACCACATTGACAATTCTATCGTGCCAACACAACACCCTCCCATTGGCCATCACGTATGCTATATGCAGGAACTGGATAGTTTCTAACGGATAAAGGAGCCTTCTTCCATTAATTCGTAGACATTGCTGTTTATACATTAACCAAGCTCGGAAAGGGCTTTTACCATCCAGCGGGGAAAATTTCACCTAAATGTGTTCTCAGCTGAATGAAAATTATCTTGGCAATTAACGTGGATATCCATCATACGTCATTTCAAATGTCTTAGGAGTTTGGCTCGTGTTCAACCATTTCAGGACCGATCCTTTCCCTGAACAACAAGATCCAGTCAAGTTGGTACACGAGTGGTTATTCTATTAATCCCCGATAGGAACGCGAGATTCGAAACGCTCATTGATATGGGGCCACCAATGAAATGCAATCAAAAGCTCAACACAAATTCTAAAACAATTTTCACAAAACTCGTTTGCAAAGGTCTAAAGTCAATTCTCCAACCGTGGAAAAAAGTGCATTATTCTGGTCAGGGTGAATTTAATAAGGTAGCAAATGGGTATAATGTATTTACCAGTAACATTTGATTTGAAGCTTTCGTGACTGCAGGAATTACTCTTTGGTTCTTTCGGTAAAGTCACGTAGAAAGAAAATATATAAAATACGTTCCGAATGCAACACCAGCAGTCATTCGGTAGAACTAAATTTGAGAGAAAACACAGACACGGAGACACACACGTAGACACAACACAGAGACTGTCCGTTGTCTCTGTTCTCTCTGCTTGTCTGTCTCCGTGTATGTCTTGTCTCTCAAAGTTAGTTCTAATGACTGCTTGTGTTGCAATCGAAACGTTGTATTCTATTATTTAATTTCTTTCTACGCGACTTTACCGAAAGAACAGAGAAATTTGAAAGTCACTGCAATAAAATCCCATGTTTTGGGAAACTGGCATTCCAAATTTTTTACCGATAAAATCTTCCTTTATCGAGGTAGTATTTAAAAAAAACTATTAATTTAATGTACAGCTCACCAAAGCAGCAACTATGTAATGTGTATACTGTAGTCGATGCAAATACGAACATGCAAGTTTATACAGTTTCTCCAAACTCCAATCCTTGAGCCACCAGTTAATTTGCATCTGAATGGGGAGTAAATTGGTAAACGCGGAAAAATGTAGGTGGTGGGTAACGAGGACTAGTTTCGGAAAACCTGAGCTCATGGATTTAGACAAAATCTGCCATCTGCATGGTCACAATTTAAATAAACACTTAAGTAACATATTGATTACAACAGTTTAAAAACAATCCCATTTTTTGCGAAAACTTGTGCTGAATTGAAGCGAAGGGACAACACGATGCAAGAGCCATTGTCATTAATTGCCTTTTATTTGAACGAACCAGGTGTTAGGAACAAGGCCGGCACAGCAAGTCTGCATGGGTGGCTCCAATCAGGGCCAGTTATGCAGTAGTCTTGGCTGCTTTCTTTGCTGCGGCCTTCTTTGCGGCTGCCTTCTTGTCGAATGGCTTCTTGACGGCTGGCTCTTTTGCGGGTTTCTTGTCTTTCTTGGCATCCGCTTTGGCCTGTTTGGCAGCCTTGCTAACAGCAGCGGCAGCCTTGCCAACAGCAACAGCATCCTTGTTCTTCTGTTGTCGGAGAAAAACAAATCCGTGTTCAATGTCAACGTAGGTTACAAAAACGCACCTGCCCACTACTACCAGCACCAGTTTAAATATTTAGCTAACGGCAAGAAATAAACCTGAACGAAAATTTGACTTCATTACATAAATATGTAACATCATATCATCATTCTAAGAGTCAGATCAGCACAATTACACACCCATTACAATCAACTTCATGAATAGGGGGGACATTCCTTTTGTGGTTTCAGGATGCGATCTGCAGGTCACGCATGTCTTCAAGACTTACATGGCGCTCCTCTGCGAGGAGAGCGTTCCGGCGAGCCGTCTTGGCGTACGGGTTGAGCTTGATCATCACTCGGAGATTCTTAAGTGGGTTCTTCTTCAGCACACGACGCACAATCTTTTTGCTGTAAAAGACAGCGATCAGGCAACCAAAACAAGCAATTTTGTTAAAAAATATACAATTTGATAAAGAACGTACAGCGATTAGAAAACACATATTGTCGTGCAATTCTTAACTTTAAACTTAATTAACCTGCTTGTGGGGAACCTTAAAGGAAATATCAGTTAATTCTGCAAACGAAACACTTACTTTGGTGGTCTGAGCACTTTGTGGATCTCTTCACTCTTGAGGATACGACTGAGATCAGAGTTGGTCATCTTGTTCATGGGTAGGCTGCAAAAAAAGAGATAAATCCACCGGCAACTTAGATCTGCATAGTTAAGTTCCGTACAATGACACGCACACAGACACATACTTATTCACCTCAGATTAGCACAGTTGGCCGAGTACGGTACAAAAGAAGTTCAACATACGTACTGTTTCTAGTAAGACACTATCCCTTCAACATCCCAGTGTTAAGACAGCAGCTTACTTGTAGTTGGACTTTTCCTTGGAGGGTTTGCGCCAGGTGCCGTAGATGTCGTCCAGTTTGCTGAACGCACTCTCGGTCCAGATGCAGAATCGGCCCACGTGCCCACCAGGCGCCAAGCGCAGAAGGTTCAGCTTCTTCACTGAGAGAAGTGTGATGCCTGCACGTGGAAAAAAAAAGTACACTTAACTCACGATGCTAATTCATATCTTGACAATTATTACTCTACTGCTGCCTATATGAGGGGACACTGGATAATGGGACAGGGTACTCAGAACATCTTTCCATTGTTTTCACGTTGTACCCCATATTGTTCGGCATTGAAGTCAGAACACCACACGGTAAAACATACAAATACGCTAGAGACCAACACTGGACGACCATAACCCAGGCAGCAAGGAACCTGGGATGTTGCGGAAGGCGCGGGTGAGGCCGTTGTCTTCGTTGTAGATGATGCAGGGCCCGCGGCGCTGGATGCGACGACGGTTCCTCATCTTGCCCTTGCCTGCACGCAGGCGCTTGGAGGCGTACACCTACAAAGCAAACGCACGCTTTCATTAGCGAAACTGTGCAGTACACGTGTACTGTTTTCACGAGTACATTTGAGCATGGGACATGGCCTGTATAACAAGGGGATCTAAAAACCATCTCGCCAGGCGCTTTGAACAAACCTTCTTGACGTCGTTCCAGGCCTTGAGCTTCTTGAGCAGCAGCACGGCCTCCTTAGTCTTCTTGTAGCCCTCGACCTTGTCCTCGACTACCAGTGGCACCTCGGGGATCTCCTCGATGCGATGGCCTGGTGGGGGACACACCGTGGCATCCACAGATGCATTCAGCAGCTGTAACAACTAAATATGCAAACAGTCTTATAGAAATATAACCTTCAAAATACAGCCCTTTAAGGTGAACATTTGGAGAATCAGGACTTAACTATTATCAGGGTGCATCAGCAACACAGACCAAAGTGGGAGGCTCATCATATCTCCAAACACCACGCATTAAGATTTAATTCCACTTTAAAATTTTTGTCACGTGAAAAAGAATCTCCCTGGTGCTCACCCTTGGACATGACAAGCGCAGGGAGAGCAGTGGCGGCCAGAGCGGAGCATATGGCATATCGCTTCTGGGTCACGTTCACCCGCCGGTGCCAGCGACGCCACGTCTTGGTTGGTGCGAACATGCGACCTCCTCGGCACATCTACATGGACAAGCTGTCAAGGATTCATTTTGACGCACGAACCAAAACACGACCCGCACAAACCGCTGCCAAGCGCCTCGCTCAGCGGTTTGTTTTCAGCATCCGTGTGCGTTGGGCTTCACGACGGTTAGGCTACCGCCACCAGACGCACATTAAGTCGCAAATTACAGCATCACGGCACTCGTAGAATTCCGACGCTCTGCTCCAGCGTCACCCCACCATCCCAGGACAAGACGTGAGAAAGGATACGTTTCCGAAGGCACCCTGCCCGGAGCGGTGCGTGCCGCCACCCCTCACACGGGGGATACGCGCCACAGCCCGGCCAGTACCCCACGACTCGGCGCTGGTCTGGTGACCTGCAAGGGACAACGCACGACGATGGTTATAAGCGTTTTGCGTTTCACTGCCATTCCATTAAGGCGTTGTTTCACATTGGCACTTGTGCAATAACAATAGCGAATGAGCAATCCCGTCACATTGATGCCTAGGATACACTTCCGAGCCTAATGACCGTTATATGTTACGGATGATATATTAGGTGCATTTTGTTTAAAGTTTCGTCAGCAATGGCTAAACAGTAAATGTAACTAGAGCATGTTTAATTAAGGCAATAATTATACCCATTTTAATAGACCAGCGAATGGCACTGCACTCTCAAAATAGTGCAAATTAGAATGATTTACTTTTTAACTTTGAAGGCTATTTAATATCCCTAGATAAAGGTAAGAGGCAGAGACTACATTAAAACCAGAGTTTTTATGACCACAAGCTACATCAATTATTCGTGATTTTCCGGCTTGTGTAAGTCCACCGTGGTTGCTCATTAATCCACGTGTGATCTCACATTCCCACGGACGTCGACTATTGGCGGCCGAGAGAGAAGACGTAAAACCGTTAAGACTGCTGAGTGGTTGGGTAGGGGGGGGAAGTGCGGTCCCGAGGCTCACCGTACCTGCATTCACGCTGACGGCGTAGGGCTGCCGGCTGTTTTTGCGCAAGTTCGTGTGCACGAAGTTCACGATGTCCGGGCGGATGGGCGCCCTGAACACGGCCGGCATGACCACATTCTTGCCAGAGCTTTCCCCCTTCTCAGAGTATATGCTTATAAGTGGACGTGCGCACGCCTGTAAAAAACAAGATAACGCACTTAAAATGAGCGCTTTTGAACATTTCATGTATTGATATGCATTTGTGATGTTAACCTACAAATACATTTCTTTGTGTGGTAAAATAATCAGCACGTGTCTACAAAGTCGCGTGTACTTAGCCATTATGAATCACAGCAAGACCGTGGCGTTTTACTCTCAACGAGGCCAAATTGTAACAGTCCAAACAAAGAGGCTGGGCTAGATTCGTGGCATGGGGCTGGAATTTTGGTTATGACTTTTGAGCGAGGTCCATTTCAGTACATTTTACCTAGACCAAGGCGTAGGTTGAGCCGAGAGCTCTTATTTCAGCTCAGTTTAATTACTGGACTAATTTTGCAAATAAGATTGACAAATACAATAACCTTCCCCCTTGTACTGGTGTTTCGCCCTGATCTGAACACTTTGCATATAGGCGACGTGGACGATCAGTTTCAACGCTTAAGCGAGTGCATATCGAAAGTCCGATTCTCGTGTTGATGTTAGGCCTAGCCTAGGCTAATCTCGCATGCCCGACTCGATTAACAACAACCTGGCCTCTCCTTTGTCTAAAAGGTCCGAGTAAACATGATACCCGCGACATTTCATCGATTGGCCTGTGGGCTTCCACATTAATGCTTTACTATAACATCACGGCAACGCGTCATTGCGCAGTCTGGTCTACCAACAGCAGTGGCATGATACATAAAAGCAACAAAAAAATCGCCACTTTTAAGGGCACGACAATAAAAAGGTAAAGCCGCAGTGGGGAACATGCCTCCCTTAACCCATTGCTCAACTCAGTCTAAGGCCGTTGTGACGGAAATTCCACATTGTTACGAGGCGCGGAAAACCAGTCCATCTTTAACAAAAAAAACCTATACTTTGCCGGACCACGCAGCCCCAACTCTTTACCAACTTGAAACACAAGTTACAAACGCAGTTAAAAACAATCTTAACTCCGCTTAGGAGCCGCTCGGGGCCCACGTGTCCTCGCCTGAGCCGGGCCCAGGCTCCACAGCTCGCGCTGGGCCCACCACCACCACATATTAAAAAAAACCTCCCCCCTCAAAGCACGGATTCACAGATACACCGACTGGCGTTCATGGTAAAGGCCGCCGCCCGTGCTTCTAGTGGGACCGAAGAAGACGTTCCCCCGCGCGAGAAGCGCCACGTTACCATAATTCTCCTTAGCGCGGCTCCGCGGCCTCAGCGACTCCTGACGGCGGTAGCGGAGGAAGAGGCCGCAAGTAGCGCGCGGGGGCGCCGCGTCACGCCTCCATCCTCCTCCGCGCGACCGCGTCACCGCGTCACACACCCCCCTCCCCTCTCCGCCTCCACCCACGACTAAATAATAATAAAATCTCCGCAGCGAGCGTGTTTTACGTTTGATTTGAGCGATTGAGCCAAATTGCGCGGTGTGTTTTTTTGTGTGTGTGCGTGATGTGAAATAGCCGCGTTCGCGTGATGCTCGTTTGAATTTTAGCGTGCGGATTATTTTTTTGCGTGGAGATGTATTTGTGTTTGTTGTCGGTGGAGCGCGTTGTGCGGTTCTTGTGGGGGCGGGGACATCGCCGGTGGGCGTGGTCAACGCGATTAGTGCCAGAGGCTGCCAATTGCAGCTACATGATCGATCTCTAGAAACCAGAACGATCAGCGCCGGATTATCCTCGCAGCAAAAGTAGCGACACATCCTACGGGCCCCGCACTTTCAAGGGCCCCGCGATAAACGCTTTCAAGCTATCGATTCCGGTTCAGTGATTCCGCACTTGCTCTATTACCATAGTACTATACCGCCTTCAACTTTTATGAACGACTGGGTGTTTAAGGTTAGCGATTTGTCGTATTATATGGCTGTATAGCAAATGCAAAACTACAGCTACTTTACTATGCAAATAAAAAAATGTGTGTTTTCATATTTATGTGTATTTATTTAAGGCCCCTTTATAACAGCACGTGCTACAGGCCCCGCATTAGTTAAATTCGGCACTGACCATAACCATGCTAAATTAATATGAACATTTGTAGAGAAAGCAAACAATTTATTAAAAAAAAACCTCTAGCTGTCTCCCACCAATCTCATTGCACGTGCGAGCACTCTCCTCCTCTGGAATGAATATATTATAGTACTGTGTATATATACACACACACACGTCTTCATCCAGCAGTGGATTGACCATTGCTGATGATGGATGACATGTCTCCCTGCATTCTCAATACAACGTATTCACTCGCGGTGTTCATGATCACCCGTTGAGAAGAAAGGGTCATTAGAAATCAGCCAATTATACATCAATAAAATAATTACTAACAACATACTTTCACGCAGTTTCTAGTTATTACATATGTAGTGACGTTAATGGAGTCACTATGGCGTTTAGCGCCAGCTGCTGTCACAAGAGTGGAACTGTGCGTCTTGAGCCTCTCTCTGGCACCAGATTAGATATGGCATGGAAGCGGGCCCTGGGGGGCATCGTTCGGGTGACGGTCAGAGGGAGGGCAAGTGGGGACGCGACAGTCTGGGTGAACCCGAGATGGCACGTGACCGGGACAGGGTAGCGAGGGGGCCCGAAGGGGGCTTGAGGGACACGTGATGTATGGCCCAGAGCCTTCTCGTAGGATCTAGAAGGGGGCGTGGCCGAGGGCGGAGCCAGGCCACGCTCAGAGGCATGAAAGGAAAGTCCCGAGAGCCGATCCGGGCTGTCTGCTGGAATGGAACCCGTCGGTGCTACGTCTTTTCAACCTTCAGTCTTTACGCTCGGCTTCGTGGGTCAGGCAGTATGTTACTGACTGACCGCGTTATATAGTTACCCCGTTGTAGTCTAGCTAACCAAGTGTACTTTTATGCAGTTTCCCTGTTGGGGTGTTATAATAAACGTGTTGCCTCCAAGGTCTAGTGTGTGTCTCCGTAGAACCCACTACACATCCACAAATGGGAAACTAAATATCGCATACATTATGAAATACTGCGGGGAATATTACAGCCCAAAAATGTTACAAATAACTCGGGGTATTAAATGACTCTGGGTGCCAGACATTGCCTTGCAGCAGTTTTGTCCTAGGTCCTGCAGCCCGGTGTTCTTCATTGCAAGGCCCGCGGGCTCCACTGGCGGCCCCTGGTGGCTTTTAGTGCGGCCCCCTGGCATGCGGCCTCCCGACAAGACACAACATGTGGACACCTCACCATCATCATCGTGCTGCTGCCAAACCCCAATGGTTTTAAATGTGTGGCGACCCTCACACACCGATGATGTCTTGACGGCGAAAGTGGCCCCCCCCCCGCCCCTCTGAAAACGTGTGAAGAACGCTGCTTTAGCCAGTGTTGAGCTTAAAAGGTTAGGAAGATACCGTTATAGCTGTGATCGTGGCATTCGTAAATCAATTGCAATTTTCCTTCAATTACCGTATAATTCCGATTGCTGTAATCCTATTCATATTCTTTCGGTCTTTCGGTAAAGTCACGTAGGTTCAAAGAAAATAACAAAATAACAAAAAACTACGACATTTCGATCGCAATACAATTATGATCAGCCCCGTGTGCTGAAGACTGCTCATTGCCAATCGTTGGGAATGACACTTTTTTTGTAAAACACAAACGCAATGCATAGAACAGTGCAAGGATTGCTTTATTCAGAAATCGGTCGTGACGGGACATACGGTAGACAGACGCGTTGGGTCACAACTTTGGCAGTTGCATAAAGTTTAGCAAAACGTATGGTGGTTGAGCGATGATCCAGTATGGGCTCCAAACATTGCTATTGCTATATTTACGTGCACATTCTCCAAACTTACACTATTTTGAACAAATCATGTTAATCATTCACCATTTCTAAAAAGTATCGAAAATACATTTTCTGGAATGCATTGGCATATTAAATAACTAATGCCCAATTACCGGTGGTAGTGGTGGTTTTAATATATCGTGATGTATTTCCACGTGCACTTTGCGGCAGTTTTGTCTTTTAGATTAATATTGATCGTGCACCCATTCATTTTATCATGGCTAACATCAGCGGCGAGTGAAATCGGAACCAGTTCTGGGCGCCCGCCTTCACCAACCTGCACTGACTAACATAGTGAAGCATGGTCAAACAAATCCCACTTTCGATATTGTGTGCGGAGGTCTTTTATAAAAGCTAGATTGAAAACTAATTTCTTTAGAACTGCTTTTTTTGTTTAGTTTGTTGTCCTTCCCCCGCACCTCCGATTGGTTGGCTACATATGGTACGAAAGAAGTTCAACATTCATACAAGCAAGATCGGCATCGCAGCATCTCTCCACCGCTCACACGTTCGAGCAGACCAAGTCCGTCGCTTTCTTCCCCGCTCCCGCAGTCTCCTCCACACTTGGCCCGGCCCTCCTCTGGCTCTTGTCGGAGCGTCCGCCGCTGGACGTCTTCACGGAGGCCCGCTCGGCCTCCTCCTCCCCGCCGCCGCTGACCCTCGGCCGCGCCCTCTTCGCGGCGTCGGAGGCATGCGCGGCCGCGTGCGACCGCCGCTCTGGGTGCGGGTGGATGTGCAGGTACTGGTCCGTGCCCCCGCTGTGCTGCTGGTCGCTGCTCGATGCGTTGGACATGTCCGACTCGGACGGGTGAGCGGCGGTAAGCGCGGCCGGGGCCGTCGGCGGTGGCAGCGACCTAGCGTCCCCGCCCTGGCGCTGCCCCCGTGAAGACTCGCGGCTCGACGCCGAGGTGTGAGACCGGCGTCCCGATTCCGCCTGCTGCTGCTGCTGCTGGTGCTGCTGTGGTGGCCCCTGCTGCTGCTGCAGCGGTTGTTGCTGCGGTTGCGCTGGCGGCGGAGGCAGCGGATGTGGCGGGGATGCCGGTGGCGGTGGTGGCGAGGGCCAGCGGAGGTCATCGGGGTCCGGCAGGAGGAGATCGCCCTCGGGAGCGCGGTGCGTCTCCGCCGTGAAGACCCGCGTCTGCACGCGCGACATCCCCGCTCGGGGGTTCCCCTCGTCCTCGTACTCCTCCTCCTCGTCCGAGTAGCGCGAGCGGTTTCCCTCGCCGATGTAGAAGCGTGCGGCGCGCATGCTTTCCATGCGGCGACGGTGCCTGTGCTGCTGCTGCTGCTGCTGCTGTGATGGCTGCTGGTAGTAATGCGGCTGCTGCTGCTGCTGCTGGTGCTGCTGGTGGTGGTGGTGGTGATGGTGGTGGTGGTCACGAGACGGAGGCCGCTCCTCCGCGCCGTGGAAGTCGCGGGTGGAGCGGCGCCGCTTCTCACGAGGAGACGCGGCATGCACGGCGCCCGGCGGGGGGCCGTGGCGTGAGCGGTAGCACTTGGCCTCCAGGTGCGGGGGCAGCAGGCGTGGCACGACGCGGGTTCTGGGCGAGGCGTACCTACGCACCGCACGTCACATCCCGATGGATTCGTTGTTTTCGTGATGTGACGTCAATAGCACACCAGAGGTAAAATTTGGTGGGAAAAGACAACATTGCTTTCCATCTTTACTAATGTGTTGTGAGCTCATCTGATTTCTCGATCTCAGGTCAGAGGTGAACCTTTTAATTATGGCTTTAAAGTCCACTGCCACGCTCTTAACAAATGTCCAAATTGTGTTTAGAAATGTGGATGGACCATCGTCATATCCTTGTGTGAGTAAAAAGTCAGTTGGTCTGAGTATGTCTGACACTGTGGTATGTTATGAACTACAGTTCAATTTGGTTGACATGCTATTCCCAATAATTCCTTTTATGAACATAACAATGATTTCCCGCATCTTTAAAGCGTCTCAAATGTGAATCAAACATCGTGGAATACTAGCTCCCTTTCAAAGTCTACGACTCCGGTGAGACAAGTTTAGTTTTTTCCGTCCCCGTCAGCACATAGCGAGACCAAAACGAGTGCCACTCACCGGACTCCCCTCTGCACTGGCTCGCCCGGGTAGTATCCCAGAATCCTCTGTGCCTTGCGGCTGATGGGCAGCAGGAGCTCGGTCTCCTGCAGGTAGGGGTCACCGTGTCGCTCGGACACGTACATGCCGCCCGGCATGCGCATCAAGTACCCGGCGGGGCCCGGACCGAGCCACTCCATGCCCGCAGGTGGTGGCCTGCACAGCACGGGTTGATTATCAGTGAAACAAGTTTGGAGAAATATCACGCGTACGCATGGATTGCGTGACACTCTTCAACATGCGTGTGTCTTTGGAAGTATTTCATTCGTGGTTTGTAAGCCGATGGGCCTTGCAGTGCAGTGATCCCGCACCTCCAATTAGCACGGTTGGCTTCGTACGGTGCGAAATAAATTTAACGTACAGAAAACATGTTACGATTAATTAAGCTCTGCCACTGGCACACACGACAATCGCTATGCGACTGGACAAGGGACAGGAGAAACTGTGACAACGCGATGCCCACAAGCCATCCCGTCTGCGTCTCCACGGCTGCGGCCGCAGGGCCCTGTCTCGTCAGCACCTGAAGAAGGCTCCGGGGCGTCGACCGGGCTCTCGCGTCACCACCTGCGGCCTCCTGGCCTCCAGCGGCCGCTCTGGGTGCGGAACCGCGTGCGCGTGGGACCTGGGTGGCCGTGGCCTCACGCTCTCCACTGCGTGCGCTGCACGGGACAGACAATCAGCGTGGAACTCAAGGGCAGAGAGTTTCTCAGGTGGCAGACAAACAGCGCAGAACTCTAGGGCAGGGTTTCTCAAAGTTTTAGGGCTTATTTGTGGCTCAAGACCTTCCCAATGATTTCAGAAGTTAAGCAGGTCTGAGCCTGGACAGTAGGTGACCTTCGAACAAAGAGAGTCACTGTATTGGGCGCTTTGAAATGTGCTTCTGCGTTCGTCTGGAACGCTCTTCCTTCTGATATTCGGAAGCCACTGGAGCTATGCACTTTTAAATCTACATTGAAAACTAATTTCTTGAGAACTGCTTTTTGCGTTCAGTTTGTTTCCTTCCCCCGCACCTCTGATGAGCACGGTTGGCTACTTACGGTGTGAAAGAAGTTCAACACTACACATACATACATATGGGTGATGTGATTCGTGCCTTGTTTTTCTAGGTGGTAGCAGGACTGTGCTACATTCTGTGCTCTGATGTCTGTTCTTCCTGTCTTCACCACCCCACACTGACCAGCCAGGTGAAGTATGGTCAAATAACCGCTATGACCTACATGGTTTTGGGGAAGTCCTCATCCAGCAGTGGAAAACTTTTTTTGGTTTGGCCATGTTTGTTTGTTGTAGTACGGAGTTAGACTGATGGCCTTAATCTAAGTTGTATTGTGGTTGTTGTTGTTTTACTTGCATCCGACTGGGATTTTTGCACAGAGCGTTTGGTTTACGGTGCTTTTCAGGAATATTTTGCTGTTTTTTCCTGGATTCTCTGTTTGCACAGTCACACATAGTCATTTTAAATGTTTTCTTGTTCATGTTTTAGTTTTTTGTTTTGTTGCGGTTGCACCCGATTAGAGCTTTACCAAATAAATGAAACTGAACTGAAATGAAATGATTGACAAACGGGCTTTACATATTTATGTTTTCAAACTCCAGTCCTCGCGACTCCCCATGACGTGAGTTTCCAGGTTCACCAATTCACTTCTGGCCAAATGCATATGAAGTGGTTAAAAGGTGCACGCGCCCTGATGATTGCACAACACGTGACGTAGAGAACGCTGATTACATTTTAAGCTTGTGATCTTGTGTGTGTGTGTGTGTGTTCCATGTGATGTGTACAGGGCTGGAAATGGGAAGAAATAACCGGGGGGAACTCATTAATGATTCACCTCCAACCCCCACTAGATCTGAGGAGGAGGAGGACCTTCGCTTCGTGCGTGGGTCTTTGAGCGTGTCTGTGTGTCTCTCTGTTAGTCTAGGGGGTCTGTCTGTGAGTCAAATAAATAATAAATGAAGATGAATCCTTGCTTCCTTCTAGAACGCAGTCGGGATCAAATTTTCACTGCCACCACCGCGTTCCGTCCCATTTCCACCAGTGGATGTGCACATAGTGTTTATTCAAAGTAAGATGGAGATCTTGCATGTGTCACGTGTCACACGTGATTTGCAGAGAGTGCATTAAGAGTCATATCTTGTGTGTGTGTGTAAACGAACGTCCCTTGACAATGTTCCCATGCTTTTGTTTGACGGCTGTGTTTAAATCGAAGCAACGTGGTCCGATATATATTAATTAGAGTTTCCAGAACTTTGTCGATGCCATACAAATAATATATGAACTACCAAGCTCATTTTCAAATCTAAAATATAAATGTGGCCTTTGGTCATAACATTCACAAGCTCTTAAAACCTGTAAAATCTAAAATATAAACTTCTGATGGTTACTATAAAAAAAATATGCCAATAATGTAATATTTTTTTAAGCCATAGGAAGGAGTTACACAATGTTATAGAGGAAAGTAGAGCTATTCACAACGCATTCATTCTGTAAACACTGCATGGTTAAAGTTCATCAATAGGTGCTCACTCAGCTAGGTGTGTGTGTGTGTGCGCATGCCTTCGCTCGTCCTACATCTCGCCATCTCGGGCGTGGAGTGGCTGGCCTTCGCGGGGTGCGCTCCCCGCGACATCGGGGCAACGGCTTTCGGCCTCACGCCGCCACCGGCGCTCGCCGCCACCGCGGCCGCCGCCTCCGATATCGAGTCCTCCCGCCGGAACCCCACCACCGCCCGCCTCCTGCCCGCCGGCGTTCTCGCGAGCGCCTGCCCGTGCCCCCCGCGAGGGCGCGCCGCCAGCTCGGGCGTCGAGTCTCCGCGACGGGCGCCCGCGGACGCGCCGCCGCCGCCTCCGCCACTGCCTCCGCCGCCTCCGCCACCTCCGGCGGCTGCGGCGGCTGCGGCGGCGACGCCGGCCGCCGCCGCGGCGCCCGCCGCCGCCGCCGCAGCCGACCCTCCGTTTCCGGCGGCGGGGCCCGCGGGCCGCGGCGCCGCGACCCCCGTCACGGGCGCCGGGTGGCCGTGCGAGCGCGGCATGTCCGGGGTGGACTCCGCGGAGGGGATGAAGAGCATCTCCTGCGTCGGCGAGGACGGGGCGGACGAGCCGCGGCTCTGGGACTCGTGGGTCGGGGAGGAGCGCTCGCCGCCCTCCTGTAGTCGCGCTGCCGGCACAAGGGGCAAGGTCAGCCGCCCGCCACAGCGTGAGGTGGCCGTGCGTCGCCTCGCCCTGGGAAGCAAACGCTCTGATGGGTGGGCACGCGATGGTCGAGGCTGACGGTGGAGTGGCAGACGAAAGGAGGGCACGCGTTCGAGGCCACGGCCGCCGTGCAGATGACGGAGCGATGAGACCAGGTTGTGCGAAAGAGCTGTATGGGTTATAGCATCACGAGATGGTGTGCGATGGTGGCAACTCGGGGAGGCCTTCACCCAGCAGTGTTGTTGATCGCGGGTGATGGTGATGAAACGTTTTTAAGGTGACAAACTTTGTAGTTAGTCAAGCGTCTCATTTTGTGAAGCAGTCCTTATGTGCCGTTTCATGTATTTATCGTGCTTAGGGTTGGCTCTAAAACGATTGCTATCTGACCACTTTGAACTGGCCATGCCTGGAATGCGTCACATTTGCATCCACGGAGCAGGGAGGAATTGCAACGGGATCAGAGAAATTCACGTTCGTAAAATTCATACTCACCAAATTAGAACATTAAATAATAAAACAAAAATTTACCTGCTGCCATTTGAAACACTTTCTTTTTGTCCTCTGTACGCTCCTGAAAAACAAAATAATGGAAACGCAAAAACAGTTCCTTATTTACTGATTTAATCTAATAAGAGTTGGTGCAGTAATGAAGTGGTTACCCTTCTACACTATGAACCCACAAACCTGAGTTTCACTCCCGGCTACATCTACCGTCAATGACAAGTAGCATCTGGATCGAAATGGGGGCACCCCGTCCCCACCCCCCCCCCTTCACATAGTTCAGCTTCGGGACCCCTGCAGCTATCTGGGCCCCAGTTCCATTCCACCGCATACACATTGGATAGCTACCTCACTGGGCGCAATGCTGGGCTATAGGTTCTATGTTAGCCAATGTGTTGTAGCAGCGTGGTTGGCACATGCCCCGGTTCAATGAATGAAATGGAGGCCCCGTGTCCAATTTGCCTCCATCTAACGTAGCCCAGCGACTGGTGCAGCTGCACTGGCTGCCCACTCGATAGCTACGCCTCTTGCCCCGTGGGTCACACAGCACGGGGTCATCTCTCTCTGTGTGGTTCCAGGGTGAGACGGCCAGGGTGGGCACGGTGACTTCGTCTTTGGGTTTTTTACGGGGTGGTCCTTGCAGGTACTTACGTACTGAAGCTGCAGCCTCAGGTCATTGTTCGTGACCTTAAGGGACCTGGCGATGGACTGCAGGTAGTAAATCAGCATGCTGCGCGGAGAACAGACACAGGGCAGTGCTGTTAAAATCTGCCGTTCGTGTAGAGGGAGTAGGTGCGTGCGTTTAAAAAAAAGTGTGGGGTGTTGTACGGTTAATTGTGGTGGAACGAGGCATTGATTCATCGGTTAACGTCGATTCTTGAGCTCACAAAATGTTAAGTGTGATTTTTTTTCATTCAAACCTATATGTATGTCTATATATACAAACTCAGTTTATATATGACCCGATTGTCCGCGAAATTAGATTATTTTGGTTCCGGAAAAACACTGTTCTCAAATATCCGGCGGGCAGAGCCATCCAAATATTTGGGGTTCATTGAAACATAGTTATCGGGAACATTCTTCTTCTTCTTCTTATCATCATCCAGGACTATTCGCGGTCACACCATCTGGCTAAACGAGTGAATCCCGGTTGGGACCCCGGATACTTGGAACCGGCGCACCCCCCCCCCCCAACCACCCCCGGTTTAACCCGGATAAACAGAGTTTGACTGCATACGAACTGAGCAGTGGCAATGTCACAAATGCGTGCCAAAAAGTCTGGAATTGGCACGTTTTTTTTGCAAGCTGGTCCCCATCCTGAAAGAACAATACGGTAAGCCTTAGGGGTAAGTTGAGGCTTTCCCCGCGTTAAGCGCCCCAAGCGTCGTTCAGCGTGACAGCGGTGCAATGTGAAACAGCAGGGGGCAACTGCTCTCCACTAGTGGCACTGACGCACCAGAGGGCAGCAAGGGATCTTGCACGTGCGTACGGTACGATCTTCTTGAGCGCCGTACGTAGCCAGCCGCGCTAATCGGAGGATGAGGTTAGAATTTTGAAGCTGGCTCAGGCCTGAGCAAAAATGTGTAGCGTCTCGGCATAAGTTGTGTAATTAAATAAAAGCTAGAGGCTCCTAGAAATTGGCACTCCCCCCCCCCCCTCCGTCGTTATGATTCAGGATTTGCGATTTGATTCAACAATCAATTATTAAAGAAAACCCCATCGTATTTAAAATTGCGGAAAAAATGCAGTCCCTAATGAACGCAGCAATCACTGAAACCCATTACATACAGCATGTGTATATGATTTCAAGAATATTGAAGTATTGATACACATTTCGTGAGCTTAAGAATTGGAATTAATATATGCCATATCGTTACACCACAAATACCTAACAGACAGCGTTACACACAACATTACACAGGAGACAATTTTACACAATCTGTGCAGAGACAACCTCACACACTCACAATGGTCACGTGCTGACACACTCACAATAGTCACGTGCTGACACACTCACAAGAGTCACGTGATGACACACTCACAATAGTCACGAGCTGACACACTCACAATAGTCACGTGCTGACACACTCACAATAGTCACGAGCTGACACACTCACAATAGTCACGTGATGACACACTCACAATAGTCACGTGCTGACACACTCACAAGTCACGTGCTGACACACTCACAATAGTCACGTACTGACACACTCACAATAGTCACGTGATGACACACTCACAATAGTCACGTGCTGACACACTCACAATAGTCACGAGCTGACACACTCACAATAGTCACGTGATGACACACTCACAATAGTCACGTGCTGACACACTCACAAGAGTCACGTGCTGACACACTCACAATAGTCACGTACTGACACACTCACAATAGTCACGTGATGACACACTCACAATAGTCACGTGCTGACACACTCACAAGAGTCACGTGATGACACACTCACAATAGTCACGAGCTGACACACTCACAATAGTCACGTGCTGACACACTCACAAGAGTCACGTGCTGACACACTTGCAATAGTCACGTGCTGACACACTCACAATGGTCACGTGCTGACACACTCACAAGAGTCACGTGCTAACACACTCACAAGAGTCACGCGCTGACACACTCACAATGGTCACGTGCTGACACACTCACAATAGTCACGTGCTGACACACTCACAATAGTCACGTGCTAACACACTCACAAGAGTCACGTGCTGACACACTCACAATAGTCACGTACTGACACACTCACAATAGTCACGTGCTAACACACTCACAAGAGTCACGTGCTGACACACTCACAATAGTCACGTACTGACACACTCACAATAGTCACGAGCTGACACACTCACAAGAGTCACGTGCTGACACACTCACAATAGTCACGTGCTGACACACTCACAATAGTCACGTGCTGACACACTCACAATGGTCACGTGCTGACACACTCACAATGGTCACGTGCTGACACACTCACGACAGTCACGAGCTGACACACTCACAAGAGTCACGTGCTGACACACTCACAAGAGTCACGTGCTGACACACTCACAAGAGTCACGTGCTGACACACTCACAAGAGTCACGTGCTGACACACTCACAATAGTCACGTGATGACACACTCACAAGAGCAGCAGAAGAGCGGGCAGGATCACCACGGGCGTGGTCACGTAGCTCACCACCGAGTTGAACCACGACGGGAACTCCGTTTTGATTGTGTCCGACACAATGTCGTAGATCTTTTCCTGGCCGCTGACGGTGGTGGTGGGGGTGGAGGGGGGGGAGCGAACCGTTAGACACGCTCCTCGTTAGGCTTGGCGACACGCACCGCCGCTGCCGAGTAGGTTTTCGCGGTCGTGCCGTTCGTCTCCGCGACGTGTTTTCCGGGCCGCTCGGATTCGACGTCCGGCATTTCGTCCCTCCGCGTGCTGGGCAAGTCCTCGGTTCCAAAGGACGTTCACCGAAGAAGCTCCCGGCAGCGCCCGCGGCGCGGAGCGTCGGGCGTCAATGACGGAACAACAACGCGCGGTGCGGCCCGAAAAGACGTCGGGGATTTCAGATATATCCCGCCTTTTCAAATGTATCTCTTTGTACCCGAATAGACGCAGTTAATTCGAATATAAGTTGTTCCGGAGATGGATGGGGCTTTGTGGATTGGTTCCAACGTGAAGCCTCTTTGCTGGTATTAGCTCTGCATGGGCTGTATTGCACACGCCAGAGCGACTATGCGGACGGAGCGACAGCAAGAAATAAGAGAGGGAGGCAGCGAGCGTTACCTGAAGGGGCCGCATCCACTCGACGGGCGGTATCTGACGATGGAGAAGATGGTGGGCAGCATGCAGAGGAAGAGCATGAAGAGCAGCATGGCCAAGTAGAAGTTGTTGGAGCTGCAAGGCGACCCAAAGTACTCAACGGAAATTCATCCCGTCGCTTCACAAGTGCGCCACCACCGAAACCGTCACCGCCATCGTCATCATCATCATCATCACCGCCGCTGTCATCATAATCGCTACCACCTTTAGCGCCATCATCATCATCATTACCTCCATCATCGTAACCTCTGCGACTACCACCGTTATCCGATATTAGGAAGCCACTGGAGCGATGCACTTGACAATCTAGATTTGAAAACGAATTTCTTTAGAACTGCTTTTTGTGTTCAGTTTGTTCCGCCTTCTTCCGCACGTCCGATTAGCGCGGTTGGTTACGTACGGCGCGAAAGAAGTTCAACATGCTTAGCCTCGCGATTCGCCGGCGGTCTCTCTCACCGCGAGGCGCGGAACACCTGCTGGTGTGGCACGTTGCAGGTGAGCACGGCCCAGCTGCGCAGGTACATGAGGCCGATGAGCTTGAGCACATTGAACGTGGGCAGAATGGGAGAGAAGAAGGCGCCCATCCTGCAGGAAGCGGGGTGGGGGGGGGGTTACGGTGTGGTCAACGGGCAGGGCTTAAACCAAAATTAAGCTGGCAAAAACCCTAGGGGTGGGATTTCTACGTTCATCAAGTCCCCCTGTTATAGTAAGCCCCTACCGTCGTGATGGCAAAGTGGTTAGAGAACTGCACTATCAATCTGGCAAAAAACTGCTTTCTTTATCCGGCAGATCAGTCAATCGGTTTATTCTGGGTAAGCCTCATTGAGCCGAGAAGATATTTTTCAACGGCGACTGATAACCGGATGCCACTCGCCGCTGACGGTAACCGTGGCCGGGATTCGAACTCAGGCGAGTGGGCTCTGAGTGCAGTGCGCTAACCGCCGTGAGCTCACTCACCAGATCATGCCCTGGTTGTAGACGAGGTGGAGGACGTTCTCTGCGATCTTAAACTCTCCGTACTCGGGCTGCGGGCAGAGGCACACGCTCACATTCGCCTTTCCTAACGCCAGGCGCTCGACAATTTCAACCGAGGCAGTGGCCCTTCACATGCGACACAGCAACAATGTAGGAATACACACCTGTCATTATTATTTTGTTTAAATCATCGTTAAAATAGCGGTGCGTGCAAAACTGGCGTGCTGAAAAGAAATCCACTTTAGAAAGAGTTTACTGTTGGTGCGGTAGTTCGAACACCGCTCACTGAATCTCAGCTGCCCAGGTTCAATTCCTAGCCATGGCTAAGTCAGTGGAGAGTGATCTCTAAAACTGTTCCCTAGTTCATGTCCCCCCACCCACCATTCACAGTTGGCTACGTATAGTCCAAAAGAAGTTCAACATACATCCATTCAGCAAACCGCACTGACCAGCGTTTTGAGAGGTGACCGTAGCGGTAACGGACACACCGCTCTGGCGCTGCCTCTTTTAACCTCGACAGAAACTCACAAACTTGCTCTCGAGGTCCCAGCACCAACAGTCACTGCAGAAGCGAACGAAGAGGCCCCGGAAGAAGTCGATGAGCAGCACGCTGGCCACCGTGAAGATCATGTCGATGATCGACAGCTTGAGCATCTCCTGGAGGGGACCGTGGCGGGCGAGGAGGTGGGGGGGGGGTGATACGGGTTTCAGCAGGGAACATAAGAATAATGACAACACCCATTTTTGTTGTTATGGTGGTGTTTATTAATGTGAATGTTCTTCACTAATTTTCAGAGGGGGGCCACTTTCAGTTTGAGGTGCGCCACACCGCCCGCTGCAAGGGGTGTGGTGTTCACGTGTTGTGTCTTGTAGGGGGCCGCATGTCAGGGGGCCGCACTACAGGCCACCAAGGGCCGCCAGTGAAGCCCGCGGGCCTTGCAATGAAGAGCGCTGGTTCATGTGTTTTGTTTGGGGGTTTGTTTCGCTCTCCCCATTGTTCCACCAGGTCTCCCTTGATAAAGTAAATTTTTCGTCTTAGCAGGCTTCTCACCTGGTCATACGTTCATTGGTCGAAGCATAGGGATATAATTCTACTTTTTTATTACTTTGATCAATTACACAGTGGCCACGTCACGTCTAAAACAACGAGCACACGAGCGTGCAAAATGTGGCTCTGCGCCCATGTCCACTTGCATCACTGCACCAGCTATTGAATTCGCGTGCGGTGCAACTTCACTGCAGCCCAAAGGGACTGTAGGGGCCCAGGCAATGAGCTACATCGAGGTATGAATTTGGAGAGGAAGGCCCCATGGCATTCCTTTCGTAAGGGCATATTGTAACCACGGCGCTAGCTGAGCTGCATTGGCTTCAAGTTGCCGAACAAATGCATTATAAGGTCACACTCATTACACACTAAGTGCTTGCCACAAATGAACCACAATACCTTGCTGATCTCGTTAAGGAGCATAAACCATCACGCAAACTCCGAACGTTCTACGCAGCAGCTTTTGGCCTGCCACTGAACAAAGAGTGGCACTGCATTGCGCGCTTTTAAAATGCGCTTCTGCGGCCGTTTGGAGCGCTCTTTCTTCTGATATTACGTAGCCAGCTGGGCTATGCACTTTTAAATCTACATTGAAAACTAATTTCTTTCGAACTGCTTTTTGAGTTTAGTTTATGGTCCTTCCCCCGCACCTCCGATTTGCACGCTTGACTTCGTAACGATGCAAAAGAAGTTCAACATAGATACAGCACGTACACACGCGACAATCACCTGCCCAACGTAGGTCTCCCAGCACTGGTTTTCCGACGACTTGGACGAGTACGACATCTCGGTGGTCGTGTTCGAGCCGGGCTTATTCCCGGTGGAGCTCAGCGCCAGGGCGGACGTCCGGTTGGCCCAGTCCACCACCGCCGCCACCACCCTCGCCGCCACCACCGTCAAGTTCAGCGCCGTCGCCTCCGTCCCGCCACGCAGGCCTTCGACGACGCTATCGTGCGGTCCGGGCGTCGTGTTGTTCCACGAGGGTGAAGAGGAGGAGAAGGAGGAGGACGTCGTGATTGCCGTGAGGTTGGCAAGGAAGGTTGACACCAGCGCGGACGTCAGGTTTACGGCGGCGGTGGCGGCGGCGGCGACCGTGGCGGCTGCCGTGGTGGTGGCGGCGGTCGTGGCGGTGGTGACGAGGTCAAAGGTGGAATTAGTGAGTTGGCCCAGATCGACTGCCGTGCCAGGTGATGATGGTGACGACGACGACGTCAGCGCCGGGGCGATCGTGGTGGAGTTGTGGGAGGGGATGACGAAGGGAGTGTCCCCGCCGAGACGCACCGTCCGGTCCGGCGCGTTCTTCTCTGTGCCGTTCACCTGAAGGACAATCACGGTTCTGTCGGTCTCCCTTAACCAGAATTTACCTAACGGGAGATGGCCCTCTGATTACTATCATTCAGAATCAGCCCAATATCTTTGGATCTTGTGAAACTAAGCGGGTATCAGCCTGGATAGTGCTTGGATGGGCAACCGTCATGGATGGCAGGTGTTTTAGGCTGTGGGACTCTGTATAGGCAGCATCGGACTGTGCAGCAAAATCCATTGTTGTACTGTACTTCTATTCTCACTGCCTTCACCAATATGCACTGACCAGCACGGTGAGTGATGGTAGCATAATTGCCATGAGCCTCTTGGTTTGGGGACGCCATCATCCAACAGTGGACTTGACAATGTATAATAAAACAACTGCAATGGGGTTCAAATTTAAAATGTTCTTACATGCTCAAACAAATGTCAGAGAGTGCTCGTCTTCAATGGTGGGGCTGGACTCGTGATAAAAAATCCACATTCCAATGGCAGGGGCCAGTCTCATCATGGAACAGCCACGGCTGGCTGAAAAAAAATGGTACTGTAATCACGTTTATTGCCTGACTCAATCCCTGTCCAGGACTTGAACCTCTGCTCCAGTGGTACCCAGGCATATACAACGACTGTGTTATGTAACAATTAATCAATCGATGTCAATGCTTACGCCCGAGATACATGCATTGAATCGCACTCGTGAGAGTAGATTATGTACGAAGCGAATCACACACTAATATTACATTTAAACTAATGGAGCTAACACAACTTTACAAACAGGGCAGAGAAATGTGCAACAATACAAAACAAAGCAGTTGAAACAAGACAAAACAGATTCTTGATTCTTAATTCTAATTTCGGTTCTTGACAATTCGCGATCGATTTGCGGAGTGGCGGAGACGGTGGGGACGGGGGGAACGGGGGTGATTTGTAACCTATCCAATGATAATAACAACACGACGGTAATATGACCTAACCGGACACCGGGTGTATGAACACGTGAAATGTGGCATCTCACCATGGCACTCATGATGTTGACCTTGTCCAGGAGGGCAATGATGAGGCTGTAGAGATTGCCCAGGTACAGAACCAAGACCCTGCCAGGGACAACACACACATGCTTAGCACCATGGACAGCGTCTCCACGAGACTGCCTTCTCAGCCAGCAGAGACTGGCAGAATTAATTAACATTACTAATAAACAAAAAATCTAAACTATACTAAAACTAATTTTTATTTTATTTTACCTTAGCAAGTAAGGCCCACTGAGCTATATAACTCTATTTCAGAAGCGACCTGGCCAACAAATGATAGCTCAACGAATTGGATTATCACGTGGAAATGTATAGCAGCCAAAGACTCTAATCGCATGTTTCTAAATGTGGAGGGAAAAACCGAGGGACCCGGAGGAAAATCCACGCAACCACGGGGTGAACATGCGAACTCCAATATACAGGCATCAGGGTCGGGATCGAACCCACGACCTCCTGTATTCCAGGCGAGGTAGTTAACATCATCATTATCACCATCCGTTATTTCTACATCGCTTTAATTTGCAAAGCATTACACGAACACAAACAATTTCGAATCTGTTTGAAAATAAAAAAAACAATACAAAAGTAGGCAGGCAGCCGAACAGTGGAGTGCATGATTTGTCTCCTCGTCTGCAGAGCTCACGTGCCAACGAGTTACGGGGGCTGGGAAGACAAAGCACGGCAAGGAGACGGGGAAAAAGCACAGAGGGCACGGCAGCAGCAGAAGGAATGCAACGAAGGAGGACTGCGCGGAAAGCCAAATGGAAGAGATGGGCTCTCAGGAGGAGTTTAAATTCGGAGAGAGAATGGACAAGGCAGGAGGTTGGAGGGGAATAGAAGGGAGTCCCGTGGAATAGTTTCGTAGCGGATAACGAGAGGGGATGAAGGTGAGGTGGGGGGGGGGGGGTGTTCTGGCACCTGGCGAGCTGGAAGCGGAGAGTGGTGCGCGGGTGGTATTGTTCCAGCGTGGCGATGATCTCGAAGGCGGAGGGAGCCAGCATGGTGATGAGAGACACGACAACGCTCACCTGCGGCAAGGCAAAACACGACCCCCCCCGAGTCGCGTAGAAGGGAAACAATAAATTAATAAAAATTAAAAAACAATATGATTTGAAAAAAGTTTTTCAAATGTTCTTGCTGTGGTTTTCACACCTGATGATGATTGCTGCTTTGTGTTGCAGTCGAAACGTCGTGAGAATTTTTTTGTTTTATATATTTTTTATTATTTTATTGTTTCCCTTCTACGTGGTGACTTTACCGAAAGAACCAAGAATATGAATCCCTGCAGTCACGAAAGCTTTAAATCAAAAAGGACCCCGGAGGTTTACGCCGTTAGTGAGCACTCAGGGCCATCGGCGAGAACGTCGCCCGGGATGCCTTTTTGCGGGTTGTGCCGCGTGCGGGAACGCACCTCGCTTGTTAGTTGCGCAACATTTCCCTAAGGAGCGTGGTACTAGCTCTCTTTCGCTATCATATATTTTTTTTGGTCTTTGTCGTTGTTCTTCCTTGTTGCTGTGCTCACGCACCACGGGTGTGCCTTGTGAGATAGCCGAGTAACGGATCAGCATAACCTCAAAAAACACCGGAGCACAGCCGCGGAAATAAAGCAACGGGGCGGCGTTACCTGCGACGCGCACCGCCCGTACATCACGCTTCTCTTTAACCTTCAACGCACTCCCATTCTCTGAGTCGAACAATTACCGTTCATCACTTTCGCTCGTCCTTCGGGCGAAGGCTGCAATAACGCACACAGAGATATACACGAACTGCGTATATGACGGAGGCGGGGGAGCGATCTGCAACACTGCACTATGAACCTGGCGACGCGAGTTCGACACTCGACCATGGCTACATCCGTGGCGAGCATCCCTAGCAGCCCCCCCCCCCAACCATCTTCACCCTCACCAGCGTGGTCAAGAGTGGCCAAACGATGTCACGGCGAGGCCTTCATCCAGCAGTGGATTGGCAAAAGGGCCGTAGGTATTCTATGCGGTGTACTATACATTGCATGCAGGTGTGCAGCATATGTGAACCTATGTGTGCATGCAGTGTTCCTCGGCATATGAATGTGGAATTTCAAACAAAACTCCAGGGCTACCAATGGAGATGAGTGCCATCTCATACTTGTGTGAGCAAGGGGAGATCCGCACTGTAATCACTACACGGCGATCGATTCCCGGCAATCGGTTCATGGAAATTGGTACACGGTGATCAGTACACGGTGATCAAGTGATCAGTACACGGTGATCATGTGATCAGTACACGGTGATCAAGTGATCAGTACACGGTGATCATGTGATCAGTACACGGTGATCAAGTGATCAGTACACGGTGATCAGGTGATCAGTACACGGTGATCATGTGATCAGTACACGATGATCATGTGATCAGTACACGGTGATCAGGTGATCAGTACACGGCGATCAGGTGATCGGTACACAATGATCAGTACACGGTGATCGGTACACGGTGATCAGGAGATCAGTACACAGTGATCGACACGCAGTAATCAGATGATCGGTATGCTGTGATCAGGTGATCAGTATACAGTGATCGGTTCACAGTGATCAGGTGATCATTACACAGTGATAAACACGTGGTGATCAGTATACGGTGATCGGTACACGGTGATCAGGTGATCAGTATACATTGCTCAGTACAAGGTGATCAGTACATGGTGATCCGTACAAGGTGTAGTGTGGGGCCGTCCATAAATGACGTCACGCGATTTAGGACGATTTTTGACCCCCCCCCCCCCCTCGTCACACGGCGTCACAAAAAGTCAGACCCCCCCCCTCAAATATGACGTCACAAAGCTCTGCCCCACCCCAACCCCAAAAAATAAAACATGCTTCAAATCGCTTTAAACTATTGTCATTGTAATGCGTATTTAATATGGCGCTGCACTCTGATGTTGTAAGAGAAAACATTTATTAAAAGGTCTATTTAATTAAGTAGAACGTGCAGTCTATATTTATTTAAAGTGGCGCATTTTGATTTCTCAAACCCTCCACCCCCTCGTCACACATCGTCACAAATGTCTGACCCCCCCCCCCCCCGAGGTGCGTGACGTCATTTATGGACGGCCCCTGTGTAGCGACAGTACCGAGTGAAGAGTGGTACGGTATGCGTGGTGCCGCTCTCGGGCACCAGTGGGTGAAATTCGTTAAGGGGCTCACTAGAGGGCAGGTTCCGGATGTCACGGAGGTCGGGTCAGGACGTGACAGCCTGTGTGAACCCGCGAGAGCATGTGACCGGACGAGGGGGCACGGGGACCCCCAGAAGGGGGTGAGGGGGCCACGTGGGGATGGACCTAGAGCCTCCACGAAGGATCTAGAAGGGGGCGTGTCCAGGGGCGGAGCCCGGTCACGCCGCAGCGGCTATAAGCCCCGTCCCGAGAGGGAGCGGAGCTGTTCGACCCGGCAATGAAGCCCCCTTCTTCGATCCTCGCTCTTCGGTCCCCCGGCACACGACGGCTGTTCTGGTTCAAACATATCGCGATTCCGTTCAAGTGGTTAGGTGGTTAGGAACGGTGGCCACCAGCTTACGTAGTTAACCCGTAATGTACATAGTTGCCCGGAATGTACAGAGTTAACCTTGGAACGTTGAGTCGTTGTTGGTTGTGTTAGAGCAGGGGTCACCAAACTTTTTTCACAGCGGGCCGGATAACTGATAGAATGACGAGCACGGGCCGCATAATCATTCCGTTCAATACTTGGGGGTGGGAAAGATGCGTATTTGTGTGTGTTGCCATGGAAACCATGGTAACGTCAGAGCATAGGCTCTGACGGCGGGCCTGATGGACTGACGTCGCGGGCCGGATGCGGCCCGCGGGCCGTAGTTTGGTGACCCCTGTGTTAGAGGTTCAAGTTGTGTCAGTAAATAAACGTGTTGCCTCCAAGGCTTGGTGTGTGCCTGGTTAGAACCTACTGCAAAGGTAATCGGTAGATAATCAGTACATGGTGGTCAGTACACAGTGATCAGTAAATGATCAGTACACGGCGATCAGGAGGTGATCAGTACACGACGATCAGGAGGTAAATCAGTACACGGCGATCAGCAGGTGATCAGTACACGACGATCAGTAGGTGATCGGTACACGGCGATCAGGAGGTGATCAGTATACGGCGATCAGGAGGTGATCAGTACACGACGATCAGCAGGTGATCAGTACACGGCGATCAGGAGGTGATCAGTACACGGTGATCAGGAGGTGATCAGTAAACGACGATCAGGAGGTGATCAGTACACGGCGATCAGGAGGTGATCAGTACACGGCGATCAGGAAGTGATCAGTACACGGCGATCAGGAGGTGATCAGTACACGGCGATCAGGAGGTGATCAGTACACGGCGATCAGGAGGTGATCAGTACACGGCGATTGGATCGCGGTGACCGAAAGCATCGCGCCACTCGCCTCGTTCTTCTCCCAGAGCGTGAGCTCATCCTTCATCTGCTCCAGCTTCTGCGAGCGATCCACCACAAAGTAGATGATGTAGATGCTACCGGCGAGGCACAGCAGCACCAGGATGTTGGCGAGGATGCGGAGGAAAACGCGCAGGGTCCTTGGGACACGCGGAGACGACACGGGGGAACACGCGGCAACGCGAGATAAGACGAAACAAAAACCTCACGATTATAGATGACGGTGCGGACAAGGAGAAGCGGAGTTCCAGGGGAAAAGGTAAATCGCACACCTGTTTTCACTCTTCTTCTTTTCTTGTTCTTCCAGGATCGATTCCTGTTACACAAACAACAACAAAAGACGATCATGTGATTTTCAATAAAATGTAAATAGAGTTTCTCGTGGGTCAGGCGGTTCCTGCCAAACAAGTGTAGAATGTCCGTCGCTGAAACAGGGCAAACAGTAGAGATTAGCGCTGCCCAATGCTCTTAACGAGCAGGGTGCTCATGTCCGTTTCCCGAGCTGGTGCTGTAAATTCCTCATCCTGTTGGTTGTAGCCAGTTTCGATACGAAAAAAAAACTTCCCATAAAGTGGTACTAATTTTATCTGGAGAGATGGTGGGCCGAGTCAATTCCCGATTTGGATTTGAACTCATGATCCTCATTGAGGGTCTTGAGAAAGACGCCTCTCCACCCACCTCTGAGTTGGTCCTGACCCCCCTACATCACCAACCTGCACTGACCAGTGAGATGAAGTACGGTCAAACATCCCCTATATGACAGGCACGGAATGGGAAGGACTTCATCCATCAGTGGATGATCAAAAGGCCTGTACACTGGAAGCATTGTTCATGCAGAATGTGTGAACTGCATCGCGTGATTTCGGATGCGCTTCTGCGGCCGTCTGGAACGCTCTTCCTTCCGATATTAGGAAGCCACTGGAGCTATGCACTTTTAAATCTAGATTGAAAACTCATTCCTTTAGAACTGATTTTTCTAATTAGTTTAGCTGCCCTTACTCCCGCAACTCCAATTAGCACGGTTGGTTACGTACGGTGGGAAAGAAGTTCAACATATTTCTCTATTTACATTTGTACATTTGAAACTCTTCCTGTCTCTCTCCCTCTCTCTCTTTTGAGAGAGAGAGGGAGGGAGGGAGACAGCGGTGCTGGCGGTGTGCCCGGGGCCTCACGCGGATGGTGGTGGCGATGGCCGCCACTTTGCTCTCCGCTGTCTCCTGGTTGCCAATGAGGTAGTCCCAGGCGCAGAAGACCTTCCAGCAGAACGTGAAGTTCTCGTCCGAGGCGCTGCTCAGGCTCTGCCTCGAGTTCTTCGCCATCCTGCGCAAAAAAAAAAAGGGACGCAGTGGCGGAGAGGAACATCCGGCTTTCCGCCACGGCGTGGTCTCCAGTTCCTTATCTTACTTCTTAATTTACCTCGCGCCCCAAGCGAGGTGCTCAACAGAGAATGAGCAGCTTCACGTTGTAGCGCGATGAGTTGATGGGAAGGACAGAAGTGGGAGACGGATACGATGCTGCGTGAAATAAACGCGAAAGTGACTGAGTGGTTGACGATGAGTGGAGTGCGATGGATGGGTAGGGAAGTTTGGAAGGTGGGATGGATGGTATTATTGATGAGGGGGAAGGGGAGTTGGGGGTGAGCGAGGGAAAATAATTGAGTTTATTTTTAGGGAAGGACGAATAATAGTCAGTGCGGCTGATTGTTTGTCATTACAACATTAAACAATGCGTTGCTTTGGTGTGCGTAATCCATTGGTTGCGTCCGCTGATTTTGTAAACTTGACATGAAACTGAACACGCATCACTGTCATCTGGTGACTCTCGCAGATGCATCCTCGTGTAACGTGCATGATTGGTAAACAGCAGCGCCAAATTTCAGCCTGGTGTGTCCACTTTGGTGACCTGCTAAATAATTTTACACTTGACACACCACATCCAGTATGCCCGTCTCTGTGGCTACTAGTCAGGCACACCCCATCCACCACAGTCCACCAGCGATATTCGGAAGGAGATTTAGGCCCCGCGTGGATTCCTGATCTAATCCTACGCGATAAAAAATTGATGCAGCCACTGCCACGCCAGTAAACAAGCCAACGTCGTGACAACGTTCGCACGTGTCCGGGAGCGTCCGACAAAACGTTGGACCAACGTTGGCCCGACGTTTCATGTTTACTGGGGACGACGCCACGACGCTCACTTGCGCAGCAGCGCCACGAAGCTGTACGCGAACACCGCCATGCCCACGAGGAAGTAGGCGAGGGGCAGGCGGTACCCGGAGCGGCCCAGCTTGCGGTCGTTGCCGTAGTAGCCATAGAAGAGCACCGAGTATTGCAGATAGCCCTGGGGGGAGGACGGCGACACACGTGCGGTGATGGCCACTGTTAAATTGTACGAGAAAATGGCACAAAGATCGCACGCGAAAATTATTGTGCTTGAGTCGACATTGCGTTGATGGGCCCATATGAAATACGTACTGTCCATACCAGGCATGAAGACAATATCGGGACTGTTTTCGGATTTTTGGCTCATTGATATAATGCGATGACATAACGTGTCCACGTGCTAACAAAAGTGATGTCACCTAATGTCACGTGACGCCGCTTTTTTGGTGGGAAAAGCACAGAAGGGATGTAACATATGCGATGTCATTTCGTGAGTCCAACTGTCGGATCGAAATCTGAAACAAAAACCTTTCGGATTATCCGAAATGCCGTATTTCCGACCCGATTAAAAATTTCTCCTGAATAATCTGGAAATCGAGAAGTCGCCCCTAGTCCATTCTAATCATGTACAGGTGGTGGCCCAAGCGCATCCTGAGCCCCCGGTTTTGACCACAAAGTGTCCGTAGAGAGTTCCCAAAGAGAGAGGCAGCCGCGTACTCCCAGCGACCAGATGGTGTCGAGATCCTGTGCCGTGTTCATCTGGTCAGAGGGGATGCGCTTGCTCTTGGTGGTTCCGAACGGTTCTCCGGCCAGCAGCTGGGCTCACAGGTGCACGCAAAGAAGGGCAACAGATCATTCGACTGTGCAAGTCATTCCGCTGTTGTCGAAACACCTCTCCCGCCCCTTCACACAAACTCTCCGCTCCCGCAACCGAGACTTTCTGACGAATTGTCAAGTCAAGTTCACCCAGCAGGAGGTCGCTCTTCCTCCTCTGCTGCCCCATTGTCTGAAACACCGTTTCCTCAGCCATCTGTGTGTTAAACTCCCAGCGCCTGTTCAATTCCATGCTCAAGACCCATCTTCTCTCCTCTCCCCGTGGCTCCCGCTTCGTCTTTATATTTTACAAAAAATAAATATACTTCTATTTAAAGCTTTCGTGACTGCAGGGATTCATCTTCTTGGTTCTTTCGGTAACGTGCAGTGGCCCACTGGACGTACCGCACCATCAACAGAACGAAAGAATGATTAACTTAGCCCCACACCCCATCAATGTCCCCCACTTGGCCCCGCTCTCCTTCCCCCTCCCCCCCTTTAACCTGTATTTAAGCTCGAGGCTCTCAGAGCCTCCCCACTTGATCAGCGATCTTGCTGTGACTGTCCCACCTGAAGACGGAAGCTTGTGTTGCCTCCGAAACGTCGTGAGAATTTTTATTATTATTTTATCCCCATTCTACGTGACTTTACCGAAAGAACCAAGAAGATAAATATACTTCCTTTCCTCAGGATACCCCCACTTCCTGGTCCACTATATCATACATCATCTGGAGATGCACGTGGACACTACGTAAATACCATTTGTATTGCAGTTGTACAGAAGCATCCAAGGCCATCACTTTCAAATTGGCACTCACCACCCCCTAACGCTTGGACTGTGCCTTCAAGGTGGACAACAAAGCCCTTCTACGACACCTACAGCATCGTCACATCCTGGGCTCATTGCATGGACACGTCCGTAATGCTCACTCACCTGTGATCCTTCCCCGCACCTCCGATCACCACGGTTGGCTACGTGCGGTGTGAAAGAATGTCAACATACATACATACATTGTACTCGGTGGGACTCAAGCACCGTTCGCCTCCCCACCACCTTCCTATCCGTTTAACACGCAGTGGCTTTCGCGACCAATATTATCCAGAATACAGGGTGCTTAAAAAAAATTTTTTGAAACACTTGTGAGAATTTGCAACAACACCGCAAGGAGTGTGCTGCCTCCAGGCTCTGAAGACGACCTCGAGAAGATTCCAGGCGCGCGTTGATAACGATGGCGAACAAGCGGAGACTCTTTCACTTGTTTAAGCTATTAACATTGCATTTGTTATCATGTTACAGTGTATTATCCGTTCATTTTCCTAAAAAATCAATGGTCCCATGAACGTGTTAACATTTTTTCGAAGCACCCTGCGTACAGGTGTTTTTTTTTGGGGGGGGGGTTAGATCGCGTGCATATAAATGTGTCGTTAAACCCGCCACCACCCGACGCACAGATCCAACTCCGCAGCCTCACTCCATGCCCTCAGACGAAGCCGTGTTGGCTTCCTCCACCCGCCCTCAGCGCCCATGCCTGCTTCTCCCGTGCCCCGCGGCAGTTGTATCGTCGACATTGCCCTGGGTGCCCAAAGCACCCGCACGATACGGTCGACGCAGCGGTGCAGGGCCACGGGGCGCCCGGCAGTGCCGGATTGTCCTCGTAGCAAAAGTAGCTACTACTGCATATGTACTACACATGTAGTAGTAGCCTACATATGTAGCGGTAGCTACGGGCCCCGCACTTTCAAGGGCCCCCGCGCTAAACGCTTTAAAGCCATCAAATCCGCTTCGGTGATTCTGCACTTGCTCTATCACTATAGTACTATACCGCCTTCAACTTTTACGAACGACTGGGTGTTTAAGGTTCGCGATTTGTCGTATCATCTGGGCCGTACAGCAAATGAAAAAAATGCAATGACTTTACTGTGCAAGTTAACAAAAACATGTACGCGTTTTAACATTCACGTGTGTTGTATTTATTTGGGGCACCCTTCATAACAACACGTGCCGACAGGCCCCGCGCTGAGCTGTGAATCCGACACTGGCGGCCGCTGACACCCGGCGTGTTCTCAAGAGGCTCGCCGAGCGCTCACCTCGGGCAGCACGAGGAAGGCGACGGTCATGACGGTGAGGACGATGTTGATGCCGAAGAGCCAGCGCAGGAAGATGAAATACGACGCCACTCCCGAGCCGAAGTGACCTGCGCCACGGCGGGGCACGTGGTGTTGGGTCATGGGGTCGCGCGCGCGTGGGTGACATCGGAGGCGAGAGACTGTCCTGCAGTTGGACCTTGTTATGTTACCGCTCTCACGATGTAGCGGGGGTGGGGGGCAGTGCCGGATTATCGTAGTAGCAAAATTAGCTACATATGCTAAGGGCCCCCCGCACACTTTCAAGGGCACCGCGTTAAATGCTTTCAAGCTATCAATTCCGATTCGGTGATTCTGCACTTGCTGAATTACTACAGTACTATACCGCCTTCAACTTTTATGAACGACTGGGTGTTTAAGGTTAGCGATTTGTCGTATTATCTGGCTGTATAGCAATTGGAAAAATACAGTAACTTTACTATGCAAGTGAAAAATGTGTGTTTTAATATTGATGTTGTATTTATTTAGTCGCCCCTTTATAACACGTGCTACAGGCTTCACACTTGCTTCATCCGGCATTGGGGGGCGGGGGGGGGGAGTACTTCGAGGCTGGATGGTCACCCCTCGTACAACACCTGAAATAAGTTAGCACGATGGAGGGTCGGGAGACAGGGAATGAGGACAAGGGGCATAACCGCTGCAAATTAGACGGGAGCCCGATTCGGAGGGGTGGAAAGGGAAAATGCTCGTTTAGGTCGCCTCTTTTGTCATATTTTCTTTATGTCAGCTGTGTTTCGGTTATCTCCCTCTCTCCCCTTGTCATCCCTTCCCCCTTTACTTAAACAAAAGTCACACTTTCCCATTTCGGTGGGACCCCGTATGGTTTTGGGGCAGCGAGCCTGTTCCCGGTCTCTCTATATACCCCCTGCTTTTCATAACCGGTTTGGTTTATGTTGACGGTGTAGAGGTGCGTTACAACGTGATGTATCGGAACCCCGCACATTGCTTCAAGAAAAATAAATATCACTTTAAAAAAAAAGTTTCCGCTTCACGTTAAACCACTGTTTAGGTTTTCGTGGTTGTGCTGCATCGTGGGGAGCGGTGGTGTCATGGTTAGCGCTACGCTGCGCTACGAACCTGGCGACCCGGGTTCGATTCCCGCTCACGGCCAACACCGGTGACGATTATTTTAACCGAATCTGGGCCTCCCCTAGGTCGACTCAGCCTCAAAATGAGTCCCTGATGTGGTGTGTAGTAAACATCGTCACTGGGGTGACAAAGGCGGCCGGGCGTGGTGCTGGCCGTGCCGGCCTTCATAGGTGCTACTCGCTAGCAGCACTTGCGCCAACAATCTGTTAAGGCTACACGTGGGATCTTTGTCTTTTGGTGCATAGCCCTTAGGCGTGTTTTCGGTTTTGTATCCCGTGCTATCCACACTTCAGTTGCCGAGAAGGCTCCCAGCGCGTAGGCGCGAAACGTCGGACACCGTAGCGCAGGCTGAGAACACATCGGAGATCAGGATGGACGCGTACAACCAATTTTTTTCTCGTGAATCCACTGCTGGATGAGGGGCCTCCTCGTGCCGTGTGGGTCCTTTGGGGGCTATTTAACTTCCCTGACTTCACCGCAGCGGGCATTGTTTGATTGGTAAAGGTTGGGAGCATAGATGAGGGAGCGTAATGAAGTACAACGATGAAGTGTTTGCTGCACTGCGACCTACTGAAAATGTAGCCCCCTGCTGCAGTCTACCCGAACAAGGCCCAGTCCTAAATCGTGCTCATTCCGGGTGATTTGGTCATAGCAGGTGAATTAAAAGTAATACCAGATGCTTATTTATTTATTAATACCATCACCGAAAGGAACGGAAGATATTGGCGCTTCGAGCGACTGGCTTTCGTTGAGACGTATTGAGGTTTACAGATCGAGAGAGAATTCGCAACGAATCTCGACAGGCGGTAGGGAGGGCGGATGGGTGGGGTCGGGGGGTGGGGGGGTGGTGTCATATAATGGACTCACCGGGGGTGCAGTCGTTATCGAGAATTTATAGCTAAGGGTTTTGTTATTCCCAAAACCTAAATCACCGTGCATACTCACAAGCACACCTCCTACAAACAGGGGCACGCTGTCCGCTGCTATCTGCACCACCCTTCCCTGCACCGCTCTCTCTCTCTCTCTCTCTTCCCGGGCCCTGTCATTTTATTTTATTACAAAAAAGCAGCAGATAAAATGAAGATTTAGTGATAGGGACTGTTTTGGGCACCAACGTGGTGGAACAGCTTCGCCAGAAAATGTTCATACACTATGAAAATTAAAGATTTTTTGTTGTTTAATTGATTCTCCTTTGCTGTGGATACTGTCTCGATGTTGCATTGTGTCCTTACTCAGTATGGTTCTTGTAATCATCTCAAATACCCATTTATGACGGGGCATCGAGATACCCTGCATGGGATAGATAATAAGAAATTATGATGATGCTGCTGCCTTATATTACCTCCAATGCGCTGACCTGCCCTGCCATGCCCCCTTATCTCCCGCTACTACTCTGTACTCGTCTTGCCCTGCTACTCTCTGCCTTGCCATGCTCTTCTCTTCCTTGCCCTTCCTTATACATTTTTTTTTCAAGCTGCGCGTTATCTTGGTGTGGTCTGGGATGGATTTTGCTTTGCTGTTTTGCCCCGGATTGCGTTTGGTGTTGAAAAATCGCCAGGAATTGATGTACGTACTTATGCAATTTTGTACTCAAATATTTTTTATTTAGCGACTTACTTACCTTTCCTATACTTTGCACTCCTACCTGTGTTTGTATTATTGTTGTAATTTCCTGACCCGCCTCATTTGGACATCTACGAATAAAAAGCTTCATAGCTCATCGGATTCTTCCAGTCTAAATACAGATTCCGATTCTGTATTGCATTGCCCTGCCCTATCCATGTCTTGTCTGGCCCACCCATCTGCCCTTGCCATGCCCTGGCCTGGTCGTGCGGCCCTGCCCGGCGCTTACTCTCGATCTTCTTGATGCGCATCTCCCAGGGAATGAAGAGCGAGATGAAGTTGTAGAGACATCGCTGGAATTTTCGGAAGAGCTGCAAACCACGCGGAGAGGACAGATTCGCCACACGTCAGGAGGGAGCCGTGCCACCTGCCGACGCTCACACCTGTACTAACCCTCGCACCTGTACTAACGCTCGCACCTGTACTAACGCTCACACCTGTACTAACGCTCACACCTGTACTAACGCTCACACCTGTACTAACGCTCACGAGGGTGCGGGCACTCACACCTGTACTAACACTCACACCTGTACTAATGCTCACACCTGTACTAACGCTCGCACCTGTACTAACACTCACACCTGTACTAACACTCACACCTGTTCTAACGCTCACACCTGTACTAACACTCACACCTGTACTAACACTCACACCTGTACTAACACTCACACCTGTACTAACGCTCACACCTGTACTAACACTCACACCTGTACTAACGCTCACACCTGTACTAACGCTCACACCTGTACTAACGCTCACACCTGTACTAACACTCACACCTGTACTAACGCTCACACCTGTACTAACACTCACACCTGTACTAACGCTCACACCTGTACTAACGCTCACACCTGTACTAACACTCACACCTGTACTAACGCTCACACCTGTACTAACGCTCACACCTGTACTAACGCTCACACCTGTACTAACACTCACACCTGTACTAACGCTCACACCTGTACTAACACTCACACCTGTACTAACGCTCACACCTGTACTAACGCTCACACCTGTACTAACACTCACACCTGCACTAACGCTCACACCTGTACTAACGCTCACGAGGAGGCGGCACTCACACCTATACTCACGCTCACACCTGCACTAACGCTCACACCTGCACTAACACTCACACCTGTACTAACACTCACACCTGTACTAACGCTCACACCTGCACTAACGCTCACACCTGTACTAACGCTCACACCTGCACTAATGCTCACACCTGTACTAACGCTCACGAGGGTGCGGGCACTCACACCTGTACTAACACTCACACCTGTACTAACATTCACACCTGTACTAACATTCACACCTGTACTAACACTCACACCTGTACTAACACTCACACCTGTACTAACGCTCACACCTGTACTAACACTCACACCTGTACTAACACTCACACCTGTACTAACGCTCACACCTGTACTAACGCTCACGAGGGGGAGGGCAGGAAATACAGAGAAACAGACAATGCACATTATTGACATTGACCCAATATTAGGATTACTTTTAACTGATAAATAGTGTAATCATCATCAGTCTCCCCAATCAGCCGCCACCTTTGGCAGTCATGCGGTGTAATAGTCCACGTAGCACCAGCGCTAGAGCCCATTGCATCGCTGCATCTCCCCCGGTTAACGCTCTATCGAGACGCGTTCAATTCCACGGCTGCCATTCGTTGTTCTTCACCTTCGACCATCATCCCTTCCAGCAATGTGTGCTCACCGAGCCCCACATTAATGCACAGTTTGAATGGTGTCGTTAACCTGCACATGTTTTCTGACCCATGTGTTAAACTATTTCTGTCTTGAAATGTAATTCCATAAGTGCATCTCCACGCTTGTTTTTGCACTTTTAAAATGTTTATTCCATCGACAACACTCGCAGTGAATGTTTAGTGTGAGTGTATAATATGTACTGCAAAGGCAACCATGCAGGCACAAATGACTCCATTCCCATGCACTGCGCGTGTGGCGATGGATACAGCGAGTCCAGATGAAGGTCATTTCCCGTGGCGCGGGGCCATGATGGAGATGGCAGAGGCGCCCAGCGCCAAAACCGTGAAATTAGACACAAATCGTGATCATATCTAGCGCGCACACGCACACAACCACCTGTCCAACCCCTTGTCACACCATCACCCCACCAAATAGCACCCACTTTCACCTTCTCAATCGCTACTCTGTAGCCGAACCTTGCTTCTCAGCGAATCTCACCAGCTCGCCTGCCCACGCTTCAAGCCCAGATGACCACCGCTTGTTTTGCGATCGAAACGTCTTGATTTTTTTAAATTCACTTTATTTTTATTATCTTATTGTTATTTAAAAAAATGTCTATCTACGTGACTTTACCGAAAGAACCATAGAACACCAGATTAAATCTGTTCATTTGAATTACATAATTCGAAGCGTTAAGAAGAGTAATTGGGGCATGGACAGGACATATTGCTCGAATGGATGACGGCCGGTGGTCAAGAAGAGAGACGGTGGCAGCCAAGGAATGGAACGCGTCCGAGAGAACGTCCACAACAGAGGAGATGGAGCGATTAAAATCAGCTCGCGTGCAGGTGGATTAATGCATTGCAGGATCGTGTAAATTGGCAGTGGCGGTGGTAGCGACTAGCATGTAGGGTATCCAAGACGTGGGTTTTTTTGGAGCGTCAGGACATCAATATGATGTGTAAAGATACTCGCACGTTGCATGGGAGAGTGCCTCAATGTTCAGTTGGAGGATCCTTGTCCCAGGGCCTATCTGGCATGTTGGACTTGGCAGTGACCACGACTGACAATGATGATGATGATGATACTTCCTTTTCACAGGTGTTCCGATCTGCCTTCTGCCACTAAAAAATACCGCGCAGCTGCGTAGCGCGGGGACATGTAGAGGATTTAATTTCAGCCGGAGCCATCTGCGGCTTTGCTCCAGAAAATATGTAGTCCTTATCGTGAATACTGTGTATATATGTATATATAAATATATATACATACGTAGGATGCTGTTACTTCGCAGAAAGGGCATCTGTCCGTGTCCTCACTGCAAGACGACCGTGCCCGAGACGTTAAACAGGCATCTACTCGGTTTCGCCCGTGAGCATAAATACAAATTTCTACGCATTCAGCAAGCCTTGCGGATGTTTTTATTTTATTTTTATTTTTTTCCCATTCCGTTTTTTTTATGGCGCCCTGATAATGCTCGCTGCACGGAGCAGCGATTTATCGCCGAGAGCCCAAGGCTTCGGTGTCGGGCTTTAAAATGGAAAAAAAAAATCTGGAGCGCCGTGGAAGCAGGGAAGTCCGATTTCACTGCTACTGCCGATATCGCCCCCCACTCTTCACTCACCGATGCACCCACACCCGCCACCCCGCAAGCAATAACTGCTCCCAACCCCCAATGAAGATGTCAGGTCGCTCGCTGAGCAAAGCCACTTTTTTTTAACGATCAACAAACCAGTGCCTGTGGGGGGGGGGGGGGGGGTAACTCAGCATTTCAATGGGTCCTTAAATCACAAAAAGTGGCCTTAACCCCCAATATGCGTGCCTTAATGCCAGCTGACAAATGTGAAGCTGCCGTGACCCTCACTCACCCTCCACTGCTTTAATCAAAGGGGCCCCCTCTGTGACCTCATGATGGGCAGAACCAGTTTTCTAAAACGGAGTTGGGTATCTCTACGTATAAATAAAATGGTTTAGTCCATCAGCCTTATTGGCTTTACAGACCAATATTATGCAGCAGCATTTGTTGCTAGTTATACAATTTCTGCTGCATAATATTTATTGAAATCCAATTGGCCGATGGACATTTTTTTATATATATACATGTGGAGATACAAAAATGTATCATGTTTAGATCTGTCATCAAAAATGAGCTTGTGTACCGTTTCGTAGAGGTGACTAGGGTTTGATGTTTTACCCCGAATGAATCTCGAGCCTAAATCATGATGAACAAATCGTAGTAAGGGGTAGCAATGGGTGAGAAGGTGGGACTTGAGGATGTGAAGGTGGGAGTGGGATATACAGGAAGTCGTGGGTCCGATCCCCACCCTGACGCCTTTATATTTCCCCGTGGTCGTGTGGATTTTTTTTCCGGGTCCTCCCGTTTTCCCCTCCAGATCTATAAACATGTGCATTTAGCTGCTATACATTTCCACGTGATAAGCCACTTAATTGAGCTATCATTTGTGGCCAGGTCGCTTCTGAAAACAAGCTATATGGCTTAGTGGGCCTTACCTGGTATAAATCAAAATAGTTTTAGTAGTAGCGGTGTAGCATAGTGGGCAAGGGCCCTGGTACAACGAATTAAATGGGACCCCCTGTCTGTCTTCCCCTCTCTTCATAGCCTCGCATCTGGGCCACTCTGGCCTGTGGGCCGTGGTGGATTTGCCCCTACCTGCACACTTTCATGTGTACACCACGGGAGGGAATGGATGTGTGATATCAGCTGTTTTGTTTTTGAGAAGCCAGGCAACGTGAACGTACCGCCACTCCTGCCGCCTGGTACCCACGCGTCTTGGTCAAACGGCCCTCGTACTTCTCCACGATCTGACGGGCTTGCCTGCGCAACGAAGACAACGCAACGATGCCCCCGTGTAGCCTTAACAGACTGTCGGGGCAAGTGCCGTTAGCGAGTAGCACCCGTGAAAGGCCGGCACGGCACACGAGGGGGTGGGTGGCCAGCACCACGCCCGGCCGCCTCTGTCTCTCCAGTGGCGATGTTCACACTTCGCACCTGGTACAGTACTCATGGTCATTAAATGACCGTGAAACTGATCTTTTTAAATTCTTCAGCAGGAATTTTGCCTGAGATTAAGCGTCAACCCAAATGTAGTAAATGTGTGGTGAAGGTTTCCGTGTTGCAGTAATTGGTGGCTGAGGCCATCAACTCGCTCCGCCCGAGAAGCCAGTTTAATGACGGGCAGCTGAAAACTGAAACCTGAATTTAAACCCAGGTTCTCAGCAGTGCCAGCTCAGCGCACTGTGCCCTGGGCCACGTGGCCTCCTCAATAATCACATCCTTGATGCAGTCTGGGACCAGCAATCACGCACTTGAGCACTTTTAGCTTTTGCTTCATTGGCCAGGGCCGGCAGCGGATGTTGGCGATGATGTCCTTCTGGATCTGGATGTTCTGCATGATCTCCTCCTGGTCACTCCACTCCGCCTGTGTGTCCCCGAGTCCGCCATCATCATCCGAGCCCCTGGAGAAACATCCCAACCGCTGTGATAGTGGTGATGACGATGATGATGATGATTGTGATGATGATTGTGACAACTGTGAAGACTGATGATGAGGATAGCTGTGATGTGAGGTGTAAATCTCGACCAGTATTGCTGTTAGTTAGAATATGGCTGATGACACACATCACTTATGGGAGCATAATGGCCACAACCTACTGTGTTGTCGCTCTTCCAATCCAAACTCGAACCATTGTCACATCCAAAAGAAAACCCTCATCACCTCTCATACAGAGAGAGTTGGTCACTTCTGAACCGTTGTTATATCCATTCGAGAAGGTTTATTACGTAAAATAGAGAAGAATAATTATTGTCGAATCCTAAACAGACCTCATTTTATATGAAAACAAAAAATTGATCTCATCCATAATAGAACCTTCCTCTCATTGGTGTCCATTTATTTAGGTTCATAAGACTCGTGGAAATGTTTCTGAATCCAATGCTGTATTTTAAAATACAGTATAACCAGTTCAGTTTTAACAACATCGGAGCCACCAATTGGAGTACTAATATGTACTGCAGTGCCATTCTTAACATCATTGGTGAATATAAGCACATTTGAAAACAGATTAATAAATAATAGCTGGACGAAGGCCTCCCCATATCGTATCAGTCATCCGAGCGAGGGGGTTCTTTGACCATATTTCACCGCTATGGTCAGTGCGGGTTGGTGAAGGTGGCAGTCAAGGGGTGGTGGGGTGGTGGGGGCAGCGTGCTTGATCAAGATCGATTCATCTATCACTCGCCACCGATGTTAGCCATGGCATAGGAATCAACTGAACTCAGATCGCCGGGGTTCATAGTGCAGCGCGCTAACCACTGCGCCACCGCTCTCCGTCCCCCCCCCCCCCCCCAGTGAATATCACCATTACGCGTCTCTTGGCCGCATGTCATTGCGACAAACGCATAGAGGGGGGAAAAGAAAAACAATTAAAAGGGTAATTGCCTCCCAGCTCGAGAAATTAATCGATCTAGATTATTCCGCGTAATAGGCATCATTTGGTGTTTCTCCATTCCAATGCCACAAACAGGGTCACCACCTGGGCGATCAATGCGAGGCCGTAAATAATAATGGACTTTAATACTCTCGTTTATCTTGAGAAAAAAACAAATCTATGAGCAATTATCTCCGTCGATGCATGGTTATGTTTTCACCCACGCTCGCGCCTTGATTCTGTATATAGCTTGCAGGTATCGCCATCGTTAACTTTTATTCTGGGTTATAGTTAATGCGGTGGAGTGGTGGCGGGGCAGTTAGCGCACTGCGCAATTTGTGAACGGCTAGCCAGGCGACGACGAAGACCAGTGGCGAGTGATGTCTAAGCCGGTTTCTATCTGTCCCACCCAACTACTCCTTCACCAACCAGCACGGACCATTGCGGTGAAGTATGGTTGATACAGGAAGGACTCTGGATTGATAATGGACTAAAGTTATGGCATTGGAATGATTCGTTTCCATAAAGCTGTCGGTGTATGTCTTTCATGCAATTTGTTCGCGACTCAACTTGCCTACAGTTGTACTTTTATTGCGTGGAAGTTATTCTTGAAACGTATACAGTACATACGTGGGGCGTACCTCCGAAACTTAGGGTCGGCAACCTGCAGCTTCGAAGCCGCTTGCAGGCTACTCGAGGACTGCTTCGTCGCGTTACATCAATGGCGTGTATTGTGGCTCTTGAGATATTCTGGGTTGCTAACTCCCGTTCTAAACCACGACATTACACCGGCCAATACGGTGTGAAAAACATTGGAGCTATATCATTGATATCCAGCTCTCAAGCTCTTCCCGCATAAGTTAACTCCTCCACCCGTGCATGACAACATTCTTCATTCAGATGTCACTCACCGCTGACATCAGACATGTCCGGGAATCTAACTCACATTTTCGGATTCGTAAAAAGCAATGCGCTAGCCACAGCTCCCCGCTATAGACACATTTATATAGAAACATAAGACAATAATATATTGTATATCAAATACACAATATCACATGTAAAAATCCATATTGCACAACCTTTCAAGCACAATCAATCACGTACACTTATGCATCATATTTATCACACTTAATGTAATATATATACAATTCTTTGTGCACTGCATTATAAATACACACATAAGATCCCCCGTATAGTGGTATACGTGACAAGGGCTGTTTGCGAGCTCCTATGAAGATCGGCACGGCACACGAGTGGGTGGGTGGCCAGAACCACGCCCGGCCGCCTTTGTCTCCGTATGGTGGCGATGTTTACGCATCGCACCAGGTACTCATTTCAAGCTGAGTCGACCTAGGGGAAGGCCCGGACCGGTTCACATAATCGTCACGTGGTGTTGGTGGTTGTGAGCGGGAATCGAACTCGGGTGGCTGGGTTAGTAGCACAGCGCGCTAACCCGCTAACCGCTACACAAACACACAATCTCATACACACAGTTACACAATAGCACACACAGTTACACAATAACACCGTCTCATACATACACACAGTCATACACAATCACGCTCACACAATTACTGTGTACACACCCAGCCGTTACAATCACGCACGTATATTCTCACACAAAGACAAATATTCCCCGTGTAGCCTGTAACAGACTGTTGGGGCAAGTGCTTTTAAAGAACACCTGTGAATACCAGAACGGCACACGAGGGGGTGGGTGGTGTCAGCACCACGCCCGGCCGCCTTTGTCTCCCCCAGTGGCGATGTTTACACACCACAGCAGGTACTCATTTGAGGCTGAGTCGACCTGGGGAGGCCCACGACCGGTTCAGACAATCGTCACTGATTTTGGCCGTGAGCGGGAATCGAACTCGGGTGGCCTGGTTCGTAGCGCAGCGTAGCGCTAACCGCTACGCCACCGCTCCCCACACACACGCACACGCGTGTACACACGCACACGCGTGTACACACGCACACGCGTGTACACACACGCACACGCGTGTACACACACGCACACGCGTGTACACACACGCACACGCGTGTACACACACGCACACGCGTGTACACACGCGTGTACACACACACGCACACACTCACCTGCCGTCATGATCATCCTCGTAGGCTGCCAGGAGACGCAGGCTCACCGACTTCTTCCTCACCGTCTTCTGCCTCCGAGCCGCCCGGGTCATGCGCGCGTTGCGGGCTTCGGGCATCGTGACCCCGGTGCCGGAGACCACCCCCCCCCCCCCCCCGCTACCTCCTTCGCTTATCAACTCGCTTGTCTATCTGACCCCCGTGACCCCCCCCCCCCCCCCCCGCTGTCTGCCCGTCTGTCTGGCCGAGCGGACCCCCGGTGGCTGTCCGCCTTCTCCGCTGCGACGTGGAATTCTCCCACTCGGCACCAACACCCCCACCCCCCACCCGCCGCTGCCGCTGCACTCCTCCCCGACCCAGCTACAGCCCCGGCTCACGCAGCCAGCCGCCTGTGTTGGGCTCGAGTCACTGCGTGAGTGTGGGTGGGTGTGGGTGGGTGTGGGTATAGGTGGGTGGATGTGGGTGGGTGGATGTGGGTGGGTGGGTGCGTGCGGGGTGGTTGGTGGCTGGGTGGCTGTTGCGGGTGGATGCATGGGCAGATGTATGGACGAGTGTGCGTATGCGTAAGTGCACGTAGGTGCGAATGTGGAGGGTTGTGTCGGTGTCTGGGTGGGTGTGCGATTGGGCGTGTGGGTGGATTTGTGTATGGGTGGCTGGGTAGGTTGCGGATGTCTGTGTGTGTGTGTGGATAGGTGTGAATGTGGAGGGTTGTGTGGACTGTATGTCTGGGTATCTGGGTAGGTGTAAGGATGGATGGGTGGGTAGATGTGTGTGTGGACGGTAGGTGCTTGGGTAGATGAATGGATGGGTGTGTGGGAAGCGGTGGCACAGAGGTTCGAGCGCTGCGCTACGAATCCGGTGACCCGAGTTCGATTCCCGCTCACGGCCAACACCAGTGGCAATTATCTGAACCGGTCCTGGACCTTTCCTAGGTCGACTCAGATGAGTGCCTGGTGAGATGTGTCAACATCGCCGCTACTCGGGAGATAAAGACGACCGGCCGGGCGTGGTGCTGGCACCCCACGCCTTCGTATGCCAAGCCGGCCTTCATAGGTGCTCACCAACAGCACTTGCACCAAAAGTATGTTAAGGCTATACGGAGGATATTTATCTTGCAATGGTTAATGCACTGCCCTACAAACCAGGTCCTCTCGGTTAGATTCCCTGCGGGTCACGGAAATATTGTCAATAGGATCGTGTCTTGGACCCTCACCCCAAAGTCTGTGTGGTTGGAATCTACTAAATTTGAGATTCAGGCTATGTTCAGATTTCAATTTACCGTGGCATAGGACTGGATTATATTGTGCACCAAAGCCAGGATTTGAGAACATGTTCTTTGTTAAGGCCTGCAGGGGGAGGTGATGTTACTAGCTTTGATGTTTACACGTAATAATTACCAAATATTTGTTAATGCAATAATTAAGGAAGGTCGCCTTAATTCGGGAAGGTCTCCGTTTTCGGTCGAGGAGGCGTCACGGCGATACAGTACTTCATCACGCTCGTCAGTTCGGGGTTGGTGGAGGGGCCGCTTTTGATATCGTCACCGACGTTAGCTGGGTGCCGGGAATCTAACTCGGGTGCACGAGTTCGCAGCTTAGCCGCGGCAATCCGCACGTGCACGCTGTGGATTGACAGACACGTGTAATAACGCACACGTGCGCGCATGCACACCACTGCACCAGCGCTCCGCGCACGTCTGTCTCGCCTCAAAATTGAGGCTCTTAAAGGACACGATGAATGAATCCCCTTTACGTCGCTGTTCCACCACCCCATGATGGTTAATGACTTTCCACGTTTGCATCCAGGGTGGCTTGCATTTGAATAATAAGTGCGCTGTGTTGTGCAAGAGTGGCGTTAGGGTGAGGGATAGATTATCGATTCTCGCACAGTTCTATTATTTTCGAGATGAATTCCATCACAAGCCCCGTTGGCACGGACTTCTCCGGCTTCGGAGCGGTTCAGATATACTCCACTGATGTTGATCGTGAGCAGTGAATCCAACTCGGGTGGATGGGTTGGTTCGAAGCACAGCGCGCTGACCACTACACTACGGCCCCTCAAACACACACAAGGCAAGGATCCCCCGTATAGCCTTAACAGACTGTTGGGACAAGTGCTGTTAGCGAGCACCTATGAAGGTAGGCACGGCACACGAGGGAGTGAGTAAGTGGCCAGCACCACGCCCGGCCGCCTTCGCCTCCCCAGTGGCGATGTTTTACACGCCGCACCAGGTACTCATTTGAGGCTGAGTCGACCTAGGCAAGGCCCACGACCGGTTGTGATCATCGTCACCGGTGTTGGCCGCGAGCGGAAATTGAACTCGGACCGCCGGCTTCGTAGCGCAGCGTAGCGCTAACCACTACACTAACGCTCCCCGCTCACATAAACAGACATACACGGAGACGCGCGCACACACACACCCACCACTCCGCACGCCCGTGCGCCATCACGCCAATGCTATATATTTGTGGGTGGTCGCATGCAAACGCGTCACGTGGCCTCATTTTCAATTACTCTGGCCGGCCCGACCTCCGCAGGGAGCGATATCGCCAAATGAGATTCGTCCACCGACGAGCTCTTCATTACAGGTATGTCTGAGAGGTCTCCATTCATCAGGGCCGGCACGCCACGTGGCCATGCGTCAACGGTGGCCGTCCGCACTGATGTGTACACGGAATGGTACAGCATGACAGAGACAAAGATCCCCCGTACAGGCTTAGTATACTTTTGGAGCAAGTGCTGATAGCGAGGAGCGCCTATGAATGCCGCAAACGGCACGCGAAGGGGGCGTGTGGCTAGAACCACGCCCGGCCGCCTTTGTCTCCCTAGTGGGGATGTTTACACACCGCATCAGGTACTCATTTGAGGCTGAGTCGACCGGTGCAGATAATTGTCACTGGTGTTGGCCGTGAACGGGAATCGAGTTTTGATCGCCGGGTTCATGCGCGTCACGCTAACGACAACACTACGGCTCCCTTCATTACACTACAGCGTGAGCGCATGTGAACACAAAATTAGATCATGCGCATGAGTAGTTGTTTAACCTGGCCTGGCATTGCAGATGAAACCCATGCTTCGAACAAATTCATGTTCGAATAAAAATAAAAGTTAATTGCAAAGCCAGTAAGAATAGGGTTTACGCTTCATGACAATAAAACAGTAGTTAAGATGTCCAACACCAAATAGATACCTTTTTTCAAAGAATAAAGCGGGTGAATGATACAAAATGATCATTAATGACGGTCCGTTATGTAAACTCACGACTGGACGAAGTCGTTTATGGTGCTCACGTGAGGTTGTTTGACCATACTTCACCACGCTGGTCAGGTCTGGTTGGTGGAGTGGGATGGTGTGAAAGGACCGGCACTGAGACCACTCCCCGCTGATGCGTAGCCGTGACCGGCGATCGAACTCAGGTGGCCGAGCTCGCGGTGCAGTGCACCGCACCGCCGATCCATCGCAAGCAAAATTGCACTTCAACGCCTCTCGTGGCCCATGTGCATACAGGTGTCGTGTCAGCGATTCGGAGACAAGGTGTGGAGGAGGCACCTTCTTTATTATCAACAGTCACGGTCTCGTCCACACGCAATCTCCGCGGTCGCTCAGCCGAGCCTGTACACAGCAGTCGCCGTCTAACACTGACGGCGCCGACTGAGCTAGCCAGCAACTCTCCTGCAACGCGATATCTAGAGGAGAGGGCAGCGACGAGACGATCCGATCTCAAAACACGGCGGCCCCGAGCTCCCCGCTCTGGGCTCCTTTTATACCCCCAGCGTGGCCTGGCTCCGCCCTGAGCGCGCCTGCCTTCTCGATCCCCGCCAGCAGGTTCCAGGGACCTCCAGACGAGGGGTCCTCCGTGACCCCCGCCCTCGTTCCTCCGCTGTGCCAACACAGCCGTGGCTCACCGGCGTGCGTGCTCTGCCCACCACAGTTGCCGCTGCTGCCCAGCAGCCGCCGCTATTACACTGCATTGGCATTGTATGCAATATTGTATACAATATAAATTGTATACAATACCAATCGATCATTTTCAAGTCTTACAAACACGATCCATCGACGCCTCGCTGAACAATGTTCTTCCGTCGTGCAATCGTAGCTCTCTATATTCTTTGGGTATTTGGGTAAAGTCACGTAGATAGGTTCAAAGAAAATATCCTATCTACGTGACTTTACCGAAAGACCCAATGAATATGAATTCCTGCAGTCACGAAAACTTTAAGTCAAGACGTAGCTATCTCGCCTGTCACATATACCGCACCTCCGATTAGCAAGGTTGGCTACGTACGGTGTGAAAGAAGTTCAACATACATACCGAATATATGACACGAGCCCCCTGTTCCTAAAATCGCACAAACAACAACTGCCGCCATTCGCCACGAAGCAGCGGTGACGACACCACGGCGCCTGTGCCAGGCTAGGTGCGCTCCGAGGCCACGTGAAGTGTCGAAGGCCATCTGCTGGCAGGAGATCACGAGACAGAACCCAAGTGCCATGGGTTGACTGACTGAGATGACTGGCAGATGCACTAGCGGTACCCCCCCCCCCCCCCCCCGACTGTGCCAACTTACGGCGCTTTAGCTGCACGGCGTTCCGCTCATCCATCACTCTCACCATCCTCACCACCACCGCCACCCCCACCACCCCCTGCATCCACCCTGCACCTCGTTCACCATCCCTTCGCAACGCTTCTCTCCCTCCCTCCCTTCCATCCTCCGCCCCCATCGCTCGTAAACTGAGCGCCCGGCCAAGGGCTTTTGCGCCAATTTACGATGCCAGTCGATTTGCAGGCGGCTGTTAATTTCACACGCTCTCTCGCTTTACACCTCACGAGTGTGGGGGGGGGGGATTGAGTGTTCATGAGGTGAGTAGGTAGGTAGCTGTATGTGCAAGAAAATAGGCGGAGCTGTGATCATGACGGTCCAATGACTTCTTCTTTGGTTCTTTCGGTAAAGTCACGTAGAATGAGAATAAAATAATAAATTGATAAAATAAAATAACACAATAATATTCTCACGACGTTTCGGCCACAACACAAGCAGATGAAGGCCGCTTGTCTTGTGGCCGAAACGTCGTGAGAATATTATTGTGTTATTTTATCAATTTATTATTTTATTCTCATTCTACGTGACTTTACCGAAAGAACCAA